TAACATAGAGTACTTGTTCGAGCTCATATGAGCCATCATGTGCTCATTTGTCTTGGGAGTTAGCCCCAGATCCCCATGGTCCTGACATGTCCTGACACACTCCGGGAAGCCGGTCAAGAGGGGATTCCCATTCCGGGCCAAGAAGTCAAAAAAAGAGTGGGTGCCTGAATGGACGTCGCTGGGAGGGGGGAGGGTAATTACCTGTTTTGCAGACTTTTATGGCCTGAGGCCTTGGCAGATTGACAGTCGTTTTTTGAGGACTTGGTTGCCCCAGGAAAATGTGGCCGTAATATTTCCTAGGACTTGCCTGCCCCAAGAAGCATGGGGGCAGGGGGGACGGATTTCCGAGTGATCGCTTAGCTGGGCGGGTGGGGATCTTACGCACTGTCCAGTGCTGGGAAGAGTTTGGCTTTTGGTGTGGATTTGGAGATGCCCCTAAGAGGCCAAAGTTAGGCAATTGATCGATCACACAAACATGTTGCGTAGTCATGAAGGAGGAGAAAGCTGTTCAACAATTGTCTAGACAGATGGGGGAAGTACGTGCCACGGCATTGAAGGCCCGGCGGAAGCCACACGACCCAACAGTCTACATCTACATAAATCTACATGCTCCCTCAAGCGCCAGGAGGAGCGGGTCTGCCGTGCCGCTCGTCGCACGGCCAGGTCCGGCCGTGCCAGCGCACCGGAGGTCCGGAGGGTTTGGGAAGTTTGGGCGCAGCAAGTTTCGCCCTTCAAAAGATTGATTGTGCCAAAGCAACTAAGTTATAGTTTTTTCGGTTCAATTGAGTGTGTGGATGTGAGGGAGTTTGGGCATGGCCATGGGGCTTGCGATTTTCTTTAGCTCGACAAGAGGCACCGGTCGGTAGGCAGTGCTTCTGGAAGCTTCTCAACGTACGCCTTTGGGTGGCGGAGCACGGCAACCCTGAAAGGGGTACGATGTCTTCAGTCTGATTGCGGAGTCAATTCTCCCGATTCGGCACTTCCATCGTCCGAATCGCACCGGGCTTCCTGGCACGATGCCAGGCTGCGGTGGGAATGGATTAGGGACTGTAGTGACTCATGAATGCATCAGAGCTCCGTTTTTGTGCTGTCGCTACTTTGACCCCTGTCCCAGCGCAGAAGCCACAACAAAAGACTGCATGCACACACTTGACATGAATGCTCAAGCTCGTCGGCAGCGTTTACAGATCGATCGAGGCTGCAAGTGCTTAAGGCTGCTATGGTTGCTATCGTTGCATCACGAATTCGTTTCCCGCGTGGGCTAATTAACCGTAGAAACAGCTTCACAGCATGTGGTCGAAGGTTGTGGCCGATGACGTTGACGAAGCTTCGGAGTGCGCTGCCATGTTGATGTTTTACCAAGGTTGATCGGCATGCTGGAAGACTTCCGTGCATGTCGGGGCATTCTAGCAAGAATGTTCATGCCTTGAATCTGCACCTTGTGATCATATTCGTCATGCCTGCTAGATTCTCTGCACTTGCAACAAATCAGCTGGCAGGGGGGCATGCGTAACCGCAACAACAAGACATGTGGGACGTCTTCATTGGCGCACGCCGGCTTTGTCTCCCTTTGACTTAGACCTCGGGAAAGGAGTATGTTCCGTAAAGTTGCATGCGCAAGACTACTTTGTAAGACTGTGCAGGGTGTCCAAGTCTTCACATTGCAAAGTACATCTGAGCAGACAGTAGTAGTCACATCACCGTCCCGCCGCCGCCATCATGGCATCGTTTCCGGAACTGGTTGCGAAAACCGTCGAGGAGTATGGATTCCGGATCGGAATTAGCCTCTTGATCTGAAAGGAATATGACCATCCAAGTCGATGCCATTGTCGCGGAAACATGTACGGTAGCTGTTTCCCGATCTTTTCCTTTTTGGACATGGCTGCACTCTGGGCTTGCAGTTTTCGGTGCAGTGGAGTGGGTAGCAGTTCACTGGATTCACGCTGTTGCTTGGATGCGGGTCTGATGCCAAGGTGTCGGAGTTCAGGCGCTTCTTGAACAAGTGTTTTCTCATGCCGAGGGCTTTGCGAAGCGTGGGTCATGTGGCTGATCCGTGTCTCCGTTTGACGAGTTAGCTTGACGTGCCATCTGACACGCGAGTTACAAGCTTTCAGATGTCGCAAACGACACCTTATCACGCAACACCTGACGCCAGATCCGTAAAACAAATACCGCTGCGCAGGTGGTGGCTTTCGTTATTTGCCTCGCGCTTGCCAAGGGCTTGTTTCCGAAAGCGAAGGACAAGGGTCTTGTTGGAGTTCCCAATTGATGCCTCTTCTGCAATATACGAGTTTCAACAGCCCGAACATGGAAGAGGATTCCGTCGGTTTGGCGGACACTCTTTATTCGATACCTTTCTTCACATTCCTGGCTTTCTGTGCCATAGCCTGTGCCTCAGCCATTCTTGCGGAAGCAGTGCCACAGTCACTAGTCGGGACCTTTGGCTTGAAAGCAATCCACATATGCATGAGTCCGAAGGCAGCTGCGCAAGCACTAAGAAAATGGGCGACCAAGTGAAGTTCCAAGAGTGTCGGCTGTCTCGAGGATCGCACCCAGACCGCGCAGCATCCCCCAAACAAGCCTGCGTGCGACTTCCAGATGCTACCAGAACTGTAAGCTGGGTTTGGTGTAAACTTGGTGCGAAACGAAACAACCCCCGTGTCGTGGTACTTTCCAAGCACTGCCTCAGCTCACTGTAGAGGGAGATTCAATATTTTTTTAAATGCCCTCCGCCTGGGGAGCAACCTGGAATTACCCTAAAACCTAAACCCCAAACCCTAAACCCTAAACCCTATATAAACCCTAAACCCTAAACCCTAAACCCTAAACCCTAAACCCTAAACCCTAAACCCTAAACCCTGTGTTGAGGTTGGCACCCTGGAGCTACGCCACACCGTGGACTCGAGATGGCAGGCTTTGGCTGGGCTTTGCTCCATGGTTTGATGAGCCTTCTCTCAGGCGGTTGTAGCAGGCCGTGCTTCCGGGCCATGAACTTCTCGCCTTCAAGTGTTCCCTAAACCCTAAACCGTAAACCCTAAACCCTAAACCCGAAACCCTAAACCAAAATCGCGGCAAGGGAGTCAACTCCTGGACCGAGCTGTACCTGATTCTCTACGTTTCCAGGTCGTGTTCGACTTAGTTGGTCTTAGCTGGCAACCACCAGTGACTGTCATGTCGGCTTTCTTCTTCTTGAGGGGTGGCCCTTTCATTTTTTTGTAAATCTATGCGTGTTTTCTTTCGAGGGGGGGGATACTTTTCGAGGCAACCTCTAGGAAACTTACATTCTACATTTTTGCCTTTCCTCTAGATTTTGCATGAGGCCAGAAAGAACAAACAAAAGCAAGAAAGACAGAGAGAAAGATAGAGAGAGAAAGAGCGATAACCAGAGAGAAAGAGATGAAGAACCATGCAGAAAGAGTTTTAAAGCCGTGCAAGTTTGCTTTGCAAAATCATGCAAATCCTTTCCAAAACCATCGTGCGAGCATGCACATATTGCGGGGGAGGAGGGGGACCCAATTTTTGTTGTTTAGCTATTTTTCTTTTTTTTGGAGGGGGGGGGGGGGGTCCCATTGCTTTGGATTTTCAAGGAAAAGACTCTATGTTCACTTGCGTTGTCAAAAAAGGTCATGCCACGAGGAGAACTTGCATGAACCCACCAGCGAGATTGTGTTTGCAATGGCGGGGGGGCCATGATGAGAACTTGATGCGAACCTTTCCGAACCCTGCAAGTGGGGGGGGCGGGGGGGGATTGGTTGCCTGAATGAAAAACCCTATACACAAAGACAAAAAGCAGCCATGAAAGCTCGCATCGAAAACAACCTATCAGTCCTTTCCAAGCCCGTCATGTGAGCATATCGGGGGGGGGTCGGGGGGGGGGGGGAGGGGCGGGGCGCGCGCCCGCCCCCCGTTTCAGCGCATGGTGTTTTGACGGTTTTGCTAGAAAGAGCAGGTTGCCGATTGAAATATGGAAGAAGCGGAATATGTAGAGGAATGAAATCCTAGGAATAAAAGAGGCAAAATAGATCTCCTAGAAACAGCGTAGAAGAGGTGGCCGGCAAGGGGGCGCGTGACGTGAATCACACGACCGTTGCCGTGTTGACCGCATGGCCCTTGGCCGCCTTGACCGCCTGACCCTCCATTCTTTGGGCAGAAAGGTCAAGAAGGTCAAGTGATTTTTCTTTTGGGAAATGTCGAGGAGGAATAGAGCTTCCTATCGAGGTTTAGAGATTTGCATGGGGAACCAGTGGGAGTGGAGGTTTTCTTCGGAAATTATCGAGGACAAAGAGGTGTACTAGAGGTCTCTTTAGGAAATATTAAGACCGCCATCCCCCTCCCCTGCCTTCTCGATCTCGATTGCCGCGATGGCAGTGCGATCTGACGCACATACGCACATCCCCCCTCGACAAAAAAAAAACGGCGCGCCATAAACAAAACTCCGCACCCCTTTTTGATCGTCAGCCATCCTGACTGATGTTGTACTTTCGGCACTGAAAGGTGACCCAAGTTTGCCTTGTCAATAAGCCTGACAGTGCAACCTCAGGCTCGTTCACATCTTCATGCAGCCATTCGAGAACATTAGTCGCCGGTGGCTCACGTCATTGCTGTGTCTGCAAAACCTTGTGGCAGCAGAGTGAGGGTTGCTCACACAGTCTTGGACTGCTGGCCGAGGCGGCCTCCTCATCATGATGACCCTCCACCATTTATTCAGCAACCGGACAGCAGTCCCCAAACACCAGTGCGTGGCTTCTTGTTAAGTACTTCCTGACGAACCCCTTTACCTCCAGATTTGAAATCTTGAAATGTTAGCTCGCACGTGGAACCCCCCAATCTTTTGGGATGTACGCTTGCCTGTGGGCACTAATGGCACCATGGGACTCTGAAACCTTGCAATGATTTGAAGCCATGCGTGCAACCTGAAATCATGCTGCAGGCCGGGGACGTTTCTAGACCTGCAGCCATTTGGGGTCGTGCGCTTGCCGTTTCACTTCAGCGCGCGGATCATGGTTAGGCTGTGGGCCTGTTTGCCGCCGCCCGGCTGATGTCAGTAGATGTCCGTGACGCACCTGTTTCGTTCCATCTGTTCGATTTTTCCTGCTCCCTCTGCTCCTCATGGTCTCATTCTGTCTCTGGATTCTCTGTCTCCTCTCCGCTTGCTGGGATGCACCGGGAGAGTAGTTTTGTTCATTTGTCTGGGCGACCGTATGCATTCGCCATCCTCGCGACAGCGGGAAAAACGGCTAGCCAAGCTAGGACATCACCTGCGCATTCGCAGGAGATCCTCAAAACCACACGATGACTCTTCCTGCAATGGAAAAAGGCGGCAAACACTGGCGAGGGCCGCAACTGCCCAATGTGGCTTTTGAGGGCTCCAGGCAATCCCCGAGACGAGGCCGCATAGTGCTCCGGTCTCCCAACAATGAGCACAACAAGATTCAATGGCGTAACGCCGAAAATTCAACAAGGGAAACTGCAGATGCTGAGCTCGTGCCAAGACTTTGTGGCAACTGCAGAGGAGCCAAAGCTCCGATCAACTTACTGGAGTTGGCGACAGTTGCCAGTCGTAGCAATCAGAGAGATGCTTCTTTAAGGCTCTTCTCAAAAGCGAGCACCCTCTTTTTATGCCCGACTCCCCACATCTTGGCGCTCCTGAACCTGAGAGAAGTCGCGCTGAGGTTTTTTGCTGTGGCGGAGGGGTCGGTCTCTTTCCTGACTCTTGGAGGCCTGGGCAGAGCGAAGACAAGTTCACGACTTGCAGGAAGCGCAGAATATCTCAGCGGTCGTGAATTCAAGTTTGTTCCGGCGGTCGTCTGCCTGTCTGATGTCCGAGTCTTTTTGCCTTGGGGGGTGCTGGGGTGTCTAGGTTTGTGACATGCTCCCCACCACTGGTCTACACCACAAGCTGCACATCTGCCCCTGAAACCCTGAAACCCTCAACACAAGCATGCGCAAGCCCTGAGAGCCCAGATTGGGGTGGATATGCTCTCGGGAGCTTTCACCAGACCACGGTTACTGCAGTGGCGAAGCAAATGGCAAAGACCGCCACAGAAACCGGCGCTTCCTTTGTGGTCAACTCCTGAGCTGAGGGAGCAAGCGACTGTGGCACGTGGCAGAACCCGCCGGCTGATTTCACGGGGTGCATCTGTGAGGTAAACACAGGCGACAACTTCTACTACTGCGGCATAACTGGGACGGCTGATCATCAAGTTGCGGAGGATTTCACCAATGTCTACAGCGACAGGTCTTTGCAGGCGGGATGTTTGCATCGCTCAGCAAGAACAAGAAACGACTAGACACGCAGGTAGCGCCATGGAATTCCTGAAGCCCAAAACTTGCAGACTGAGCCTGACGAGCTGAGTTGGAGAATTGGAGAGGTTCCTTGGTACTCGGTGCTTGGTAACCACGAGTATGGCTCCTTGATCTCGGCAGTTCTCGGCCTCACGATGTCTCACGCAGATGCTCAGATACAGTCTGATACACGTTGTTCATCCTCTGGGTGCGAGGCTGCAGGGGCAGTTGGACAAGCAACTGAGGTTACAACGTGGAGGCGCAATGTCAGCTGTCCAGCATCTAGCCTGTGAAAGTGAGATGGTTGTCCTCTATCTGCTGTTGTGCTGCAGCCGACCAAACATGAGCTCCTTCCCAGGTGTACTCAGCAATTGGGTCATGGATAGCCGGTACTTCTCCAAGCGCGTTCCCTTGGGGAGTGACCGCTTTATATCCTTCATCTTCCTGGACACGTCCCCCTGCGTCGCAGCTTATCGAGCGGACGACCAGAGTCTCAGCTATATACAAGACATGCCAGTGAACCCTCTGTCCAAGACGCTGCATTCATGTTTCGAGCCCAGGTCTCACTGGGATCCGTGTGGCAGTGACTTCCCCACCTGTGAGCCCATCGTGCAGGGGCCGTGCAAGTTCCACGAGAACATCCTGCGCCCTTGTCTGCATGAGCCGACTGCAGGTCTGATCTGTTCACCCACCTTTTTGTTCGCCTTGTTGCCGAAAGTGAGGTCTCAGAATTGCACCACTCAGTTTGAGTGGTTCAAGGCGGAGTTGGCAAAGGCCCCACCGCTGTGCCACAAAATATCCCGGGCCCAGGGAGTATCTACATAGTTTATGCGGCATGGCGTCATCGGGTTCACGTCAGACCACGAAGGTGCCAAAGAATGATTGGCTTATTGTGGTCGGCCACCACCCGGCAGATGAGATGGATGTTGAGGATTTTGTGGCGCCGATGAATTTCAAATGCAAGAAGAGTAAGGTCCTTGGTTCTTCTGACGCCCTAACACACAGCTCATGTGCTAAGGCATTGGCACATTCCACAGTCACGGTAGGGACAGTATGGGAGTTGAGATGAACTCGTGAATTCTACAGACTGTGATCTGCCGCACGACGAATCGCCGTCCAGGGGAGTTACCGAGGACACAGCATGGCTTCGACCTCTACCTAAACGGCCACACACACCTCCTGCCGCTTGGCTTTCCCCACGCCACTCACGTGCTTCTTTATGCATACAGTATGAAATGAATACGGAGTCAAGTAGCATCTAAACAGCCCGTAGGACATGTCGATGGTTTTGTGAGCCATTCCTCAACTCACATCACGGAGTTGCATGACGTCCTTGCATCGAGGAACCAATACACCATCAACGGGGGCGGTGCTTACATCACTAGCGGGGCTGGGGCCATGGTGCAGACGAAGGACTTGCGAAGGTTTGGCAAGCTCATGCCGCTTGGACAGACGCAGCCGACACAAATGACATGGATCGTTTAGGATGTGCTGCAAGCGACAGCGCAACGCAGGATCAGGACGACGAGGAGTCGCGCCTGGTTACTGGAAAAAGCTCGAAGCAGGTTCGCAGTGAGAAGGTAACTCGAGATCTGCCCTTATGTTCAGGCACATTGAGCTTCTTTCCGCAAGGTGCAGACTGTGTGGGAGGAAAAGGTCGCAGGGTTTACTTTGCACACGTTCTCGGCCGACTTCAAGGAGGGACCTGTGGCGGTCCAGAAGATTATGAGGTTGTGAGGTTATTCGTGTGGCAATGCAAACGTGCACTTACGGACCAGTCGGAGAGTCGGAGCAGTGCCCGAAGGACCTGAAGACGGACTTCATGTCCTACACTGGAGAAGTCTTGCATTCCTTCAGCGTGACGCGCGGATCTGGGCCGGGTCATGGCACCACTCCTAGTACCTTCCTTGTGTGTCGGTCTGCTCGCTGGAAGGCCCGCACCCTCGCCACCGTCCCCGCCTTCACCACCCTCACAAGGCAGAAGCTGTCTTTGCTGAGCTTGTAGAGCCACCAAGCTGTTATTGTTCTAGGCTAGATCTTGAAGACCGCGTGCAGAGAAATGAAATACGTGGCAACCTGCGTCGGGCTAGACAGGCTCCTGCTCGAAGTATGGTTGCAGCAGGCCAGCCCGAAACCACAACTGGTGTCAGAGTTGCCTCGCTCCAGAAGAGCCTCACTATTGCGGTTGTGTGAGCGAGCGGGCCCTGTGCAAGGTATGACCCCAGTCATACGTGCCAGTGCAACTCCTACTGCAAGGAGCCAAGACCGTGCAGGTTTTAATGGGAAGCCGAGCTTGGAAGGTAGGGTCTTCTTTCAAGACAGCAGCTTCCGAAATGAAGTTCCATGTGAGAAGCTCTAGACTCTAGAACAGGAGCACTCGGACTGCTGCTCTGACTACTCGACGACCTGTGCGAAACCATCCAAGGGCTGCAAGGAGTATGGTTGCGGTAGGCGGGCGGTGAGCATGCCAGGGGTGAAGGCTCACTGTTTCCCCATCACAGGGTTGCACTGTGACGAAATGCCACCTTTGCCGATCTAAAACCAATGTACGCAGAGTCGTGCAGCATTCATGGAAAGGTTCAAGCCAGGGCAGAGCTGCCAGTGCAACTCTTTCTGCAAGGCGAGTTGGCAGTTTCCTGCGAGTTGGCAGTTCAACATTTCCACAGAAACTACAGCAATGTCGTGCACTGGAGGAGCACCAAGACTGCTGTTCCGATTATGACGCCGCATGCGGGGGCATTGAGACCGTCATCTGAGCTGAGGGTTAACCCGAATGAGTTTGAGCGCACAGATGTGGGGCACCCGTAGGGTGTGACACGCATGTGCCATTTCTGGGAAAGCATGCCCAAAGCCCACAAAGTACGCACGGGCATCTGGACAACCGGGTTGTTGCAAAGGCATCGTCGAGTGCACGATGCTTTCCTAACTGCTCTCTCTTCTCCTCTGTCGCACTTGGCACGTGACTCGTCACAAGACATTTTGTCCAGCAAGCAGTCACGCCAAGCACGTTGAGATTGCTGCCGTGGCAGAGGCTAGTTATTAGATAATGAAATTGTGACAGAGCGGCCCCCTGTGGTGAAGAAACCGCAGTTTGATGCCGACTCTGGAACTTCATGTCAAGGCTGAGCTGTGATTGGGCCACGCATGGCTACACTCTGCTGCTTTGCTATTCGCAAGCAGCCTGAGGGTACGCCCGAAACCAATGTGGGGTCGATATGGTTGCTTCGCGCCCGATCACCGCAGGCTAGGCCTGGTGACGCTTGGTTGCCTGCCCGACATTCGCACAGAAAACCGGTGACCGCACCTGTGGAGGTCGTGCGCATATCCTATGTACGGTGTTTTCTTTCGGTTGGTGCCGTGATTGGAAGCTGGCGTGATGTGAATAACGAGGAATGCTGCCAAAAAGTCACACTTGCATTGTATCTGAGGCATGGGAGCTTACGTGATTGGTCTTGGCTATGGGCGGTGTGCCGTACTCAGGGACGCAGTCGTGTCAGGGCTCGGCTGCAACTTGCAGGCTGTAGCTTGCAGTAGTGGTGCCGACCACATGTCGTGAAGCTCTGAGCATCGTGTAGCCGAGCGAAGTGAAAAGCTGAAGGCCACTTCTGGGGCTGCTTGGATGGCTGCTGCGAGCTCACGACCATTTTCCTGAGCTTCGGCTGCAGAGTGGTAGAATGCGCATCTCCGGGTGAGCAACTGACCATGGAGGGGCGAGAGGGCTCCTTGTCGCAGCACGAACGTGCAGATGGAGCCTGTGTGTTTGTTTCATGTTGTACATGGACCACTTCAGGAACAACCTGTACCTGCTCAACGATGTGGAAGTAAATGGACAGAGGCTTAAGGACAGGGATGCGTAACACTGCCTATCACCGGAGCGATTATCCGATTGCATTTAGCAGGCGAATCGACAAAGCTTCGTTCAACTTAAATAACAAAACGGCTTCCATTGCCACTAGTTCCTAGTCGTTGAAAATCCGTCAGTACTTGGAGCGGCACCTCGCAATCGCTTCGACAAATGCCCTGCAGCCATGTGGCTTGCTTTGCTAGAAAGGTTGTCCGGCCTGCTCGTGAATTCTGCGCTGCCAGTTTCGTCTGGCAGCAGAGCGCGCATTGTGACGAACGTGCGCTAGCCGATGCGATGCTGTTTCGTGAGTTTTGGCGATTGAGCCGATGACCTCTGAGACATGGATCTTCGTACCCCTGCCTCGCGGAACGATGGGTATGGTTATGCTTGCTCCACGTTGCTCCAAGCCGTCCTGCAGTGGTCTTTGGGTCTCAGTCTTGCTTGTCCTGCCGATTGCAGCTCCCCCCTCCAGCTTTCGGGACTCCTCCTTCTGCCTTCCTCCCTCTTGCCCACTGGCACCACCGCTGGAGGTCCTGCGCATGGATGCGCATGGGCCACTTGGGAAGACGCTTTTGGGGCCTGCACATCACGTGTCCATCCGCTCGAACGAGTATGTCGTCCTCCGCTTTGACAACGAAGCAATGCCAGTTTCTTGCAACCGAGCGACAGGCTGGGATATTGGGCCTCGACGAAGGTCTGAAGCATGCAGCACTTCAAATGGCCCGGGCCACTGCGCTCCAACCCACATTCAGGGCAATAAAACGGCTGGAAGATACCAATGGCCAAGCAAAGTCTTCGTGGGAGGGCTGGTTGTGCAGGTGCTGCGATTGTTTTGATGGGTCAAAAGTTAGGCTCGGAAGCAAATTCTGGACAGAAACATCGGCAAAATATTGCGCCCCGCCGCTCGCTATCCGAATTGCAATGTGGGAAGATTTCGCATCCTGGAACACTTTCACATCAGCCTGTAACATGCAGCAGAATCCAAAACAGTCTCTATTGTAGTAGCCTACGTCGTTGTTAGGCTGTGTTGTTTTGAGTGGTTGAAAGACTGGCAGGAGATCTGCTTTGATGCCTGAACTGAAGCCTCAAGCCTTCAATTTAGTATTTGCTCCAGACAGGACTTCCTGCCACGATGGGTTGCTGCCGTGAACGGGATTCTCCTTTGGCTGGCCTTCCTTGCGTGTAGGCACCAACAAGGGCTGGAAATCAGCTCCACGCAGGTGACGAAGCCATAAGACAGGAATGCCTTGCACGCATCTCCGGGCACAGGTTTGCAACACTGAGTAGACCGGCTGCAAAAGGTTTGTGGTGCCTGCTATGTGTCTAGAAGCGGATGCGAGTGAGTATGCCCATCCAGAATGTTCACACGAGATGCAGGCTTGTCCTTTTCCCGACCTGGCAAGCAGCTCAACATGCTGTGATCTTCGATGCATGGGCTGACGAGTCTTCTCAGGGTTCTGTGATTTCTTAATTATCCCGCAAGCCTAGAAGGACGCCAGCAGCAAGCTTGAGAATCGATATTTTTTTTTGGCTTGCTGGCCATGATCGGCACTCCACACACACCATCAGATGTACTGAACATTGACCAATCCCAGGAGTGTGGATTGTGAGCTGAGGTTGTACATGTTCTACAAGGACATGAAGGAAGCTCCTTCCCAGAGCTCAGCAATCATTACAGACTTAGAGAGCTACGCGGTTGCAACCCAGTTTGCCCATGACTGTTCTGCATTTTGTCACAACTGCCTACTGCGCCCCGTACTTTGCCTTTGTTTCACAGCAGTACACTGCCAGCGCCTGGCAATTCTCAAAAGGCTTCAGAGTTCCAGAAGAGTAAGAGTCCAAAAGGTGTTCAAACCTGCCACCTTTTCGACTTTTGAAGTTTGGACCCTCTGAGGATACCTTTATCCGGGCGTCACACTCATCTTGCTCATGCTGTCCATCGCTTGGCCAAGACCTTAAGGCGCCCAAGTGGTGGCCCCTTGCAAGAAGCGACTCGTCAACGCCTTCCCGGCTCATGCTGCTTGTGGTCCCAAGGTTTGTGCCCATCACTCAGGGCATGGTGAAAGCCATCAAGGCCTGGTGCAGGTCATGAGTAGCACCGTTGCAGCGCAAGATCAGTCACTAGCAGTACAGGTACCTGGTACCACACTTTTCATGCGCACACTTTTCGCATGCCATTGCGAGTCAAGGCCCCAAGAAGTCATCCATCAGGCTCTGAGTGTCATCTCATCATGGTAGAAGGCACCCAGGTCTACGTTGATCAGGTCTGTGTGGATGATAGCCGACATGCTTTCATCCGGCTATTCTTCAGGCCGCGACGGGCAAGGTGGCCGAATCTCGGCTCAAGCAACTGGTGGTTGTTGTTCATTTGGGGGTTATTTGGGGACTATCAGGGGTCCCGAACTTTCGTAAATCCCCGTTTGCTTAGGGGAGAAAAAGTGCTTGCGCATACCGTGACATACCCATAGGGTCCGAAGGCAGGAGCTTGCCATCCTCAGCCTGACACCCCAACGGTCGTTTCATGCTGGCAGGTTCCCATAGATGACATAGAGCTATGTAGAGCTCACGGCAGGGCCTACAGGGGTTACTGGTCTTGTGTCACGTCGTATCGCGCTGGTTGCACGAGGGGGAAGGTTCAGTCCAAGCCACTCCTGCCAAGTTAAGTTCTTTTCTGTATCTGGAGAGAAAGTTGTGCTGGATGTTGTGGTCCTGTGTGAAAACCCCCGCAAAATACCCAATGTGCACGCGCCTACCACTGTGACCACCTCCCCTTTAAGCCTGCCACAGCCTTCAAGCTTGGGTGCTTGGGGTGCGGGGTTTTGGGCCCGCTTTGTTTTGGGCTAGGTCACTTTTCGCGGCTGGGCAGTCCTGAAGCGTCAACTGAATGTTGTAGGCGAACCAGAAATCTGCACGAATGCACCCTCGGATCCAAACCCAGCACCCCCTTCGAAGTTTCAACCGCTTGCACGACCTGGCACAGATTGAGGCGAAAGCTGCTAAGCAGGGCTAGACACAAAGTGCCTTGGCCATGTCGTTCGGTGTCTTGTGGTCTGTGTCTGTTGCTGCGACTTCCCGGAAGCTTCATGATGGAACCTGCAGCATGTCGGACGATGATTATGCAGCACTTCGATGCACTGCCCATACGAAGCATGAAGCATGACCGCGTAACCAAGGCGGGAAAGAAGCAATGTATTCAGCTAGCGCCACGCACGCAGTGAGCACGGACAGGCCCTGCGTAAGTAACAGTTTCACCCGTGAAAAAGCACATACACATGTATGTATGTGTATATATATATGTGTGTGTGTGTACCCCATATACATACACATATTTAGTCATTTGCTTGTTTGACAAAAGCTAGGATATGCTGTACTTCGAAAGTCCTTAGCCGGAACTAGACTACGCTGATGTGTCACTGTAGAGATCATGGGCACTCCCAGGCATAAAGTCGAATTCGAAAAGCTTGATATTGCCAGACGTGCTTACACTTGAGTGGGACACTTGCATCCCTACATCCTTACAGGTGTACATGTGTGTATGCATGCATAAATGTATCACATCAAAGTATACGTGTGCGCATGTGTGCATCTATACATCTATGCCAATCTATGCATGGGTGCATGTATGCGTGCATATGCATATCCCTGCTTGTGAGAAAACTACTGACATACGCCATCATATGCAGCTGCCGGACGCCTTCGGCTGAGATGGTCCAAGACTGGCCTGCCTGACATGGAAGCAAATCCGAAGAGCATGAGAAGGCGAAGTGTAGCCATACACTCATACAGACGCAGAAAGAAGTTGTCGGTGCTTTGGTGGCGGATCCGATGCAATCACTGCCCAGGGCCATTTTTAAGTAACGCAACACAGCAAGGGCCGCTACGTCGATGTCGGGCTTGGGACAGCAACCACTTGGCTCGGACTAATGCGGTGATGTTGTGTCGTTGAGGTAAAGACCTCCAAACTGATCGTTGGAGACGCACTAGCCCGAGCCGGCGGAACTTGCACCAGTTTCACAGCAGGTGGTTTTGCTCAGATTATCTTAGACTTTGCCTGGGTGGCGGGGTTCTTAGCTGGCGAAAGATGCGCTCGTAGAAATATCCTTCTGCTGTCTACCTTGAGCAACCTGGTTCAGGCCCCGAACCCATTGAACCCCACCAGAGGCGTTAGCGACCGTCTTTGTCTTAGCCCTCCGAGAGGTAGGATGGCACCCAAGTTGGCACTTGACTTCGAAATGTGCGTGTTGCTTGGGAAACCCTAAACCATAAACCCGAAACCCTAAACGCGATTTTGTCCCCCACGTGGTTCTGGCATGCTGCGAGCCACCATTGCCAGGCCTTCATCTGGCAGCAGCGATGAGTTGAGAGTGGCGACCTTGGCACGTAAGGTGCACTGATTTCTAACCCTACTTGGAGGTTCGTCCACGCGCTTGCCGTGTGGAGCGTGGCTTTCGAGAGCTGGTGTCAGGTGCATGACCAGAGCAACCCCTTCAGTGTCCTCCAGGATGTGAAGGTTCCTCGGATCGACTTGATAAACCCTAAACCCTAAACCCTAAGCCCTAAACCCTAAACCCTAAACCCTAAACCCTAAACCCTAAACCCTAAACCCTAAACCCTAAACCCTAAACCCTAAACCCTAAACCCTAAACCTAAACCCTAAACCCCGGCCAGATGGTTTTCGAGACCTGTGTCCGACCGCAGGCTGACGAGGAGGCCATCGAGGCTGACAGTCTGCTAGGGATCAGCACAAGTTGCACTTCGGAACATGTTGCCATCATAAAGTGGTAATGGACAAGCTAGGCTGCGCCTGTTGAGAAATCGCAGCGGTCTGTGCAGGCTCCGAGCGCAGGCCAGCCAGATTTTGCCGGGAATGTGTGCCAGAGATCCGCATGACAAAACGGAGCCGCGCGAGCTCAAGCTAAACAGCTGTACATTGAAGCTGCACGTGTTCTCAGCGGTTCACCGCTTGGTGGTTCTCGGGTGAGCGTCGAGCACACTTCAACTGGCAGAGCTTTGGGGCAGCACATGGAAGCACAGTGAACGCCGAAGGTAGTACATCATCCAAGCCTCGCTTCAAAGATCGCTGCAAGTGGACGGCAACTTGCCTTCAATAAGTTCTTCGAGATGCAATCGCTGGCTCCGAGCATTTTGTTGTCTTTTTTTCTTGAATGGTGTGTGGAAAGGGCAGGAGGAGCAAGTGCTAAGCCAGAACCACAGCCCAAGCAGCACGCAGCACCCTTAGATAGGCCCTTGAACCGTTCGCAGTTATTGCCTGTGGAGATTGCGGCAGTCTTGTTTGGCGTGCAGCACCCGCAACCACCAAGAGCTCGGTGGGGCTTGCAGGTCAAAAGCTACAAAAATGGCACGGAGACCACTTGGGATGTGCTTGAATCGCCAGCAGCCTAGTCCCTGCACGGTTGAAGTCTTGAGCGAGAGACTTAGGACGAGCCAGCACGCATGAAAACTGCTCGAGCCAAGTCGTTTCAGTTGCAAAAGGCTTTGTGGTGATACTCGTGGTAGATAGAGCGGCTGTGATGTCGCTGAGCCCGCTGAGGGATGGACATCTCCGTAGCATGCGCATCATTGGGAAGGAGCTTATGGTCGGTTTGGTGTCTCAAGCAGGAGAGTAAGAACAACACTGACCATCACGAATACATGGAACAGTGAACACTCCGCAGAGCAAGCAGATGTGCACACGTTTTGTTTGGCTGGTATGATTCGGCTGGCTTGGTGTTGTGTGTGTTGGGAGCAGGCGCATCTCACTTTTTTCAACTTTGTGGTACAAGGCTTCGCTTTGCGCAGCATCGCTAGGGAGAGGTACACATCGCGGAGCGCGCACACATCAGCGTGTGCCAGGATGTGCCAAGTGTCATGAGTTGTGAGATCTCTTACGCATTGACGGTCTACATTAGGGCTTGGCCAGTTGTGAGGCGCATTCTTACAGGAGACATGTGTTCAAACCCCGGCCCGGTAGCCTGACACGGCTCGTGCAATCCGTTTTGACAGAAACACCAGGTAGGGCGATTTGTTCAGCTGAGACATGTCGCTGGTGCAGGAGCCGGTGCCTCCGCCCACGCAGGCCTTAGTGACTGGGTGAAGTCTTGGCGCACAGACTGGCGTCATGCGTTGCTGCAACCGCTCCTGTTCGACTGCAGCTTTGTCGCACGCAGCCTTTGACACTTTTCGCGGCACTGGCTCAAGTCGGCCTACCTGCAGTGAAACAGCTGCGGATAGAATGGGCGTGTGCGGTGGGAAAACAGCCAAGCGCCAGGAGAGCCGAGAGCTCCGCTTCACTGATGGCTTTCATTACAGCCCTCTGGACTCCAACGACTTCGATTCTCAGCTCTCGAGCAGCGCAGAATCTTTAGACATTCTGCAGTTCGCAGCTCCAATCTTTGTTGCTGAAGAGGGTGAGGCCTTCAGTGTCAAGGTCATGCGTCTGGGGTCGCTGGCTGGACGCGTCAGCTGCTACTTCCAAACAGAAGCGAGCTCTGCCAAAGCGGGAATGCGTTTTGTCCACGCGGAGGGTGAGGTCGTCTTCGAGGATGGCCAGTTTCAGCAGAGCGTTGACATCGAGATTTTGGATTCGCCGACCTGGTCTGCAACCCTCGAGTTCAAGGTCGTGCTGACGGCCCCAATGGGCTGCTCTTTGGGCAAGTACCTGAAGGTCTGCCGTGTCAAAGTCTTGGACAGGGATAGCTTTCCAAGCAGCTCGTATGCCGAGACTGCAGCTTTGGGGCCCGAGGCCATTGAGGCCATCAACCCCGCCCCGCTCTTTTTGGAGTTTTGCCAGCTGATGCTTCGCGTGCCTGGGAACGGCTGGCGATTTGCCGTGATCTTGCTCTTTGACCAGTTCAAGAACGCATATGTTTGGTTCATGCTTGTGTCTTCCGTGTACATGGTCAATGTGATCTTTGGTGACCACTCGGACGAGCTGTTCATCCCGCAAAATCCCGAGAAAACCGCGCAGTTGCTGGGATTGATGTATATTGGCCTTCCCCTGATCTTGCACATGTGGAGGGAGGCCAAAACGAGGATGGACATCGAAGGCCGCTGCAGCTTCTTCTTGCAGACTAGCTTGATGAGGAAGTACATGAACTTCAGCGATGATTCCCGAGCTGCGGTCACGCAGCACGAGGTCCAAAAGATCGTGAACAAAGATGCCGTAGAGCTGGCGTCGAGCCTCAATGACGTGTCTTCTTTGTTAGAGACGCTGGGAAAGCTGGTCATGCTCAACTACTTTGCCGTCTCAAGCGACCCAGGCATGCTCTGGGCTGTAATCACAATGCCGGTGGTAATGACCTTCTGGGTGCTCCTACGCCAAGTGTGGTTGAGAAAGCCTGAGAAAGACGATGCATACAAGAAGGAGGTTTCTGAACTTGTGAGTGCAATCAGTGAGTTCTACCCGCTCATTGCCGGCTACTTCCAGCGCCCCGCCATGAACGAGAGGTTTGCCGCTCGCGTCACCAAGCTCTCCGAGGCAAGCCGGAATAGACCTTGGCATGGAGCATGCACGAGTAAGCCCTGGCCCCCTTTTCTATAAAGCCAATAGAGGCCAATAAAGGCCAACAAAGCACAGCGCCCTCACAGATCTTACTACATCTTAGTGTTAAGTTCGGAGAGGTACAGGAACCTTTGGGGATCTACGACATGCGCAGCGAGTTCTTCTTCACCTGGCTGGGGCCTTTCTTCTCTGGCTTCTACCTGTGCTTCTACTCACCCCAAGTCATTTCCGGCTCCCTTTCGCTGGGAACGCCGTGGGCTCAGTGGGCTATCCTGTCATTTCGCCGACAGCATGCGACAGCGCAAACTGCCCTAAGTACACCAGCAGAGGAGATTGCTTGGTTGCGTGATGTCTTGTTAGGAGCCATGTGCTCCAAGAGTTGTCATTTGATTCACACGTGTCGAGTTTTGCTCGCTGAGGTTCTTGGCGACGATCTCCGTATTCAAAGAGGTCAGCTCAAACTTCGCGGATGGGTTTGCAATGATGAAGAGTGTGATCGCCAAGTTCGAGCCTTTGCTCGAAGTGACTGTGTTTTTGAACCGGCCGACCGATGTTGGAGACTTGAAAGAGTTGGTGAACGGACGCATTTTGGAGACAGGTGAGCAGCGGAAGAAGCTGATGCACCTATCAATACCAAGCAATGTCGGCATGGTGCGCACTGACATGATTCCGATACGCTTGGACAACCTGGCTTTCAAGTTGCCATCCATGCACAACGATCTGTTCCACGGTGTGAACTTGTCGGTCGAGCAGGGCAAGCTTGTCGCTTTGATCGGCCAACATGGCTCCGGCAAGACAAAGCTGATCAAAATGCTGGCCAGCGGAATCCCTCCCACCAGTGGGAAGGTGCTCATACCTTCACACCTGCGATGCCTGCTTGTTACCCACCAGGTCTTTTTGATGTATGGCTCTCCTTTGCAGAACCTCTTCTTTGGCGACCCCAGTGCTATCTCGCATCCAGAGGAGCGACATCGCCTGATGTGGATTCTGGACAAACTTCGGATGTCTCGAACGCGAGCACTTGCCGAGAGCGAGATCGAGATTTTACAGGAGCCGGTCTCGGAAGAGGAGGGCTCGGAGGATGGCTCCTGCTGTTGCTGCTGTGGGAGCAGTCAGGTGGCAGAGGCATCCCCGCCCCATGCTCGATGGACCCCGCCAGACGGCTCCGCGCGCGCCAAGCGGGTGGCCTCAGCTTTGCATGGCTGGCAGGAGTCGCTGTCCTTCCAGGAGAAGGCCAAACTGCACATCGCACGCGCCCTGGTGATGAACCCTGAGATTATGATTCTGGAGAAGCCGCTGATGAACTTCGACGATCGGGAGTCCGAGCTCGTCTTCAGCATTCTCAGAGAGTTTGTCTCCAATCGAGGCGTAGCTCTTTCGGCTGAAAACCGAGACCAGCGAAGGCCACGCACTTGCTTCTACAGTGCCGAGCGAGAGGAGGGGCAGCTGGATAGCCACATGCCAGACGTCATTTGGAGGTCTGGGGACGGCACTGTGGTTGCAGAGCTCCCTGTCATTCCAGTCCCAGAATCAAAAAAGGGCCGGAAGGCCAAGCCGATGTCGTCGCCGAAGTCCTCGCTCAGTGACGGGTCCCCGTGATAAATTTGATGAAGGGGCGGATTCTGGTTTCACACACCTGTTTCATCCTGTTTCACAGCGTAGCAGGTGTATCAGAGTGCAGCTTCGCAGTAGCCGTTGGCTTGGCGTCCAAGCAACAACCTAGCCACTTAATTGCTGCATGCTGCAGAGACTACTGCCACTTGGTTGTGGTGCGTGGAAAGCATGAAGCAGTGAGTAGCAACCCTAAGGTCAACGAGGCTTGAAAGTATGCTTTGTATGTACGGAATTGGCCAAGACAGTTTCGCGAGTTCCGCAGCTGCTCAGTTGCGAACGGCACTGGCAGCTCAAAGAAGGAGGCCGCGAGAACCCAGACGAATCAAAGCGGTTCCTGCCTTCTGCATGCACAGCCTGGCCCCAGCATGAAGCATCATGAGGCATCAGGAGGCACCATGATCCGAAACATTGACAGGCGGACTATCCTCGCCAAAAAGGCAGGATCCCTGCTCCTTTCCTTCCTTTGTGCAGGGCCTGCAGCATCTGCCAGGGGTTTAATGCGATGACTGGCAGGAGGCTCCGACAGCAAGGAGGAGCGCGAGAAGCAGCCACCCCAAGTTCTTAGATACTTCCAGGAGGAACTCCGTCCTTAAAATCAACTGCAGCGTGAGGTCTGTGACCCTTTCCTATTCTGAGACTGCGGAAGAGGAGACGCGTGCCACAACTTCCGCTCTTGCAGTTGGTGGTGGCTGCGTTGCATGGAGGATGGTTTAGATGTGTGCTCAGGAGCAGTCCATCTCCATTATCCGCACAGTGTCGAGCGGAACAGCAGCACGCAAGCAGCTGAGCTGTGTCGAATGGAAGCCTCAAGTAAAGGCTTAGGGGTTGCGCCGCTGTGTCGAGCCGAGCCTGAATTTGCGAGGGCTACTGGATGACCTGGAAGAAGAAAGGCCTAGTGGGTGGTTGAGTCATGACCGCTGTGTGTCCGAAATCTGCAAGAGCGTGTCGCTGTGGCCTTTCTTCCGACTCCTGTTAATTTCAGGCCTAATTCACAGAATGCTGATCCCCAATCCACTGGCATGCCCGTCTTCTGAAGGCGGCGAGAGTGTCTGGAAGGCTTGGATGAAGGCCTTGCCCACAAGTGCTGCGCTGATAGCTCTGAGGCTCTGAAAGATGCAGAGCCGCGGCACCAGGGTTGCAGGCATATGTAGGATCTAGCGCCCCAAAATCCATGCGAGACTTGGCAGACCTCTTGACAACAGCCAGTTCAGGACCATGCAAACAGCCCAGCAAAATAGCAGGTTTTCCAGAAGCTGTCCCCCAACTGAGCAATAGGCTCTGCGAGCGAGCACAACAGCACCGCCGGCGAAGTGCAGGACGCGTTGACTGCCAATGACTGCCTGCGATTTTTCTCGAGTAATGCTGGCGAGAATAGATGTCACACGACTCATGCTGCAAAACTTGATTCTTACCCCACTCCACAAAACTTTAGCTGATCAAGCAAGCGGAAACAGGATCCCTCGAGGGCAAGCATACTGCCGAATTGCAGCAGAACAATTTATGGGTCTACTTACTGGTTGGACGACTGCCCCGAAAGCAGCAAAGACTGCATTGACGTGATAGTTGGGCACCTAATTTTTTGCATCCTGTGTCTTAGAGAGTCTCTGCGTGGTTAAGTGCAAGGACCTGCACGGAGACACCGCCAGCTGCATGGTGTGCTTACGCATGGTTGCGCACGGCGCAAATGGTTTAGCCCTTTTCGCACTCTGACTCTGAGAGAGAGAGAGAGAGAGGAGGGAAAAAATAAGAACAAACACAAAGAAGACTTGTCTCCCACCCAAACGGGGGTGATGCGATGTGTTTGCAAATGTCCCCCTAAGCGCCCCGGCTCTGTTTCTCTGCCGTGCAAGCGGTAAAGGTGATGATGCCATGATGAGGACTTGCGTTTCAACTCAGAACCTCGAACCGGGAGACGACCGCTCAGCAACAAAAACATTCGAGCCTAGGCCGCTCGGCCGCACAAAAAAACGACCGCGCAGCAAAAAAGAAAGCGTGGCCCTAGCCTGCACAGCACAAACGACTGCACGGTAAAAGTGCTTCGGCCTCACACGGACCACACAGCAAAAAACGAACATGCGCCCCTAGCCTATCGGCCTATCAGAACGAGTTTTGTTTTTGCTTTGCGGTGGTGGTGCGCCGTCGACGACCGCAAAGAAAAGCAACAGACAAGAGACACAAGCCAAAGCGGTGCGCAGCAAAAATAGCCTCGACCTGAATAAAGAATATTTTGCAACATGTAGCTGGCATTGAATATTTTCACAGAACCCTCCGACAGGCCCCGTCCCTATACATTGTTCACTTGCGTAAGTCAGTTACATTCTGGGGGGCCTAGTGGAGGCCAGGAATTAAGTTTGATAGGTTAAATTCGGGGCTCCTGCGTGAAATCGCTTGAAGAATGAAGAAAATCATTGCAAGCCACGGGGAGCCTAATGGAGGCCTCGGACTTATGTGACTTGAATACTTTTAAATTTGAACTCTGGGAGGGAGGCTCATTTGAGGTCCCGCAATTTGAGAGTTTAGATGGTTTTATAGCTTAAGATCCAGGGGGAGCCCAGTGGTGGACACTAAATGTATTTAAATGTATTCAGTAATTTGCACAGGCCAGGAATAACATCTACTTACATAGAAAGCTACATCCAGGCTAGATAATTCCAGTCTAGGGGAGCCCCGTGGAGTAAATTTAAATTGTTTATGCAATGAACGAGCAATTCTGCTAAGTAGGGGCCGCAGGGGGTTCAAATTGGGGCTAGCTTGGCAACTGCTAGCTAGACCCTATTTGCGCCACACAAGGGTTTGAGTGGGGCTTGGTGCCGGGGAGTTTCAGTGTAGACCTTGCTGTCATCAGCCGCCGGCACTGACGCAGGAGATGCCAGTGACAGTGGAGTCTCGCCCCTCTATGCCGGGAGCGCAGAAGACACCTCCAGAATGACCATGACTGATGCATTGCGTCTTGGGCTCTTGTACGCATGCCTGGGCACGCGCCGACACGGCATAAAATGCGCAAACTGCCCTAGGAGGTGTGGAACCTGAAAGAAAATCCAAAAGATCCTGAAAGGAGATGGAACGCGCAGGGAAGCAGCAACAAAACTATCATGCTTCAAGCTGGAAATCCCAAATGCGCAATCCGTACTCCCCAAACCCCTAAGTGTCTTGCCGTGCGCATGTGCGAGAGTTGGCATGGTCAACCTTGAACTTCAACTGTCCCGTTCAACAGAACAAACGAGCGCCTGCAGCAGCTGTAGGCCAAAGACAAGGCTGCCAAACCAAGAACACAAGTTCGGCATGTTCGGCCAGTTGAATCGAGAAGGCTCCAGGACCACAGGTGCCCCAAAGAAATATCTTCCCTGCGACCAGTTCACGCATTCAAAGCGCCAGTTAGACTCAGTTAGACAAGCAGGCCAGCGGACAGGCAAATTGCTATTCTTGACCGAGATACTGCGCAGCCGATTCCCCTTACTGCAGCTGCAAGGTGGAATGCCCCGCCTTCGGTGCCCCCACCTCTGCCAAAGCGTCCGGGTCTGGCTCTTGGGCAAAGGTCACATTCATGCAAATGTTTGGGGCAGGAGGGCTGGTGTCAGGGAGGAGGCTTCGGGTGAAGGCCGGTTTCATCGGTTCTGACTGCGTGTCCCTGCGAGGTCCTCTGGCGCCAATTGGCACGGCCGTGCCCGTCTCAGATCCAATGCGCTTTTGCATCGTTCAGTTTGTGGCTCGTTGATGTTGGTGATGGAACGTGTCGGAGAAAGCTGGCCGCATGCCAAAAGGTTCGCACGCGTATGCCAGTACGATGAGGTTGCCGATAGTGCCGATGTGACCTCCATGTGGAGGCCGGCTTCCACATGAACATTCTATTGCGCCGGAAGCTTCCACATGTGGGTCATATCTTGACGAAAGAGGTTTGCAAGCGCTGGTTGGAAGACTCAGAGAAAGCCTGAAGAGCCTCCTTCTTGCTGCCGACTCGACTGCTGCAAAAGCTTCCGCCTTTTCAGGCCGCAGGCGTACGAGTCCACTCTAGCACACCGCGGGGGCCCGGATTCTATCTTGGCGTGGGATTGTTGCGCAGGCTAGATGCGTTGGTGAAAGGGCACATGGAGGGGGGGGTCCTTGCAACCCAAGGTGTAGGCTCTGGCGGCTGCAGCGTCTATCGGGCACCGCCGTGAGCCAAGCATCTTCTTGGAACGACGCAAAGATCCTCCTTTATGCGACTCTTACAATTCTTAATGAAGCCTCTCTGAGGCTCACCTTGAGGGGAAGAGTTGCCAAACCAATGATCCTGCCGAATCCTGCCAAAGCTTCTGGGTATGTTGCAGGTCGTTGCCGAGCCGCTTGGAACCGTCCTCGCCAGAGTCCTGCCCCTAGAGTAGAAGTGTTGGGAAGTCGCGAAGGTCCTAGCAGTTTATATTCGGCCATTGAAGCTCATCAATGCGCACGCACATGCAGCCATGAATGCAGCAACCTGCTCGATGGGCGGGTGAGCCAGCGAGCGAGCAAGAGCGGTCTGCGCCCACAACACATCTGCTGCAACAAAAAAAACGCACCGTCCGCAAGAACAACTGCGTAATATACGATGACGCTTTTCCGTGTCAGGAGCAAGGAGCGCCAAGGATCCCCAACTGTCTCAAGCCCTTCCCAGGCCGCCTGCCTTGACCTCGCCAGCTGTCGGAGAGGCTGGTTATCGAGGGGATGCGCCTGTTCGAGATGATTTGAAGGGCACGTTGCCCGGCACATCGGCGGGCAGGGCGAAGCAAAGTGCAGCGCAGCTTACGTCTGTTGCTCACGTGAGGCGCCGCCCTCCTGGGGATACTGTAGGCAGCGATCAGGCTCACAGATGTCGTTGGAGCCGGATCCTCGGGCAGGCCAGCGATTTCAAGGCTGGCAAAGCTGGCAGCTACCGTAACACGTAGCAATATGTAGCAATATAGGCCATGCCTGGTGAGGTCGTTCTCAACGGAACGGGAGCCTAGCTCATCTGCGACTCCGGCCGTGCAGAGCTCATTCTCCTCTTTCGACCCTGACTACAAGTTAACGAATATCCCCTAGTTGTGCCCCATCGCTTCTCCAAATCTTTGGCAAAAAAAATGCACTCGGGCCGCGCTTGAGAACCGAGGCGCTTTTCCCCAGTACGCCAGACTTCTGTCCAAGCCCTGCGGCCAGGGCCTGGGTCGGTCTTGGGGAGGGGATGTGCGCATCTGCACGCAGCAATATGGCTGGTGGCAACTCCAGGCCTTCAAGTAACGGTGGGAAGCATGCTGCTGCCTGTTTCTTCCCCACGGAAGAAAGCCTTGTTCAAGCTGGCTCCGCTGCGTGTACACATCGAGTTCCTGATTCTGCAGAGCACACAACTGTCTTGGAATACTGGTAATCACTGGTATGGGGCATTCGACCATACTCACAAAACCTGCCCAAAGTCTGCTCAGGGAAGTTTCATGCTGCCGCCGCTGTCGCATGGGCCCGCTTTGAGCTTTGTCTTGAGCTCGTTACGCACTGCAAGGCCGTTGCACGTTGCATGAAGCGGTTCCAGGATCTGATTCTTGCATGCCAGGCAGCCTGTGCCTGCTCCTGTGCCTTGTGCAGCTGACCCCAGTACTTTGTTGTTTGTTCGTAGTTGGAGCCATTGCTTTCCTGATTCTGACGGTGCGCACGCGCACGCCTGGTGTCTGCAGTCTTGTCTGACAAGTTAGCCTCTCGCATCCTCTCGCAGCCAACGCGGGCTCAGAGTAGGGCCGTGAAACCCGCTCCCTCGGCGCCGGCGCTGCTCCAAGTTTGGCTTTCATCACTCACCGTGTGAGATCTCTGGCATGATGTGATCCTTATACTTATTGTCCAAGAAGTCTCGGAGTTGGCAGCTTGCTGTGTTTGCTTTCTGCTTGCACTTGCGTTGCTATTGCCAGTATGTGCTTCTGTCACTTTCATGCTTCGACCCTGAAGAATTGTGGTTGCGAGCTCCAACAAGTGGCAAGAACTGAAGCTCTTGGCATCCTGAAAGTTTCCCCACCGGTCATGCTTCGTTTCCATGGTCATGCTTCGTGCCCAGTTAGGGGAACTTGGACAATCCGCAGAGCACTCGAAGAGGCTCTGCAAAAGTCTACCCGCTTCAGAAACTTTAGTTGCCTCAGCTAAACATGTCACAGCCACAGCAGCTTGGCGGCGCAGATATTCCTTTGTGCTCCGAGGCCTAGCGAGCAAAAGTCTCGCCCCTCTGCCCCGGCGTCTCCGCCAACTTCAGAAAGAATTGAGATTGAGGGTCATGTGGTCATGTAGAATTTGGAGGTAAACCCCAGTAAGTTGTAGGGTCTGGCAGAAGCGTGGAAGGTGTCACCCTGGTGCAGCACTTTGATTTGCGTGATGGCTGCTTTTGAGTTTTTGATTCACTGCAGCTTCCCAAATTCATGCACTGTGCTGATTCAGGTGCCGGCATGATGCGGGTACAAGTCAAAGAGGGGGAGATGACGAAGACCATCTACACGCACATCATGGAGCAGAAGTATGACAAGGCAGTAAAGATCCTAAATCAGCAGCTGCAGTTCTTTCCCGAGAGCCGCTGTGCCCTGCTCCTTGGCTGCTTCCCACGACTTGGTTTCGATGTTCTAAGAAGCAATCTTGGTTTTCACGCTGGGGTCCTAGCAGGCATTAGTACAGTTCCATGTTGAAACACGCAAGGCGTGCTGAAGGTTCAGCACTAGCCACGAGTCCCTGCAGGGCGATGCAGGCATGTAGCGTGAGGTCTCGAGAATACAATGAGCACGGCAGCACCTGATGTTGAGGTCATTGCTCGGATATTGCTACTACCACATGCAAGACTTTGCCAGTGCCGCGGACATATATGGTCAGCCCCCAGGCATAACCGATTAGCTTTAGTGCATGCGCTCCAGGCTCAGTGGCTTGGTGCTACTAGTGGGTATCGTTCAGTCCCGAAATGAGGGCATTCGTCACCGCTCGTCTGCCACAGCATGCGTTTGTGCTTTGATGCTCCGCAGACGTGCAAGGGTGGACCCCAGATATTGCCATGAAGATGAGCTCTTCCGCATCACTGTGCATCGGAGAGAGCTTGAGTCGCAACTTCCCCTTCTGAGGCTTGTACAAGTCGTTCCAGAGATCGACGAGTACAAGATATACCATGCAACTTTGGTTCCAAGATATTCTAACAGTGCTCCACGTGCCGACTGGCAGAGGCGTAGTCGCCTCCTTGGGGCATCTTAGGTCCAGAGCCTGATCAAAGCAGGCTTGTACGAGGAGGCTAGCCAGGCTTGCACTTCAGTGGAGTCGCCGGAGTACACTGTGCCTGGGCTGCAAGTCCTCGCCGGTGGTACCCGGACAACTTGACACGTTCCTGTGACTGTTTCGTTTCCCAAAAAGGAGCGGGTGCTGATGCTGCAAGCCACGATTTCCTATGAACAGGCCCTGCATGTACATACATGTTGTGCCGGCGGCACGCTCCTCTCCTCCTTGTTCGTGTGCGTTTGATTTTGCAAGACTGACTTGTGCAGGAAGAGACGCAGCTGGCCCGTAGCATCCTGGATCAATGTCATCCAGACTCTGAGGAGGGGCACCGACTGCTGGTCAAGGGGATCTTCACATTGTTGCGTTTTGTTGCTTGGTGACTCGTTGCTTCCCTTTTGCCGCCCTCCGGCTGAAAGCCTGCGTTGGATTCAGGAGAGGCAGGTCTTCGAGGGTGCGCTGCTTTGGAAAGAGAAGCGGTGCCCCGAAAAACCATGTGTGTTGGAGGGCTTGTCGCGTAGTATCTTTCCGGCAGAATGACCCTTCCACTTGACAAACAGCTGACAAAAGATCGAGCAAGACAGGTACGCCGAAGCCATGAAGCTATTCAACGATGCGATAACAAGCACCGGCTATCAGGCGCACGTGGCATAGAACCGATTCGCAACCACCTACTTGCAGCAGTTACAACTAGTCAAGCCCTGACAGGCAAGCCTTGCCTACAACATTGCCCTGTGCTACTATAGCATTGAGCTCGGTCAAGTTTCACACTGACATAGAAGACCACCAAATAGCTTGGCTACTGTTCCATTGCTCAAGGCTCCAAGCAGTATGGTCCGGCGTTGAAGCACATCGCCGAGATCATCGAGCGGGGTGTGCGGGATCATCCGGAGCTGTCCGTAGGAGCTTTGCGACATGGCAGCAGGAGCTTGCAAGCTGGAGCTTCATTTGCTTGTTGAAGCAGTTGAACCCGTAGCACACCAGATCGGATCAGGTCAGAAGGCGACCTGAAAGCTCGGAGCCTTGTCATACAGAGGGCGGTGACTACTAAAGTGTGCGAAGCAAGGGGTTTCGAACCGATCAAGATAAAATATAAAGGCCAGGATTTTCAAATCATCCCTAGCTTGGAAACCAGGGCGGGACCGCAGGTTGGATGGTTGAGAATGGTTGAAGGGAGAGTCTTAGCTAGCCTTTCAGCAAACTTGTGAAGAAGAGCTTCCCTGTGCCAGGAGTGTGGGCAACACCTCCGTCCTGAGGGAAACTGCCCTCATCGAAGCCTTCAACCTCAAGTCTGCAATAGAGCGCACCGGCTGAAATTATGCTATGATGTGGAGACCCAATCTCCTGGGAATAGGGAGGTGTTGTGGCCCGTGACAGGTACATGACGAAAAACATGGAAGCTGCTAAGGACGGCTTTCTCTGCTGTATGGGAAGGATGAGGGGGGTTTTGTGTGGGCTTCGGGTCTAAGCACAACTGTTGGATGGTGCGCAGAGGACGCCTTAGCGGACATGCCGCCTCGGGACGAGTCGGAGCTCGATCCAGTCACGCTCCACAACCAGGCCCTCATCGCAGCACGCTCAGAAGTGAAGCGGTGTCTTTTGTGAGTTGCCTCACACCCATCGGAGTTCAAACTCGCATTGAATCGGATGCCGAGGAGATGGATGAGAAGCCTACTGAAGGCTTCCGCAAGCTCAATTTCCTGCTTAACCAGCAACCCTCCCCCCCAGCACTTCGGCATCCAAGAAGGTAGGAACCTTCTGTCGAGTCAGGCTGGTAATAAGTTGCGACGTTGTAGCTACGCAAACTTCGGTGGCCAAGCCGCCGAGATGAAGTGAGAAAAATGCAGCACGCGATTCTGAGGAGACCTTTGTCAACCTCCTGCTGCTGTATTGCAAGTACAGCTGCCCGGATGAAAGCTGCCGAGTACACGCCAATTTGGTGCCATTGATGGCTTCCTTCCACCCACCTACATATAGGTGGTGAATGGCCGACCCCGAACCCAACAAGTTGTAGGCGTCAGCGACTGTAGGCGATTGACCCGAAACCCTAAACCCTAAGCCCTAAACCCTAAACCCTTGCTTGACATGGCCAGCAAATCCCAAGATGCGCTCAAGGCTACTATGACCTCGCAGCCGACATTCTAGCGGAGAATGCCGAGCTCACCTACAAGAACATGAAGCCTGAGGATTATGAATCTCAGTTGGCATAGGGGCGAGGATCTAGTCTTTCGAGGCCCCAAATTTCCCCCCCCCCCCCCCCCGCCCCCCATAATCCTCTCCCCAATCCCCGCCCCCCCAGCTGGATGCTTCATGAACTTTGTCTGCCATGTAAGGAATTCTTGGATGCATTGATTTTGGGCCAGTCTTCGCCTGAAGAAGCATACCGGCGCTTCGACGAGCTGTCGGCAAAGCATGTCGAGATGTTGCGGAAAGGACAGGTATGGAAACGTAAACGGAAAACCGTGTGGTCCTAGAAAGAGAGCCCTGCAGGAACCAAGAACATCCAGGATGCAAGACGGCAGCGGGATCAGACCCAGGCTCGAGCCGTCTCAATGCTGCTTAGCATGCGGCGTGGCGTGCGTGTGACAGCAGTAGCTGCAACACCAGTAGGGCCATGTAGTAGGACTCATGATGGTACTGGCAGTCTCTGGCTAAGTGCTTGGGCTCCTAATATACTCCTGACTCACGATTCATCAAAGTCTTCGCCTGGGTTTGAGGTTCCTTGGTCCCTGAGTTACACAACAAACCCACACAAATCCCGGGGTGTCCTGTCAGGTGAAAAAGTATCTGGCTGAGTTCGACGACGCCCTGGCAAAGTACATACCGGCAAATTGGGCAGAATTCTAAACTCGGGTGACTTCTGGGAGGGAGCATGGCAAGGCAGTTCGGTCAAGGCAACAGTTCCTGTCAACCTCAAATCCTTCGGCCGCGACTCCTACCGTGGACCCATGGATTCAACCTCGTGAAACGCACAGCAAAAGCCACGCTCAGGTACTCATGGGCCAGGCCAAGATTTACTGGGAGCTGGAGAACTACTCCATGGTGGAGCCTGGGCCTGCACGCTCTGCTGTTGCCCCAGCCTAGATGACTTAGTTGGGAAGCATGGGAAGTGTGAAGGGACCGCCTGAGTTCTGAAACTTCGCGCTTGAATCTGCCCGTGACTCGTGGATATGCCTTTGCAATCATCCGCTGTCCGACTCACACCCAGACGTTGCCCGACTCAGCCCTCCCTCGCCCAACTCGACCTTGTGCCACCTGATAGTGAGATGTACCTGAACAATCGCCGAGGAAAAAATCTTCCGCCAGTCTGCCGAATTCTGCAGCGAAGATGAGTCGTGGAAGCTGCTGCTGGGTTGCAGAAGCTGAAGCTGCTGCCTTTTACGCACTTGCGGTGTTTTTTCGTGCTTGTCCAGCACAGAAAAGAGACGTCAACGCAATTGAGGAACGTGGCCCACATCTTCTTCATGCAGGAGAAGTTTAAGGAGTGCATTCGCTACTATGAGCCCTTTGTGCGAAAGCACAACGATGACCTGCTGAACGTGACTGCGATCATCCTGGCCAACCTTTGCGTGGCGTATGCTCCTTTGCTGGCATCTGGCAAATGACTTCTGCACTTGCATGAAGAAACCTAAATAAGCGGGCGCAGCTGGCATGAATCCTGACCTACTGCCCAGCCAAAGCAACCTATCCAAATAGTGCTGCCCGAGCAGAACTAGAGTTGAGTCATGTGGTCACTGATTGTGCCGGCTAGACTTGAAACAGGCACTGATGAAGAGTCCTGCTTTGTGGCACAAGTGCACTACTCGAAGCGAAGTGAGCTGCCAGGGCATTAATTTAGCCTGAAGCATGAGGTCATGACCTCGGCCAATGAGGAGGCGGAAGAACTTATGAGGCTTGTGGAGCGTGAGGACCGGGGTTGCCATCCTGTATGCGGAACCCGGGAGGGCTGTCAGCAGGCGTGGCCTGCGTGCAGTTTGCTTCAGGAGGAAAAGGTGAAGGACCCGTCAAAACCGGCATCCCGGCATGTCACATTATGTCAAGGACCCGGCAAGTACTACCCCCCCCCCCCGTTCCTTTTACATCGTCGATTGCCGTGGTTCTCCCTCGGTGCGTGTTTGCACACTCTTCTTGCATATTCCAGCTAGCTGTCGGCATGTTGTTTTGATAAGCACCCAGGAATCCTACAACTGAACAAAGGAGTTCACAAAACTTGTGCTGGCTGAGGTCTACCACTTGTGCATCATCAATCTGGTGGGCGCCTGAGATGGGTCAGAGATGGCCGAAGGACGTGCGCAACCAATGTGTGCTGGTGTGCAAACGCAAGCAGCCGACTGCCACGCCAGCACCTGCTGTCGATGCCGAGGTGATCGGAACTCTCTACTGCACCAAGGGCAACTTCGAGTTTGGCATTAGCCGAATCATCAAGTCCCTGGCGCTTTGGCAAGAAACGTGTATTTGTTGGAGTTTCATGTGCAGCGCAGTCAGTATAGTGCTGCTCCTGGACTCAGGAGCCGTATGACAAGAAGATCGGCGTCGACACCTGGCATCCGGGCGGCATGTGCTGAGGTGGACATGGTAGCCGGAGTAACCGAAGACTGGGCTTTCGAGCTGCACTGCTGCCATTAGAAGTGAGGAAGTTTTTTGTTCGTTTGTTGGTTCCGCCATGGCGTTCCTCGATCCAAAGGTACTATGCCAAACGGTGCATGCTAGCTCTTGCAGAGACCCTCGCGAAGAATATGGTCGTGTTTGGGGCTGAGAGTGCGTGTGCTTCGTTTGAGTTTCACTTTGGCAGCGGCTGTGTGCGTGCACGCGATTCATGTGAAAGAGAAGGCTGAACGACGAAGTCTTCGACGACATCATCGCTTTCCTGGACTCCGCCGATCAGGTCGGAAAGAACATCGGCACAACCATCAACGTGGTTGAGGCCAGAGCTGTGCATTCCGCAGTGCTCGTGGTTTGTGCTGACAAAATGTTGTCAACGTTACTGGTGGCAGCATGTGGTTGCTGGCTGTGCTGCTCAGCCTGTTCTGTTCAGCACGAAAGCACTGGCATTGCATGAGGGTGTTTGCTGATTATGAAGGCTGCCAACGAAGATGCAGCAAGCAAGCGAACAGTCTCCCAAGAGGCAAGAATGATAAAACGCTGCTTGGAAATACTTTAGATTGGATTGTGCCTGCACACGCTGCAAGAAGAAGGGCCTCCGGTGACCTCAATGACCTAGTGATCTTCAGCAAGTTGCAGGAGTGCGATCTCCGCAAATGCCAAGGCTTCTTCCTGAAACTTAGAGACTGATGCTCGCATTGGCGCCGGCGCCGGGGATTGGAGAGGCACATACCGCAGGATGTCTTAGGGAGCTCCAGTCCACAGTGCCCATTCTGACGGCTGGAACAGCATTCACACAGTGAACGTGCTTCTGGCGTGCCGGCACATCGTCACACCAATTGTTCGTGATGACATGCTGGCAGGGCCATGGCTCGCCTCTGAGCCTTGGGGCAGGAAGGGTCTCACCCAAAGAAAGAAAGCTAAGAATAAGCCTCGCCTTCAAGCCGTCTACACTGCATAAAGAGATTTATGGATAGAAAATGGATAGATAAATAGACAGATATTTATATTTAAATGAATGTAGATGCGCAGTTTTTCCTTCCAACAGATGCTAGATGAAAGCCAAGACCAGGACATGCCACAACCGACAGGGAAGTGCACGCGGAAAGAGTTGATGTTTCACCAACACGACGGGCTTGTGCAGCACTCCAGGAGACGGGCCACGACACTGAAAAGCAGTAGCTAAGCCCCGCAACAAGTCGTAAGATCAACTTAGTTACTTCCCAATGGGCTGCCCATCGACGCGACCAGGGATCGCGTGTGTCATCTGTCCTCTGCCATATGCAGTTCTTGTAGGGTTCTTGAGGGAGGGGGGGTTCAAGGGGAGTATGTACCTTATACTCCCCACCATTCTCCCGAAGTTTCCTCAAGGTTCCCTAAGTACTTACCCCCCATGAACCCCCCCTTAAGAACCCTATAAAGATAGCTAGCAGATGGTAACATCTGAGCAAAATCTCGTAAGTTGACGATCAATCCCTGGGTTGCCCCCTTCTGGTGCCCGTTTGCCTTTTTCATGCGCGTGGGAACGAGCTCTGTGCAGCGTTGAAAGCTTTGAATGAAAAGTTGGCAATGCAGCTCGCTCCCACACCCAGAACAGCTGGACCATGAAATTATGGGAGGGAGCCACAGATGATACTACAAGCCTGGCATGCAGGTTTATCCAGCTTTGTGGCTCAGATGTCCGGATGCCTTCCATTCTGATTGGTGTGGTGAGGGTCGCCGTTAGCTGCCCGCCGTGCTTCCCAAGCCATTGGCTTGACACAGTGCAGAAGTGAGCATCAGCTTGAATTGCAGAGATTTTGCGAAGCCACGGCGAATGCAGGACGCCATGGTGTCGAATTCGCAAGTTTTATACTCGAACCTTCCCCGATGCAGTGCCGGGTGCATAGCGCAGGTATGAGTAGATAGGGGAACCAAAGACCAAATGCCCTGGCGGGCATGTCGACGAAGGTTATGGCGAATTTGAATCGTTCTCGCAAGCTTGTCTGCATGTTGCAAAACATGAATCGCGGGGTTTTTGCCTCAGAGGGAATCTTGCTCAGCCTGAAACATTTGTAGCCTTCTTTCGTAAGCCTCGTACGCATGCGAACTTGGCATCATGAACAGGCATGAGCAAGCCTGCCAAACTACTTCAAAGTTTCGTTTGGACTTGTGCACCGCTGAGGCAGATGACGGCCGAGCACAAGGATCACCGCAGGCCAAGTAGAGTCTGAGATGTTGGTATTGTCATCAGGTAGCCGATGGCATGACGGCAGTAGATGACAGTGCTCATTTATCATTCATGTCCAGGCCGAGCAAATGATAAACATAACCCCTTTTTCTTTCAGTTGGCTGTTGCCTGTGCACGGTGCGGCTGCAGAATCCAAAGTGGGGATGGACCAAAGCCAGTCAGGGAGGCTGGCTTGCGTATTCGTAGGCCACTTCCCTTCCGCATGGTTTTCTCTGAGGTGATCTACGTGCCAGTGTTCGTTCCGCACAGATGCAGGCGCTCAGTGTCCTTGTCATAAGCTTATGGCAGTGGTAGACTTCATCGAGCCTCCTGCGGAAGAAGCAAGAGCAAGAGACTCCAAAAAAACTCATCTGGATTGGAGCACAGTGGTTTTTGTGCTGAGTGGACGAGGCACTGCGGACACGAGTGCCAACCATCTGAGATGCCGCGGGAGTGCTCAGCAGAGTGCAGCTAGCAGAATGGAGCAGGCAGTTGTAACGTCAATGAGACCCCCCTCCCAACCGCCAGCGGTGTTAGCAGCTTTGCCTGGAGTCAAGCTCTTGTATTAATAATAATGATACTATAACAATAATAGTAATAAAAAACAATACTCATAATCATAATAACAATAATAATAATAATAGACTTGAACCTTTGCATGGCAAGTCGCGCAGCCTGCGCCAAGGCTGCAGTCATCCTTTCTCCAGGAGTTGCCACGCACAAGCGCAAGCGCAGCAATGGACAGCTGGTGCCACCGTGTGCACAGCTACTTTGTGAGCTACTTTGTGGGCTGCTTTGGCTTTGTCAAGGTGTTGTTTATTCCTTTCCTTGCCACAGAAGTTGCTGTCCCCGATGCCCTCGACAGATCAAGCACTGGTGGGGGGGGCTGGGTGTCTTGAGATCCCCAGCCTCAGCCACTGTAATGCTGCTCGGCCTTCAAGGACCTCTTCTTTTCTAGTTCAGACACTTGTGACATGGGCATGCTCCAAAAAGGAATGCACAGCGCGAGAACCAGCAGTATGGAGGCGTCACCCAGTTGTCGCTTTGATTTCGAAACAACTCGAAATAAGTAGCATTGTGGCGACATGCCAAAACTTACAGATGTGCAGACCAAGGTTTTCTTTGCATGTTTCGAGGAAGAAAGGAAGTGAGCATGAGCGAAGCCAACACTTTGAGCGGCTCAGCCTAGGCTTTCCGCCATGCTCCCGACATCACGCTGCGTGTTTTCGAGAGTGGCGATGGCGGTGCCTGAGATTATGTCGTAGGGAAAAGGGAAGTCGCCAAGGTCTGTCGGCATGGAATGACTGCAGCCGTACTTCGCACGACTTACTGTGAATTGTTTGCGGGCAAGATCTTCTCACGCTTGTGTGGGCGCAAGTGTCATACCATGCAGATTGTGCCTCCATTCGCCCCGGCACGACCGATTGCGGAGCCACTTCCACTGATAGCGCAGAGCTCAGCTGCATCCCATCCTTGCATGTGGTTCAGCGTCCGCCCTTCGCTGGGCGGGCTGTACTTAATGTTAATTGGCGAACAGGTGCGGCACATCCGGGATCCTTCTGAAAAGATCCTGCGGTCGCCTATAGGACGAGCTGCTGAGGGCTTGTGATCAAACGGTGCAAGTCTCTGTCTCTTCGCCAGAAGGGTAGCCCGCCGGAGTCCCCCTTACTAGCCTCACCACACTGCACAAGACAAGTCTCAAGGAGATGAGTGCTTGCACTCGACAGTCCCCGCCGGCGATGCTTTTGTGCCACTGTGTCCGTGGCCAAGATGGTAAGGAGCATATCTGAGTGCTTATTGGTCCATCGAACAGAGTAAGGATGAGGGAGCGAGTCTGCACAATGGGACACCATGGTCGGATTGTCCGCGCATTGTGCAGTGTGTCAGTAAGTGTTCAGTATCAAAAATCGCATGAGGCCCTCTCCAATGCGCCCGGCCTCCAAACAAGCGCCGGAAGACGCAGGGCTTGGAGGACAGTTGCGGTTGGCGCTCTGAAACGCTGTGCGAGTTTCCATGGCACTTCACTCTAACACTGCTATAGCTGACTTGTTTTCGCTGCCAGTCAGATTCAGTTGGTGCACGCAGCGTCTGTTTGAGTTCCACACTACGGTTGCACAAGTGGCCCGTTGAAACGCTTTAAGTTGGCCACAAGGAAAAGGAGGGAAGCTCTTCTTGCACTGCACTCTTTCTACACTGTTGAGGAGAAGTGGTGGTTGGAGTACGACCCTCCCAAGGCGAACTACATTAGCGGCTTCGGTCGGGGTCCGTTTGGTGCAGCCCTGAGACTTGCCGCCAGTTGCAGTCCTTACGGCCTGGTTGGCCTAGTTGGCCTAGTTGGCTTAGTTGGCCTAGGGGCCCTCGGCCGGTTGCACCAAGGTGGCAACAGCATTCCGAAGCAGAACTGGCCACGACAAATGGTGCCTATCGATCTGAAAAAGCAGCTGTGCTTAACTCTGGGTTATGCGCACAGAACCTCTAAACACATAATAATGTGCCACATGCTTCATGAACATTCAGCCTTTGCAATGTTTTGCTGCGACCTCAGGAAGTGGGACAAGCGCGAGAGACTACGCTATGCATTTCGAAAGCACGGCTTCGAAGTCGATGTTCCAAAGCTTGGGGGCTGAGCTGCCACGCTCGAAAAAACTGGTGGTCGTTTCTTGCTTTAGCCTGATGGAAGCTTTTCGATGATATTTCGTGTCGAGACTGACTGACAAAGGATCCTGTGCAGTGCCAAAAAGCCTAAAGCATATGCATTGGAAACGCAAAGCAAGAACGAATGGACATACCAACTTTGCGCACATGGGCTAGCAATTCGTTGAGCACTCGAGCACCAGTGGAGTCCGGAAATAACCGGCAAATGTGACGATGGGGTTGGTCCCTGTTTGCGTTCTGTGCGAATAAAAGTGGTGCCTTGACGGCATATTGTGGCATGTTTTCATGTTTTCCGCTCCCTCCCATATATGGGGTTCTTGCACGGCCGAGCTCCTGCGTCCCGGGGCAGAAGGCGGATGCAAGGACACTCGCGAAACTCGCGTACTCAGGCTGCTACGAGAAGAAAGGTGGAAGAAGAGACCTCCGGCCACAGGCCGGCATGCTCCGCGCAATACGCCAATGACTCACACTCACCAGGTTGTGCGTGTGCTCCCCACCAGCGGGGCAAATGCCCGCACAAAGGCGAACCTGTCCATGACGACATCACAATTTAACAGCCCCGGCGCATTACGCTTCTGCTCAGGAGAATGCACAAGTGCGCTGGGGGGAGGTCTTCCAAAGCTCGGTAGTCTCATTCAGCCGGTGCTGGAGGTCGCGGCGACAGGCCGCGGCGAAGATCCCGCTCCTTCTAGCGATGCCACTCGTGCCTGGGTGCACAACTCAAGGCAGGCCCACGTTGGCCGTGAGGTCCATGCCCACCTGCCAACTTCGTGACCACCGAGCCTGGTAGAGCTTGCACCTTGCACTATGTCCCATCAGCTGGTCGCTCCCTTTGGGACAGTGCTCCCGCAGTGTTCTTGGCTGCATCGGTGAAACTCAGCAAACATGAAGTTGAAGCCCACCACACATATGCCTCCGCTGTGCTGCAGCTACAATCGGGTGCCAAAAGACGCGGGCGTCACGGCTGTGATAAGGGAGCTATCGGCTGCTGCATGCTCTGTGGCGGGATGCTCTTTGCGAGGGAGCTGGTTTTCGGAGATACCTGCTTGAAAATCCCTTAGCCTGCTGGTTTTGGTCAGTCCAAGCTCCAGCAGGATTCAGGCGTCGGTGATGATTTACACTCGAGGAGCGTGAACTCTTGGAGCAACTTGGAGGGCTTCTTGCTGTTCCTTTGAAACCCTGGGTGTGCTCGGGAGTGTCGTGCACTGTTTGGGTCTACGGCAAGCTTTGCCCTTGTTCCTTGATGTGCCTTGACAGCCTTGAGTGTAGCAACGCAGTCATCAGCCAAGTGCCAGCTACAAGCAGTCGCTGCTGCGCAGGCACCCACTTCTGCCCTGAGCAGGGAGCTGTGCGAGATGCTCTCGATACGCAGCTGTACTATGCAGGGTTTGTACATATGTCCCACCTCTGTACAGCACGTCGGTTGATGCGCACGGCACTGCAGTGAAGCACAAACAAGATGAGGAGCAGAGAAGCTTTTTATGTGTATTGTAGCGCAGCGCCCCAGGAGAATGACACAATATGCCACGTGTTGCAGAGCTACGACATACATTCAAGTTGGGCCCCATGGGCAATAGGTTTGCGCTTAATTACCCGCCGGGACGAGATATCGCATCCTTAGCCAACCCCCAGATTAGCCACAAATGTGAGGCAGACTTGTAGCGGGGGCCAGGTCAAAGCGAGGCAAGACCTCCCCACCGCTAGTGCGGGCAAGTCCCCGCCTCCTGCCCACAAAAGTCACCCTGATGTGAAGGACAAACGAGTGGGTCAAAGTGGGGCAACCCCCACCCACACAGTAGCCACAAGTCTGCCTCACAGTCAGCCCAAAGCGAGGCCGTGTGCAAGCTGCCCCTTTGCTTGCAGACCTTAGGCTTCAGAAAAAGGGTTGCCATCAATTAGGCGGACTTGGTGGGCAGACAGGGCATGTCGGACAGGTGACACATGTCATATCGGTTCCCGCTTCCAGATCAGAGCAAGTGGGGCAAGCGGGGCAAGTATTGCCATTTTGCCCATGCCCTGAAAACATCGGTCGTTGCGATGGTCAAGGTAGACGTAAGCTATGGCTCGTGAGAGTTTGCAACTCAATCCCACTGCTTGCGTAGGCTATTGTGCACCAGTAACGCGGGCAGCTTTGGCTCAACTGTTATTCGGCCCACTGCATAGGATACGTTGGTCCAGCAAGGCCTGCTATCAGGTATCAGATATCAGGGTCACCCCCCAATTGTCAAAGCTGCGGCGAGGCTGATGAAGCGCAGAGTTGGCCTGGCTGCTTACACAGCTGTCCGTTCAGGATGCCATGACGCGGCGAACTCTGAAGTTTGAACATCATCGAGCCCACACAATCTTTCGCATGCTGAAGAATCATGCAGGACTTCCACGGCTACTCCACAAAGAGCGCGTCCTGTTAACAGGCCAATGCTCGTAGGGCTGCTGTCAAGTTTGCCTGAGCCTTGTCAGAGACTGTTCTGTTGTGAACGTTTCTGCGCCGTGCTCTTCTTGGCTCGTCATAGAAGCCAACGTGCGCATTCTTGCTTGTAGATGGCGCCGTGATCTTTCGAACATGACCACCGCTGCGAGCAAGTCAGGCTACACCGTAGCTGATCTGGCCAGGGAGTTTGCCGGGGAGTTCACGAAGGAGGAAATTCAGCAGCATCTGCAAGGAACGACGGCGCCTTCTCAGCCATCTGCAAAGGTTTCTCCATGCGTGTTCGTTGCTGGACTTTGCTGGGCAACTACAAGCGACAGGCTGTACGACTTCTTTGGAAGTTGCGGTGCTGTTGTGTCAGCAGACGTCTCCATGGACCGCGGTACAGGTCGTTCACGAGGCTACGGGCTTGCGGCTTGCGGCTGTCGAGTTGAGAAACAGACGGGATTCCTTGTAGAATCTTCATGCAGGGTCAGAAGAAAGCCAACGGTCGTCTGCTTGACTTGGGGTGAAATGTTGAGTTCAGGGCCGAAGGATCATGCATCTTGGGATGGCGGGGTTTTCAAGGCGAGCGCTTTTGCAACCTCATCGCGTGGGCTGGTCTCAAGTCTCAAGCTTGTCCAGCTCCCTAAAAAAAAATTTAAAAAAACCACACTCTAGATGGCCCTTGGCAGAGCCAACGCAACCCGGACCTGTAGCTACTGTTTGAAACTCGGCAGCCAAGGAGCCTCTACCATCCTAGACTCCACAGCGCGTTTTCTCAGCTTTCGACCGCCACATACCTACTGACTGTCGGGGATGTTCGAAAACAAGGGAACTCTTTTGGAGCTGTAGCACATTTGTGACGTGGGTTCCCCATCTTCCTGGCAGCAAAGGGTTAACCCCTTGCAAGGCTTCGGCAAGGTGACGTTCGCCTCCCTGGAAGCTGCCGATAAAGCACTGCTGCTGCATGATGCCATGCTAGACGGGCGGCCTATTGTCGTGCGCCCCTTCCATGAGCTCCCGCCTCGGGATGGCCTTAGAGGCGCTGCCCGCGTTCTCAGACCAGCTTCGTCCAAACACCTCGAGCAATTCGGATGATGACACAGGAGCTGGCCATGAAGCGCCATCTTTTGAGGTGGGACGTCCTTTCTTTTTTTCAGTTCTTATCAAATCCCCGGTTTGGATGTGGAGGTGTTGGTGGACAGCATCAGCTGGCACACAAACGAGACCAGCCTCAGGAAGCACTTCGAGGATTGTGGGGCGGCTTGTTTGCAAGAGAAGCCACTCGTTTGGCAAGAGACATGTGGGATGTTCGCCCTTATACTAACAGTCCTTTACTAGGGACCATAATCGGGGGCACTATAATCCCGATTAAGGACTGCTAGTATAAGTATAAGGGGGAACATCCCCAAGAGACATTGTTGAGCCAGCCGGTGTTGAGCACGTGGCAGTTGGATGTTTTGTCTGGCCAAAGGAAATCATATCGTGTGCAGTGTTCTATGACCGCAAGACCGGGCAGCACAAGGCTGGCATTTTCAGAGCAGGCACATTCCACACTTCACTTCGCCCGGCTTTGCTTTCACACGTTTCGCGGGCTCGTTCATGGTTCATGCCCGCTGCCACTTCCAAATCCAGATCGCAAAAACCAAAGTCAACCTGCGAAATGTGCGAAAACCGGGGGAAGTATATAGACACAGAGAACCCGAAAACGAGGAGCTCGGAATTTGCATCAGAGTCGGGAGGGTCCCTCCATTTGCCCATGTCCGTCCAACGTTGTGGAGCCTACTGCTGTTCACATTCTTGAACTTATGGCTTCGAAGCTGCCACTATAAACGTGTCATTTTTAGCTAGATCTGTGCTGGAAGCTGTTCTGCTGAGACTTCCCCTGCAATTTCGCCTCCAAGTTGCAGCCTCTTATGGCACTGTTTTCGTATTTGCTGGCTTGTCAGGGCGTTGGCAAGCTTTCTTTCGCCTGCGAAATCGCTGCCCAACGTGCTGTGCAGAGGCTTGGGGAGGGGGTGCGAAGCGGGCTTAGGGAGCTGGCATCGGGATGCGCAGACTCTTGTGCCAAGACCGCGGCCCCCTGCGAGGCATCTTTCAGACCTTGATGGTTGGACGATTTCCGTCAGGCGTTGTTCTTGCTTCAATGTGGGGAATCTGCGGCTTCTCAGCAGTCTGATGCAGGCCTGGCCGGACCTTTCGAGCCAAAGCAGCTGCAGCTGGGGCCCAAGCAGTCGGTACACTTCTTGAACACGTCTTGACCTGAGAATGTATGGGCTCATGGCCCTTTGCAGCCTTTCCAGGAGCGGAAGAAGTATGGCAGTGAGGCCCCCGATCATTCCGCAGGCTGACGGAAGAAAGCCGGCACACTTTCTTGTGGCCAGTATGTTTCTGCAGTTGTAGGTACGAGCTCTTTCCCAGCCGTGGTGGACATCCCGAAGAGAGTTCCGCCGACGTGTCTTCTGGATTGGCTGGCTGAGCTTGATCCTGCTGGCTTTCTGTTGTGCTACTTGCCCACCTTGCTGACGATGGGCCATAGAACTCCCCAAGACATTGTCCACAGGTGCCTTGCAGAAGTGGGCGGGGCATGCTCCCAATCTGGGCCATGAGTGCTGCATTAAAATCAAGCAAGGTACATTGAAGAGCAGCCGGGAGGGCGGACTCCTCAACTTGGTGAGCAGTTGTTCGCAGATTTGATGCTTTGCTTCAAGTCACCGCCTTTTATTTTGCCTCCCACGCCATGGCATCCGGCTGACCAGCAAGCAACAGCCTCACATCATGCAACAGAAGCAGAGATCTACATGCAAGGAGAGTCCGCAAGCTTGGCCACCGTCGACTTTTCCAGCGCTGGTTTGCTGGTCTCAGTGCCTTGCCAAGCCTAAATAAGTTTGTGGTTGCCAGTTCCTACTGCCGACGCGTTCGACGCTAAGGCAAAACCGGAGAAATCAGCAAGCCATCCGCTACATAGATCGCTTGCTTTGCTTCTTCCCTCCTGATGGCCGTGAAGTCTGCGTTCATCGCCTCGTGAAGCATTCCAGAATATTCCAGAAGCACTGTGTCGTTTGTGGCTCATCGGCGGGCACCACCTACATCCAGCACAGCATGATGGCTGCCAGGGTCGCAAGTGCCCAGGCCTTGCACAGGATGTCCACACATGGCAGCACCACAACACCAACGCCCATGCGTAGCCAATCTCGCCGCATCGCGAGTGAGTTGGTGGAGAAGATGGAGATGAAAGCCGGGCAAAAGATGAGGTTATCTGCCAACGCACACGCGCGCGCGCGCACGCCCCAACGTGTAGGAACCGATGGCATGGTCAGGCTGTTCAAAAAGAGGAAACGCGATTGCTGCAGGAATTTCTTGTTTTGTGTTTCCGACTTCCTGGTTCGGGCGATTTAATTAATTGAATTGAGTGGTTTGGCCGCATGATACCTGTACCGTGGGCTGTGGTTGCCTGATCTGGAATCTTCGCCTGTTGCCTGCAGAGTCGAAATTAGGACAGGAGAGAGAAGAACAAGTTTAGCTTGCGGAGACCCACCCACGAAGTTTCTGAGATCCGCAACGAAGAGAAATCTTGCGGTACTGTAAGCTGCCCGATGCCTCGAGCCATAAAGGTCTTGTTTCTGACTACGATGCGGTCACGGTTCTCGGTTGCCTTGAGAGGCTTCCGTGCTGCAGCCGCTACCGTAAAGCCGTCCACAAGCGCACTAGGCCTGCTGGGGGGCAGTGTTTTGAGTCGCACACTGCACGAAGGCTGTCAGGAGACGCAGTTGAACAAATTGTTGGGACGTGGCAACGTGACTGAGGGGCTGAGACATTGCTGTGCAGTGCTCTTTCGGGGGCACATAGGGCATGCCTTGCAGCGACAGCAGAGCGAACTGGGTCTTGCCGCCCCTTCAGTCGGGACACACCAAAGGTCCACCAAGGGGTTTTCAAACGGCCTCAAGAAGGGAGTCTGATGAGTCTGGCGGGGGTTGGAAGTGGCATGCTATGCAGAGCTTCCTGTAGAGTCGCAAGATGTCCAACCCGTAATTACTTGGTCTTCCTCTAGCTAGAGATAGGCTTGAGGCGGCATGACCAGAGCTGGCACTTTGTGCAGCACTCCGCGTACTTCTGTCTGCAAAACCTCTGCGCTGCCAGGCGCAGCTGCCAGGGCCCTGCGTGATGCAGTGAAGAGCCACGAGGCTTCGGTGGACAGAGCACTGCCCATGCGTTCTTCTGCCCCCTTTGGGTTAATGGTACCGCGCGCAGCTTCGCGTGTTTCTTGGCGTCTCTGGGATTGTGAAAGGCAACCGCAGAAGTGGTTGCTGAAGCCGATGCGCGCTAGCCTCAATCGGAAGGGTGTCGGATCCAGATAGTCCAGATTCACTGCACGCCGCTCGTGCCCCTTGATTTGTTCACCTGTAGCCCTGAAACGGCCAATCTAATGGAGAGGAATAGTCTTCAAAATCCAAAACTTGAGAGCAGGCACGAAAGCTAGGTACCCGCAGATGGGCTGTCTGTGTACGTATCTGGCGGATCCTGGGGGCTTGAGTGTCCGGTTTCCAAAGTAAACATTCTCGCACATGCGTCCCGACGGTGTGGCACGAACAGCAAAAATCACCACAGCTTTCTCGCAATAATCGCGTGACAGGTTTTCTTGCACATGACACTACTGCTTCGCACGCAGAAAGTGATAGTCTTGCACGTGTGACGCTGCGGAAGCATCACTGCCCAATTTTGGCGAGTCGTGACTTAGCCCAAGGCGGGAAATCACGAACAAAACAGACAGCTGAGATCATCAGATCTGATGATTAATGTAAAGGCAATTTCTATTTCGCGACAGATGTGCTCTCCCTCGACACCGATCCCAGTCGATGGTTAGACTGAAGCATTCGACTGTAGATGTCGATGCTTTGCGACATGATTCGCAGGTGATTCGAGTGGCAAAGTATTTTGACCTTGCTGGACTAGAGGCCAGTAGACCAAGAGGCAGCTTTGAAAAGGCTGGGCCGCAGGCTCAGTGGATTTCAATGGGCATCAGTCCATCAGGTTTCTTCATTGATATGGTGCGCCTGGTAGAGTGGGACTCTTCTCGTGCGAGTGATTCGACAGTTAGTGATGCGCAGGCCAGTGCTCTTCGCACCTGGAGTCTATTCCTCGATACGAGTCACCCCAGGTCACGAGCTGCGCGCAGCAGAGGAAGAGATGGAGGCCGTCCGGTCTGTTTGTACGCGCTTTGTCAATTTGTGCTTTCACGCAGCGAAGCACCCCCAAGTCTTGGCTGTGCAAAACGAAGTCCAAGCACCTTGGCAGGTCATGCTGCTTGGCGAACCCTTGCCTGCGGAGAGAAGAAGGGTGGCAGGGGACCTCGATGTGCAGGGGACCATCCCACTGCCACGAAGTGCGTGTTGCGGTCAAGCAGAATTGCCAAGATCCTTCGATCATGCATGACGGGGCTTTGTAGAGCGTGCAGTCAATCAAAGTTGTATCAGATCGTATATAGCTCTGCGCCCTTATGCCCTTTTGCTTCTTGCCCAGGTCGTGCGTACCCCCATTGGTCCCGGCGGTGGCGCTGCTGTTCGTCAAGTCTCCTTGGCGCTGCCGACGGCTCTTCGTCAGAAAAGGGTTGCTGTGGGATTGTGGCTCTGTACCTTGTATGAGTGATGGCTTGGGATGTTCCCCCCTCATATAAACAGTCCTTCGTAGGGATGGTAGGAACCCGCGATTATAATCCCGATTTCAGGACTGTTAGTATTAAGAGGGGGCATCCCAAGTGATGGCCACCGAGCAGTGGGTACCGCACCTGCCGGCGCTTCGGCAGGTGCACTAACAAACATCCTCGAAACCCCAAACCCGAAACCCTAAACCCTAAAGCCTAAACCCTAAACCAACACCAAGGGACCAAGCTGCAGAGATGACATCCTTTGGCATCCCCAATCTTGGTCCTATGTTACTTGCGATGTCGGGGACATGTCTCGATGTCTACGTGCCCTCAAAATGCGTGCACGGCGCATATGCGAGCTGAAAACACCGAAAGGGTCATTGATTTCGAGACCCGAAATTCAACTGCTCACGGTGGCGTTGTGGGGTCGGCGATCGAATTTTCGGCGATCTAGTTCTCTTTGCTTTCACTGTCTGAACTCCGAAAGCGAGCATGGTTTGGAGAGTTTTTTCGAAAACCCGCACTCAAGCTCGCATTCGGCCGCCCCTCTTTACGAGAGAGATGTATGCATGGGCTTGGCCAAATTGCCAAGAATACGGGTTCAGGGGGATGTTACCGAAGGGTTTTGGGCAGTGAGAGTGAGCTACGAGGGCTGAGCTGACGTGGACTTCATGTGATGCTCCGAATCGACTGGAATTTTTGGGGTTTGGAGGTGCGCTTGTAAATGAGCAAATCCTCTTACCACAGGGATGGGGCAAGACATGGCGAGACATGTGTTAAGCACGAGAAGTCGGTAGCACACGCGCTCAGGTCGATGATGTCAGCAGGCTCGCTTTGCTTGAGTCAAGCAGCACGCACTTGATCTTTGAACTGCTGTAGATGACTTGCGCGTAACAGTCCAGAGAATCCCTCGCCTGAGGGTGACTGCCTTTTTCCGCTGCCAGCAAGGGCGGGGGGGTGGGCGTGAAGGTCGGGGAGAGGTTGGCACGCATTGCAGCCTTGCTCATGGTCTATTCTAAGCTAGAAGCCCTCACTTCTCTGGGTGCCAAGTCCACAAGTTGAGCTTGAGAGCTCCTATGATGGTCGACAGGTAGCGTGCTTCACCACCAGGATGTTGTGAAATGTGGAAGTAGTCGGTGCAGATGCCCTCTGCAGACTCATTTCCAGCAGACGAGAACAGAAATTGGCCAGAAGCTCAGCGCAGCACAACTGCCCAGCATAGAACAAGACATGGCGTGTCCTTGATGGCATCACCTGCTCTGAAGCGAACTGGTCGTGTGTTTGGGGAATTTTCAGGCTCAGACAACCTGCTTCTAGCCTGACCTACATACTCATGCGTTTCCCGTTCCTATCGCCATGCAGACGGCTGCCCAACTGTGGTCCTGTCTTTTTCTCTATTATTCAGTCTGTTGCTGTTCCGGCATTACCGAAGAGTCCAATGCACTGAACTTCGTCCAAAGGAAGGCGCTGCCACGATTCGCTCCACTGTCCACGCTTTCAACAGCCCAAAGTTCACGTTCGAAGCCATGGCTTATGCACAAGTACATCGCTGTCGCACATCACAAGTCCGGTGTTTACGTCATGGGCCAACTATGGGAGCTGATCTTCTTTGCCCTTGGGGCGACGACGAGCGACATGGGCATGTGGATACAGCCCTGCTATCCTCATACCTGCTACTCACCTGAGGCTCCCATCCAGATATGGGTTGACATGTACTCCTACGACAAAGCGCAGGAAGAGCGGGTAGCAGCCGGCGCAAACGGCATGCGCGTGGTGGGAATCGTGCGAGATCCGGTGTCCATGATTGTCTCGGCATACTGCTATCACCATCGGGGCAAGGAGCTCGACAGCATCCTTTTCTTCCCCGCAGCACTCTTGGTTGTCTTGGGCCCAAAGGAAGGGCTCAAGCTTGTTGCGGAGGGGATGCTGCCAGCAGTTGAAAACATGACGAGTGCCTTCGAGCAGCCATCCCATGATACTTTCCGCCTGGAGTACGAGAAGCTCACCAGATCTTCTGACGGGTTCGACCAGCAGATGGGAGAGATGATGAACTTCTTGTTCCAGGACCTGATAACCCCTGCAGAGCGCAGCCAGGTTCTCAATGCAACGAAATGGGCAGATTTGCATCGTCACCCGCCAACCGATGACCATCAGAACAATCAAGAGTGCGAGGACGAAGTGCGCAAGTACGTGCCTTCACTGCCTGCAGATATCCTGTCACGCTACCGCTCATTCCAGGAGCGACTAGGATATGCAGCCACATAAGGTGGCTTCGCCTGCTGAGAGGCATTGGTGAGTTCCCTCGCGCTTGGCAAGGAAGTCAGGCCCCTGCCCAAAAATGCATCCACCAAGTACCATGTCTAGTGGTCCCGAGTTGAGACCGCTTGTGATAGTCTGGTTCTGAAATTCCACGGGTCCTGTGCAGCTTGCTTCCTATTGTTGCTTCGTCCCTTAAAGCGAAGATGCTAGAGCACTTGCCGACTGCGAGTACGGAGCTTCCTTCTTGCAGCGATGTGCAATCAGTTGCTTTCGTATTCTCTGGCAGCCGTGCTGGTAGTGATGTTGCCCCCATGTCGTCGCATTTTTGTTTCGTCTCTAGCAGCACATACGAACACGAGGAAGGTGCCGACTTTGCAGAGGGGGGGCGGGGTCGTGTCGTTATTCTCTTGTCGCAGTGTTGCTCGAAATCCCCCGAGCAGCGCATGTCAGTAGCCAATGCGGCTAATGGATACATGGAGACGAGCTCTCTCTGGATTTTCTGGACTCTGGCTCGCTTTGCTTCTGTGCTCAGCATGCTCAGTCCAAGCTGAGGAGATTTGCGCAACGAACCTCGTCCAAAAAAGGGCACAGGCACGATTCGCAGGGACAAAGTCAGTTGCAACCAAATCTGGTCTACGGACACCGTGGGACATTTACGACTATGTTGCTGCTGTGCATCATAAGTCTGGCGTGTACCTGATGCACAAGATGTGGATGTACATGTTTGCAACACTTGGCGCTGGCGATGCCGACCAAGGTGCTGTGATTCAGCCATGCTATAACATCTGTCGCAATGTCGAAGCTCCGGTCAAGGTGATGATTGACATGTGTGGACCAGAGACCTTGGAGCTTTCACAGAAGTTTGCAGAAGCGAGGGGTAAAGGCCTCCGCGTAGCAGGGACCGTTCGAAACCCAGTGAACATGGTTGTCTCCGCTTACTGCTACCACGCCCGCGGAGAAGAAATTTTCAATGCGATATTCTTCCCTCCTGGGTGGCCCCTGGTTACGGTAGCTTCTCTCCCTTTCGCAGATGGGCTGAGCTTTGTTGCAAAGGCAGCAGCTCCGATGGTGCAGAACATGACCGACATGTTTGATGCTCCGCACCCAGACAGGTTCCGCCTCGACTATGAGAATGCCACAGCTTCTTCTGAGGGCTTTGACAAGGCAGCCGAAGAGATGGTGGATTTCTTGTTCGGCGACATGATCTCGGAAGATGACCGGCAGCAGTGCTTGGAGGCATCGAAGTGGGCAGACCTCAACCGTTATCCGGATGGTGTAGACGATCACAAGAACGACCCTGAATGCGAGGCGAGGGCATTGCAAGCTTTCACTTCAGTCCTGCCGGCTGACCTCCTTGCACAATATCGATCTTTTCAGGAGCGGCTTGGATACCAAACCGTGTAGACGACTCTCCCCGAGAAACCCCCAACAGCATCCAACAGCAGGGAGAAGTTGCGGAACTTTCTCATTCTGTCAGCATAGCTGAGAATACAATAAGGCGCGAACTGCAAAAAGAGGGGAGTGGGAGTGGGAAATGATAATCGTCGTCGTCGTCGTCGTCGTCGTCGTCGTCGTCGTCGTCGTCGTGACGGTCGCGGTCGCGGTCGCGGTAGCGGTAGCGGTAGCGGTGGTAGTCGTGGTAGTGGTAGGTTGTAGGCGGTAGTAGCAGGTTGTAGGAGGTAGTAGGAGATATAGTAGAGGTCGTGGTAGCGGTAGCGGCAGCCGTTTTCGTAGTAGCGGCAGCAGCAGGATTCAGGAACTTCATGTACCGTCTTGGAACTGCCGCCAGCACGCCTTAAGAGCCCGAAACCCTAAACATGATTGTGTGACCGTACTGCGATTGGCCTTGGGGCCATGTGCTGAGGCTGTTCCGAAAGCAGATGAGCTGAGCAAAATCCTGGAAGCGTCCTGCCTGGCAAGTCTTTGCTCTTCCGTCACCGTTTAAATGGTTCCCAGATGTGGATCATGTGCATGCAGTGCCGCATGCAGCCATCGGCTCTGGGTCACCTTGCCGCGCTTTCCTAGCGCCACCAGGTATCGCCTTGCCCCCGGGAGCAGAGTTTGCCAGGTGGCTTTTAGCTGGAGGTTGCTGATTTCGCAGTGCATGCCATAAGGTACCGACTGTGGCTGAGACAGGCCAATCCTCGTGAGAGTATGAGTTCACCAGAAGAGGGGAGGCAGCCTAGCAGCGACTGCTTCAGCGACAGCTTGCGCTGCAGGTCGAGCAGACCATGACCGATGTCGTTGGCTGGGCTACAAAGAAAACCTCTGAAGGCCAATGGGGATGAAATGCATTGCGGTACAAAAGGCAGTGGCTAGTTCACCAGGCGTGCTGGATATTATTAGGAGCAGGTCAGACCAAGTGCATGAGTCATGAACTGCACCCGGCGCGTTCTGCTGGCGTCATCAGCCACGGATCACAGGACTTATTTCTGGAGAGATCAACCAGTGCCTGGGCAAATAAGACAATGAAACTACAGACAGTGATGGCCAAGCTGTTCCTCGTCCGAGGCATTGGCTTTTCTGCATCCCCATACAGGTTGGGCCAGCCACCGAACATGCCAGGCACAGAATGCTGGAGTCGACGGCAACGACGGAGAGTATGTGAGCGAAGTCAGTCACTAGGGCCATCATTAGGGCCGAGACTGATATATGAAGGTCTGATGCGACACTCGTGGCCATTGCATGTAGATGCAACTCACAGCTTGACTCAAAAAGGCACCCTGCATCTACCCAAATTTGTTGAACATGCTTGGAACAGGGGTTCTCGGCACTGGTTCGCCTTCATCATTCTGATACAACTTGCCCAAGCCGTGGCGCCGCTCACCTTTATAAAATTTGACAGTCTCTCAACGTTTCTCAAAGCAAAGTGGCCTGTTTGAGAACAGTCCACACAAGCTTCTCAACATTTCGCAACAGAGATCGCACGCATCCCTGCTTTTTGACGGGGCATGGGCGGTCACCAGACAAAGGCAACTGATTCTGAGCGGTGCTTTGTTGACTTCCCTGTGGTCAGAGCCTGAGATGCCAGAACTGCTTCGCTTCCTCTTGCACATAGAATACAGTATCATATGATATGCATGTATATATATAATACATAATGAAATTTCATATCAGAAAGAACAGTAGGACTCAGTAGGAAGCCCTGTGCTGGGACGAGGATGGCCTTGACCGCCGTGGTTGGACTTTACGCGTGGTATCAGGACATGACACTTGTACCTCCAAACGTGCAGATGTGTTTTTTGCCTTTTTTTTTATATCGGTGTTGACTTCTACTAGCAGTCCTTAATCGGGATAGTAGTAGTAGTAGTAGTAGTAGTAGTAGTAGTAGTAGTAGTAGTAGTAGTAGTAGTAGTAGTAGTAGTAGTAGTAGTAGTAGTAGTAGTAGTAGTAGTAGTAGTAGCAGAAGTAGTAGGAGGGATCATAATCCCTTTTAAGGACTGTTAGTACAGGGGGGAGCATCCCAAGATTGGTGAGTTCATGAGCCGGGTGTGGCACACAGCTCCCACAACTCCTCCGAGCCCAGGAACATCACCTACATTTGCCTTTGGGGAGCTGCCAGCCTATTCCAAGGGGTCATGACCTGCATCTCAAGCTTGCTCCCGGCACCTCGGCAAAACACTGGCGGAAGATGACAAGACTTGACACGTCTAGGTCAGCGAGCATTTCAGCACATGTCAGCACTCGGATATTTGGCGCTCCGAATACCATGTGTGCTGTGGTGATGCAGAAACTTAGGCCATCACCGGGGTATTGTCGCTCCCTGGCGTGCAGTTTCAGGGGACGCACCTCAGACTACCCAAGGAGGTTCTTGTCATTGTCGGGTAAGATTCTGGCCACATCCTGGCAAGATGTTCACCTCCCCTGTCTAGCATCCAGAGGTGAGACCCCTTGCCAAGGTTTGATGTTTGGAGCCTGGTGCTGCTGATAAGCGCCATGCTCTCAAGCAACCTATGTGCTGCAAGCAAGAAAGGGCAAAGTCATGCACAGCGGAGCTTGAGTATGCTCGGACCTCCGCCACACAGGTTCCCGTGGTGTACTTTCTGGCTGCAGCCTTCGAACCTTGGACTCGCTACTTTCAGAGTTGTGACACGAGCGCAGTGGTACGTAGAGCCTGGTTCATCTTTATGGCCTTCCTTGGCAAGCTTTGCGGCGCTTCAGGCCTGGCATCTCTACAACGACTACGCGGAAGACCACGGGAAGAAGGCCTACGCCTTCGACCCTTTCGCGGCTTGGAAGAAGGGCGTAGCTCGTTAACCACCTGTCAAGAAGACTTCCGCTCTGCTTCTCGCACGCGTGGACACATCCCCCAGCAGGCACACTGCACACTACATGCACATGCCATCAGCACGGTGGGGCTAGCGATGAACGGCATGAGAACAGTGACACTGAGGGGAAGTATGCTGCCAAGTACGACCCGCTCGAGAAAGTGCCAATATCGGACAGCGTTCTAGCCATGGCCTCAGGGAGCATGCATAGTGCGAAGAAGACAACTGCAAAATCTGGCCTCCTACCTTCAGCTCCTCGGAGCTTGCGCGCGTCAGGGATGGGGGGGGCCCTGTTGCCTGAGCAACCAGGGGCCATCACTGCGCGTGGTGTCTCTGATCGGTCGGGGGGGGGGGGGGGGGGGGGCAGGCCCGTAGTGTGCTCCCCCCATACAAATGCCTGCAGCTTGTGTCTCTCAACATAATCTAGATCGGGCCCTGGCTTTCGTTCGCCTTGCTCTCAAGTGTGGTATCCTGTGTCCCCAGCATGTCCGCCATGGATGCGCAGTACGATACACTGCACTCGCCCCCAGCTTCTTCCCGCTTCGGCGACACTGTCCCGTTCACCTTCTGCTAGGTTCAGGGCTTCGAGCCTGTGGCTCTGCGCACAAACTGTATGCCCATTCCCTGCCCAACGTTGCGGCCCCTACAACCCCCCTTCGACCATGAAAGCTCAGAGACCCAAGAAGCAAGTCGTCAGGACAAGGCCGCAGAACGGCTCTTCACCTCGGAGGGAGGCTGGATCCTCAGCCCGCAGTTCTTGAAGCAACAAAGTGGTCGGGACCTGCTGGTTCGGGCTCAGGCCAAAATGTAGGCATTCCAAAAAATCAAAACAGCCGTTAGGGACTACGGGCCCCAGCGTAGAACATGGACACAAGGAGGCCTTCTTCTGCCTTAAACAGAGGGCTCTGACGTTCTGTGCAGTTTTCTGGGAGCAACCTTTTCAGAAAGCAGGCCTGCTGCCTGCCATTCGCGACGCGCAGTACAGAAAATCCCCAGAGTTTTTTGTCGTCTTTTCAGTCCTAGTCTGTTAGAAACTTAGCATCTAATTATATAGGAGCAAGAGAGGCGTGAGTGTCCAAGCATGCTTGGATCAGCTTGTCTACGGTAATCACGAGCATCCGGCTTAGGGAGGTTGTGCTGTGTTGCCAACATCCGAGCGCAAAAGCTCTTGCATGTGCTCCTTGCATGTCCTGGCTGGGAAAGCAAGTTACGACCGCCCTCCGGCCACTGCAGGTCCCATCTTCCAAGGTGGTGATTACGGCGCAGCTGTGTCACAAGTGTCGGACTGTCTCATGAGCATCCAGTAGCTCTGCCAAGTGAAGTCTGGTTGTCCAGTTCCGCGTCCTGCGTCTATGGGTTGGACCTTGTCAGAGTCAATTAGCTTTCCGGATGCCTTATCCACTGCGTCCAGGACTTCATGAGTCCTGCATCTGGGCGGCGCGAGCGTGAGGGCATGTGCTGCTGACCGCAGACAAGGATGATTTCGTCATTATGTCACTCATGTCTTAGCAGTGCTGCCCTTTGCTGATGGGGAAGGAAACGTCCAATTAAGAAGGCCTCCTAGAGTGTGCCGGCAGTAGCTGCATTCCCGTGGGCATATCGAAAAGGACAGCACTGCAACAGTCAGGGTCAGTTCTTCGGGCTTCCTGACAGCAACCAGCGCGATGCTTGCGCTGGACAAGCACGCGGTACACTGCAATCGACTGCTGCACTGCAGAGATCTGTTTTATGACCTGCGAAAAATCCTTCTTGGCATTTGGGGGGCCGAGACATTTTGATGACCTTGAAGAGGCCAGTCGAGCTACCATCCTGCCTGCCAGGTATTTGAAGGAGAAGTTCATTGGCAAAGCCAGTGACCATGTGGCGCTGTTAACTGCATGGGGCCCAAAGGCGCCACACACGTGTGCTTTGACATGCGTAGACTGGTACTACATGATAGTCCAGCCTTCGCCTGAGCTATCGCATTGCAGGCGATAGGCGACAGTGAGGGCGAATTTGGCGAAGTCGCCGCCCTCATGCGGCTCTCTCTCAAGGCGCCGGCGCAGAGCCTGCTGGGGAAGTTCCTGTGCTGACACTGTCTGATTGGCAGGCCTATCAGGCTACACTGCAGGCCCGCGCAAGGTTGTGCATCCAATGGCTGTCAGCAAAGTCTAGGTGTGCATATGTACCTTGCCGGACGCACTGCTGGATCATCTACCGTCCATTTGGGTGAACCTTGCCATGTTTACCATGGCTTGTGCAAAGCCTGCAGTGTGGGCATAGCAAACTGATGGCAACCTCATGAGTCATGAGGGCAACCTTCAGGCGCACAAGACCGACTTCCAGTTCGAAATCAGCCGCGACGGTGAAGGCGATCATGAGCGCAGCTGCTCATGGCTCTGTCCCTCTTGCATCCCTACCAAGTTACCAAGTGGTGTATTCAGTTAACTTCTTCGCAGCTCTGCGGCGCACCGGTCTGCTGGAGGTCGAGACTGCTTAGTAATGCCCCCCTCCAACTTCGCTCTCCTGGGCTTGAAGGACCCGGATGCAGGTCTCTCTAAAGGATGAGGTTTCAGCTTCGATAAACCTCTTGCCTGATGCCTGACAGGACGCGTTTCACATGCTTCTCAAGGCCCACGAGGGGACGGGGAGAAGACATGGATATAAATTTGAGCAGACAGGACTCTGGAGATGCTTGTGCTTTCATTCACCATGCCCAAGTGGGACGAGATTGCCGCTCGTTAGTGACCGGCACAGGGCTTCCGCGTTCTCCTCATCGTGCAGCCTCGATTCTTTCCCCATTTCCGGGAAATACAGCTTGGGTCCCAACTTGATCGTTGACACAACACAAACATCAGCGGGAACTGTGGAGATAGACGGAATGTCGGGCTGCAGCCCGCGCAAGATCCGCAAGCCCGTTGCATCAAGGGATGAGTGTGACCGGTCTCTTTCCTTTTCCTAAAACCAGGCTCGACTTGGCCAGCTGTGGTTTGCCAGATGGCCTGTTGGAGGTGGCCCCCCCAAGCTGTGCTTGCGGCTGCTCGTGAGATTGAGACAGGTTTCAGATGGTGGCTTTCCATGTTGAACATGTTGGCTTCACAAAAGGTTCTGCCCGGCATCACTCCTGATGCTGACCCAGAAGCACCTGCCCCAGATCTAGTGATGCGCATACAAGCGCACGTGACACGAGGTAGATGATGCCTACACCACACAAACCCATTTTTTGCAAATGGCAAAAGGATCTCTTCACCTTTCGGGTCGTGGCATGGAAAGTAGTGGTTCTCGCCTGGCTTGAACCGCAAGGTTCTGCACGAGGCTTTGGCGCGCGTGGACAGGTTACAGTTCACAGGCCTTTGTGCTCCAGTAGTGTTGAAGTAGAGAGAGGAACAGTGGTGGAAGTGCTCAGAATGCTCCTTGCCACACCAGGTTCCTCGGCCATGTTCAAGAGCCTCGTTAAGAAGGCCTTGGATGGTGGAGCGGCCATGGACTTTGGAGCTGTGTAGGGCCTGTTGGTCATCAGGCCCTTGAGCTGGGGAACTTACGAATGGAGCACGCCGGCGAGGACGGGCGTGTTTAGATGCGCAGGTTCTGCTTCTTGAGACTTTGGTGTTCCACCAGGTCAGTGGCCTGAACAAGGTCCGACTGGATGGTGTTTCAGTGCGACGAGCTCAGAAATTCCCCCGAAGGAATCTTCTGCCCAAGCTGAACAAGACACGGAGAGTTGGAGAAACTCCAGGTCTCATCCGGCCGTTGCACAGGGAACGTGCTGGGCGGCAATGGCTCTCTGCTCACATACCGCCTGCTTGAGTTGCTTAAAATGTCCACAGTGTCAGCCACTCTGAGGCCAACAATGGCGAACTGTGTACTTCTGCCCAGCACCTTGTGAGATGAAGAACAGCGAGCTTTTGCGGAGTTGCATGAAGCTGCACCGAACTCTTGAAGCCAAGGCGTCCTTGGTGGAGCTGGGCTCTCGGTTAGGAATGGGCCCTCCAACTACAAGAAAAGCCCGCCTCTGAGTTATGGCATGGCAATGTCGTCATCGGATTAGGTTTGACACATCCGTGGGCGACACTGCGGAGATGGTGAAGACTGCCTTAGACGAGGACCTGACGTCATGGTGCCACGCTCTTGCATGCGCACCCTGGATCTTTCGATCGGGAGCGCAGGCACAGAAAACCTTCAGCATAGGGAGAGATCCTGCTGACACCAGGCGTGGTCTCGCAGCTTGGTGTTGGTTTGTAGGGAATGAGGGAATGAGGTACCCTATATCCCCCTATATATAAGGGATCATTCCCTCATTGCCTACTCACCAACAGTAAGGCAGTCCCCATTGCGAGGGGTCGCCCGCTTTGGCAAGGCTTCAGATCCTTTTGAGAGACGGGAAGACTGAGAAGCTGGAAGTGAAGACCGAGGAGCTTCGCCGGAGTCCTCACAAATCTTTTATTGTTTCTATTGTTCTTGGTGGTATTAGTATTATTAGTATTATTAGTATTATTAGTATGATTAGTATGATTAGTATGATTAGTATTATTAGTATTACTAGTATTATTAGTATTATTACTATTATTAGTATTATTAGTATTATTAGTATTATTAGTATTATTAGTATTATTAGTATTATTAGTATTATTAGTATTATTAGGATTATTAGTATTATTAGTATTATTAGTATTATTAGTATGATTAGCATTATTAGTAATTATTAGCATTATTAGTATTATAGTATTATTAGTATTATTAGTATTATTAGTATTATTAGTATTATTAGTATTATTAGTATTATGAGGATTATGAGTATGAGTAGTATGAGTAGTATGAAGTATGAGTAGTATGAGTATTATGAGTATTATGAGTAGTATGAGTAGTATGAGTAGTATGAGTAAGTATGAGTATTATGAGTATTATGAGTATTATGAGTAATTCGTATCTTCGTATTCGTATTATTCGTATATTCGTATTATTCGTATTAATTCGTATTATTCGCATTGATTCGTATTATTCGTATTATTCGTATTATTAGTATTAATTAGTATTATTAGTATTATTAGTATGATTAGTATTGTTTGTATTATTTGTATTATTTTTAGTAGTAGTATGATTCGTATTATTAGTACTTATTAAAAGTACTATTAGAACTATTAGTACTATTAGTATTATGTTCTTCTCATCATTATTGTTATGGTTATGACTCTTTCTCTTGTTGTGGAGAGTTGGCACCTGCACCGTTTCCAGTCGCAGGAGCCGGCCGACGGATTTCGGGAGTGGTGGGAGAAAACCATTCTTGCTACCCCCAGGCGGGGTGCCGCGCAGCTCAAGGCAACAGAATGCAAACGCTATTTAGTATGTGTATGTCCCGGCCAGAATTCGGAATCCTCCAGAACCTACAGGCGGTTTTCGTCCAGGGAAAGGATTTTAGAGGGACTTGCAGGGTTTTGAAGGAACAACGCGCGGATGTTTCACATCGTCTGTGAAACTTTACTATCAGCTGGACTCAAAAGAGTACTGATGGATCCATTTAAGCTGGCATGCTTGAGTTTTAAAGGCCCCGAGCGAATGGCACATGGTTGCGTGCTTGCCCTCTTACTGGCTTGTTGCGGATGCAAGGTTTTCAGGCAACTCTTCTGCCCTGCTCTGCTTTCCCAGGGATGGCTCCCTTCAGCTTCGCACCAATCAGTCCCTAGGCCAGGCGGCACATGACTCCACGTGACTTTCCTTCGCTGGCGGTCTGGATCCTTGCCAACCTCACCAGGGCACTGCATCTATGCGCCAAGCATCAGCCGCGCTGTTGAGATTGGGACGCAGGAGGCCGGAGAGTGTTCTTGCCAGAGCCCAGCTCCCGGCCCATCTCTCAAGCCAGGTAAGACTCCAGGGCACTTGGTCCGGCGGGGCGCTCCCCTCCCCCTGCCCCCGTGTGTAGCTTCTAGGTCGTGGCTCAGTTCTTTTTAAGTCGCCTGGGTTCCATCAGATCGACCACTCATCAACCAGCGACATGATTTTCCGACTTTTATTCCGCCCCATGGTAGACATTGCTTGTGCGGCGTCAAGTACTCTAATTCTTCAAGGTCCTTCCTTCTGCTGTTTGAAAGTGCACTGACAGGGCCTTTCTTTTGGGGGACCGAGTCCAGACCACGAGTTTGATACTGACCTCTGCGGCTGTTCTCGATGAACCATGGCCAGGACGCATCGAATGTTTATTGCGTCGGGGTGTCTGAGGCCTGCTGAGACAGTCATGGATCATGGCATGAGTTCCATCATTGCATTCTGAGCTCCTTGTCTAGCGCCACTTAGTTTCCCAAGGGTGCAGCCAATCCTTCTGATTTGCATTGGCATCTTGACACGCCTTGGCCTGAAGACAAGAGCAGGAAACCTCCGCCCCGTCTGCACGCGCCGGCACAACGGGCGCCAAGCTACCTGAAAGCGCTTTCGGTGGCATGAAGTCTGGGCCCAAGGTAAGTCTTGCCGTTCCCTAAGTGGCTCGGATTGATCAGACGGCTGCGATACATAGCTTTTAGCAGCGGTAATGTGCCATTTGGGTTCGTCAATGTAGACCTGGGTGGCAATGCCTGGCGCAGAACCCGGCGCAGCTCTTAGAGTTTTCAGGAGTTACACCTATGCAGTCGCTGGTGATCACGATGGCGTTGGCACTGCCAGCGGCTCAGGATTCGCATGCACCAGCTGCGTCAAACACTTTGAAAGGGACTGTCGTCAAATCAGCTGGGGCAGGTTCAGACCCTTTTTGACAACACCAAGCGGCGAGGACCAAACTACCGAGATCAGGAGCGCACGGCTCTGGTCCATTGGTTGAGAACACACAAAGGCTGCAAAGCCTTCGAAGCTACTGTGTCGAAATGGCACGTACAGTACTGAGGGATTGGCACTGTACCAACTCTACGCGGTCTACATGGGATGCCGCCAATCGGAATCCAAGACCTTTCCCTCCCATGAGCACGAGCCAGCGTTCTTGCATGCAACGTTCAAACAAGCACTTGCAGGAAGAGGCGTATGCTCAGTACGAACTAACTGAAGTGGCCCTGCTCTGAGATGATCTCTATGGACAGCTTGCGGGGACACCGATTTTAACCAGGATACATGATGCTTTTGACAAAAAGGGAGCCTGAGCAGAGAAAGGCTGAGATGCTTCTCGAATTCCTATCTCCCAGAGATCAGATGAGCTTCAGCAAACAGATCTCCAACGTGTTGGAGGCAGAGTTCGAGCATTTTTCTGTGTAATGCTTACTGCTGTGAGCTGTGCAAGACTGACATGCCTAGTTCTATCAAGTGGCACAATGCAAACGACGGAGCGGCTGCTTGCGAGATCTTTGCGGCCTTCCAGCCAGAGCTCACAGCGCCCTATGGAGGGCAGAGCTTGGTGACCTGGCTAGTACAGGGGGATTATGTTCCATCTTGGGTCCCAGCAGGCTTCAAGATGGCTGATCTATGTGAGGATCCCGATCATAGCAAGCCCCGATTGTTCATGGCAACTTCAATAGTTGGTAAAAGGTCCCTGAAATGACCGCCCAAGACTTTCTGGCCTGTTCGTGAAAGTTGTGATCCGTTAGCACGGCTCGATGGGTTTACCAGGTTGTTGATTCATTACGTTGACTTCGGCATTTCAGACATCTACCGCTTGCTCAAGATGTTGAGCAAGCATATGCAGATGCGTCGGTTGAGTTGTAATCCCTGTTGAAGGTGAACGCGGATGGCAAGAGTCGGATGCCAAGAATATGTCACCTTGTGTTAAGCCAGCCATTGTGTCGTGTCATCTGACTCAGCGCATTGCATTTCCGTGTGCATGCTTCCGACTTGTTGACATCTCCTCCTCTGTGCTCACAGTGTGCCTGCTTGCGCATGTTGAAGGCCAGCTAGTGACGCTCCAAGCGCTGAAGCCCGACCAGACCTTGGCACGTCAACAGGTAGAATGAACTCTCGCCGCTAAATCCGGCACCTCGCCAGACCGTACCATGTGACAGAAGTTCGACTCTGTGATAGGTATCTGGACAGCTGATATTCAGGATAAGGGGGTTGTCTGATGGTCTGCGTAGAGCTGCTTCGTCCGACCCAGTCCCGGAAGCAGCTCTTGATCCCACGTGGCGTTGGCCTTCCAGAGGACATTGGTACTGTAAACTCTCAGCCGCCCCGTGCGATCGGTGGTGAAATTAAGTGGGGACATCGTTTTAGGCCACACCTGTGGTCGAGATGGACTCGTCAGTGACCTTGTGAGTGCACTTATTATTGAAACAGAAAGGGAGCATACTGGGAAGTCGGCGATGAATGAATGAGGTGGCAAATGGGCATTTGTTAAGTGTGAACTTGAATGCATGCTGAGAATCGCAACTGCACTGCAAGTGCTTTGCACACGGCTTGTCCTCGTCGTTGATGAGGATACTGATGACGATGATGGTGGGCCTGATTTTTTGAGTTAGTGCTGCTGGGGTAGGAGTCGGGGTGTCCTTGTTGGCCCCCAGGCCTTCTCCCTCGACCCCTTTCTGTGGAAATGAGATGAGTTTGCGTCGCTTGCACAACGGCGTAATCATACACAGCACGCAGCATGCGCACACCCATTCCTGGTGCTGGTTGTGGTAGTCGCGGTGGTAGATCATCATCTTGTTCAGCACCTCGTGCATGTAGAGTCCTTGTATTGGTATATGAGAATACATGCGATAGAGGGTTCTTGCGACGCCTGTAGCGTGATTCTTGACCTTCGCACGCACGCAAACCACCGAGCTCCGAGGTGTGTGCGAGTGCCAGACACCAGGAATGGCACACAGAAAACAATTTGAAGGTCCAAAGGAGGTAGGGTCCCCGCGCCGGACACAAGGAAAGGCCTAAAGAAACGAGTGCTTCCGGGCACTGAACGAATCAGGAGCACATTCGAATGTTGCGGTAGGAGTGGCTTCGTTGGCCAACGAACCCCGCGTTTTCTAGACCTTCCCCTTTGTTCTCTTTGCTAAGCGAATGACATGCCGAAGCTTGTGTGTTTTGCACAGCGATTTCACGCACTTACACACCCGCACGCACGCACGCACGCACGAACACACAGATGCGCACACACGCAGACGTGCACACCGGTGCACGCGTACTCGCACACGGAGAAAATGCGGAGAACACACAGAGAACACACGGAGAGCACACACACACACACACACACATGGCATTTCCCTCGATGGGGCTGTCTTTGAGAAATCCAATGAGCACATTCTCACTTCTGCTGTCACTTCCGAACTTGGCAGATCTACGTTAGTCTTAATTACAGAATCTCAAACTGTTGCACGTTCGAAGGAAAAATTGCAGGTACGTAGGAAGAGCGTCCTCTTCCCATATCACACTCAAGTCTATGGAAAGTGTCTTTCTTCGTTGGCCTGAATCTTGCCAATGAGCCTCAGGCGATTCCCCCTGCAAATCGACAAACGCAGTACGGAAAACCATCAAAAACACTCTCACCTGCACCTCAACGAATGCCTCGCGAAAAACCGAAAAAACACACACACACACACACACACCAAACACACACCAAACACACACACACACACACCAAACACACACACACACACACACCAAACACACACCAAACACACACCAAACACACACCAAACACACACCAAACACACACCAAACACACACCAAACATACACACACACACACACACAGAGACAGAGCGGCGCACGCACACGCACACGGAACACACTGTGGGGCGAGGTGCGTTCTCACATATACAAATAATTGGAATGTTCACCAATTGGCTGCAGCTGCCGTTCCATAGGACATCGTCAAGATGGCGGCCTTGTGCGCAATGTCACCTCTGCGTGGGCCTTATGTGGCACAGGACACGTGTCAGACACTTCACGACAAGCTATGCAACTCCATAGAACAGATGGCTTGTGTTGCTGTCTTCGATGAGGAAGGAGATTCCGGCAGCAGGGCCCTGAGGGTGTGCGCGTTGCAGCACCAAAAAGCACTAATGCAAATGGAGGATTTCCGTGAGGCGGAGCAGGCTTTCCCTTGCACAAGCAAATCGACCGAGGACTTGCATTTGCTCTCTGCGGCTCAGGCACCTTGCTTGCCTGCTTACTGTGTTGAAGAGATGCTGGCTTCGGAAGCTTTGGCAAAGTGTGTATGTGTGTGTGTGTGTGTGCGTCACGGCTGTGTCGCTGTGTGTCGTTCAATCCTTCCGATTCATGCGCAGCCATGTAGGCAGGGAATCTCCGCGTAACCGACCCACTAAAGCTGCAAACTCAGTGTTGCTGTGCAGCATACCGTTCATGTAGCGCTGGCCACGTAGCATCGCTGCGCAGATCCGCATTGCGCGGTCAAGGTCTTTCTTGAAGGTCGTGGAGAGGCATTTGAGCTGGAGGTGCTGGCACGATGGTGTTTTGAGCAAGCTCCTGTCTTGTGTTGCCAGTGCGGGTATCTGGCAGGGTGCATTACCACGAGGACGTTGAAACGTTCGTGCGTGCGCTTCACGCCTCTGAGTTCCTGAGATGCATTTGTGAGAGGGCGAGGGAAAGGGACCAGAGAATGACGAAGCTAAGGTACCCGCCATATTTCCAGTGCATCAAGGACAAGCATCTGCTGCCACTAGAGGTCCATGGCTTGCCATGGCTTGCCTGTTGCACATTCTGGCACACAGCCTTCAGATTGGGAGGTCCTCAAGGCCGTCGCAGAGCAAGGCGGCTACTTGTACGAGGGCTTGCCAAATGTGCAGGCCTCAGGCGATCTCAGGCTTGCAGATTCTGACAGCGAAGCTGAGAGGGTTGCATTGCCCGTTGTTCATCGCTTGCCAACTGTTGCTGCTTTCCTGATCTTTCCTGTTACTGTTCTGAGGACCCCTTCTCTCTGTTCCGATGCTTGACAGCCACGCAGGCCAGATGTCTGGTAGCCCGTTGCCTCTTAGGAAGCAGTGAAGTTGAGGGTTCATGTGCGCGATTAGCTCATTGTCTTCAGCAACAATCTGCCAGGCTTGGACTGTGTCATGCACAGAGGCACAAGTAGCTGAGGCGCGCTTTGTTTGTTTGTTTGTTTAGCTTCTCATAAGGAGCAGTTGGCCTTCGCATTCGCGGCACATGTTAAGGTTTAAGCCAAGGTGGATAAACTGATAAACTTGCCAATCCTGCAAGGTCAAGCGCGACAGTTGCTTTCACTCCACGTGAGTAGATGGATGCATTCAACAAACGAGTGCCACAGTCAACAAGCACCCCAGCTGTCACAACAAGCAGAGCCACGTTCAGCAAAACAGGATGGCCACAATTACAAACACGCAAGTCACATTCAACAACAGCAAACGAGCAAACCCGGTTGCACTTGCAACCATCAGCCTTTAAAGGCATTTGCAGAAGGTGGCTCTCTCCAATGTCGAATTTTCCTAACAGGGTCAGGCAGGAGTTGGACTGTGACACAAGTTGGCTGAAGGTGACTTCAGGATTTGCCGAACGGGGATTCTTTGAACGTCGAATTTGCTAACGGTTTTGGGTAGTGATATTCCGATGGCGCGGTTGGTGATTTCTACCCTTCTCGTTTGCTGCATGCGTCTTCTGCGTTTGCTGAATGTGTCCTGCTAACGTTGACTTCACCAGAGGGGTCGAACCATGATATTCCAGTCGCGCGATTGGTGATTTCTAGCGTCGACATTTGCTTTTGTGTGACTTCTGTTTTTTTGGTGAATGTGGCTGAGAATGTGGCTGTATTAGCTAGCAGTCTTTGGCCAGGTATTCCACTCGTGCGGTTGATCACTTCTGGCTGCGTCATTTACCGATTGCGGCTTCGGTGTTTGCTGAATATGTCTTCTCCTAATGTTAGAATCACTTCCCTGGTGGGACATTTTGGTGGTTTCTAGCTTCCTCGTTTGCTGGATGTGAATTCTGCGGTTTGTGCCAATGTGGCTGTCTGAATGTTGAACGTACTGACGGTCCTTGGCAGTGATGTTCCAGTCATGTGGAATGTGGCTAATCACTTCTGGCTTACTGGTGGAAAAGGCTTTGCCGCCATGTTTGTGTCGCTGTTGGTGAATTTGTCCTCCGTGTTTGCTGCATGTGGCTGTGATGTGTGCCGAATGTCGCCCCCGTGTTTGTTGAATGTTGCGGCGTGTTTGTAAGTCTGCTTGTTGAATGTGGGCGTTGCCCTTCAGTCCACACCCACTGACAAGCCCTTGTTTAGCATGGCTCACATGTTGCAGCACGTGGCAGTATTTTCAGGCATGTCCAAGTACGTACAGAGTGTGCAGGTAGCATGTCTCTTGCTCCATATCCACTTCGCAATGATGTGCGATGCCAGGCTGGTGAGGCTTTGATGAAGGCCTGGCAAAGCACCGGCCTCCGCGAGGCCACACTGCAGCTTGCTGTGGATCTCTATTCTTTCAATGGTAGTCTTAGTCGTAAACTTAAATGTGCATCTTAGGCTTAGCCTTGGTGTTAAACCTGCGTTTGATGCCAGTTTGCTTTTGACCCCAAGATTGCTTGGCTTGCACATGCTATACGAAGTATGCCGCAGTATGCCCTGTGGTTATTGCTTGCCAATCTGGAGCCGCTCAGACTGTTTTTTATGTCATGCCAGCATGCGCATTGAGAAAGAAATCTCATTCCTCTGATTGAGACTTCTGCGGACCCGTGCACTTGTAGCATGCCGACTGCCGAGTTTGGCCAGGAGCCGTTGGAGGGACCGGAGATCGTCAAGCCGGGGGCTTGAAAGTTCACAGAAAAGATGGTAAAAATATATAGGCTGCGGAGCGAAGGCTCTGCAGCGTGCATCTTTACAGGATGTGTCGGCAGCAAGGCACTAGCAGCTAACACACTTCACTTGCTCCGAGGCCTCAGCGGCGGGACTTCGATGTGGGCGGTGGATTTGGGGACACAGGCCTGGCACAGGCGGGCCGCATGATCACAGGAAGCAGAAATCACCGCTAGATCCGGTAGATTGCTGTACCGACGGTAGAATTGCCAAGCTCGCTGCAGGATGACACGAAGTGGGATGAGCTTTCCGACGATGACGAGTCTGATGAGGAGGTCCGGCACGCGTAAACTGAGGGATTGGGTTTGGCAAGTTTTTCCAAGATGAAAAACATGTTATTTCAGCATCAAGAAAAACGATTCCTACAAGGCAGCAAGGAAGGGGAGGAAGGGGAGGAAGGGAAGGAAGGGAAAGAAAGGAATGGAAAGAAAGGAAGGGAAGGAAAGGAAGGAAAAGAAAGGAAGGGAAAGAAAGGAAGGGAAAGAAAGGAAGGGAAAGAAAGAAAGGGAAAGAAAGGAAGGGAAAGAAAGGAAGGGAAAGAAAGGAAGGGAAAGAAAGGAAGGGAAAGAACGGAAGGGAAAGAAAGGAAGGGAAAGAAAGGAAGGGAAAGAAATGAAGGGAAAGAAAGGAAGGGAAAGAAAGGAAGGGAAAGAAAGGAAGGGAAAGAAAGGAAGGGAAAGAAAGGAAGGGAAAGAAAGGAAGGGAAAGAAAGGAAGGGAAAGGAAGGAAGGGAAAGGAAGGAAGGGAAAGGAAGGAAGGGAAAGGAAGGAAGGGAAGGAAGGGAAGGAAGGGAAGGAAGGGAAGGAAGGGAAGGGAAAGGGAAGGAAGGGAAGGAAGGGAAGCAAGGGAAGGAAGGGAAAACAGGAAGAAGGAAGGAAAAAGGGAAGGAGGAAAGGGAGGAAGGGGAGGAAGAAGGGGAGGAAGGGGAGGGGGAGGAAGGGAGGAAGGGGAGGAAGGGGAGGAAGGGGAGGAAGGGGAGGAAGGGGAGGAAGGGGAGGAAGGGGAGGAAGGGGAGGAAGGGGAGGAAGGGGAGGAAGGGGAGGAAGGGAAGGAAGGGAAGGAAGGGAAGGAAGGGAAGGAAGGGAAGGAAGGGAAGGAAGGGAAGGAAAGGAAGGAAGGGAAGGAAGGGAAGGAAGGGAAGGAAGGGAACGGGAGGGAAAGGGAGAGAAAGGCAGGGAAAGGCAGGGAAAGGAAGGAAATGAAGGGGCGTCGCACGAGCATTGTTTTGCAAATAGGAAGGGGGCCGCGTGCCCCTCCAAACCCTCCGAGTATTATGATGATCCTGTGAATCGTTTGACGCCACTCGTACGAGCATTGTGCTTGCAAATGGCTGCGCCCCCCTCTTCCAACCTGGGTTTGCAAAAGGGTGGGGGCGGCGAGCCGTTCCACTGCACCTCCCCACCTTCCCCCCCCCCCCCCCCCCCCACCCCACCTTTCCCCCCCCCCCCCCCCCCAAGCTCGCGTTTAGGACCATCGAACACCATGCCACCGAGACATCCTCAAGGCAGTTGTTTCAACAACTGGGTGAGGGCCGCGCCCCCCCCCCCCCCCCCCCCCCCCCCACCCCTTTGTTTTTAAGTCGAGGAAGCTCGCCGCTGCTTCCCCCAACCTTCTAAGGCGAGCAAGCTTGCATGTTACATGGAAATATTTTCTTGTGTTCTTTGATCCCTCCACCAAAAACTGACATGCGGCCACGTGCATGGGCCTGTTAAGCAGCGCAGAGAGGTGGCGCCAAAAAGCCAGGGCGAGCAACCAGATGCAAAGCCCGAAGCTTAATACACCAAAGAAAGTGACATGGCATGAACAAGTTTGAGCTGGCAGTCTGCAGGCAATGGTTCTCTTAACACGTGCGCCATGCGGCAATATGCGCATGCGGCAGCGTTTTGGCTCATGCCAAGCGGCTCCCAGCCCGCCCAGCGCATCAATCCACCAGCCTTGCGAGCAAGTCTGTAAGGAAAGCCCCAGCCTCAGCGCCCGGCTTGAAAGACGTGAGACGGAATATGACTGTTGGTCCAAGCTGAGACCACTTAGCTTGGGAACGTTCTGAGGAATGCCCCTCCGTTTGCGCAAACAGGTTTGGCCGTGCCCTGGCAGCTTTTGTTTCTGGGAGTCAATGTTGTTTGGTAAGCCGGCTTTGTGGATTCCCGGCACCCCCATCTATGTATTATGAAAAGATGTTCTGCATATGTCAGCAAACGAGCTTGATGGAGAGCCGAGAAAGTGGGCGCGCTATGCACTGGGCCCGGCACTGAAGCGGGCAAAGGCAAGGTCAGTGACATGACAGCGGATTGCTTGCAGCAGTCTTGCAGCTCTTGCAGGGTCGAACAGGGTAGAAGCAGCACGGCTGGTACAAAACGCCCTGCCTCACACTGAACTAACTAACACAGTTCTTGCCATGCGCCTGGCAGAGGCCCAAACTCAGGACGCCGACATCGAGTGCGCGTTGTCTGCAAGGCAGGGAAGAAGGACGGAGTTTCGATGCCGCGGAGCATGTGCTGAATGCCCACGCCCTGACAGCTGCAGGCAGATAATGGTAGAGGCACGCCACGAAGCACCAAATGCTGAAGAAGCGCAGCCACTTAACTCACCCAGGGAATCTTGGCCGAATGCAGAATGAACACAGGTTGCCACCACGAGCATTTTGAAGCCCCTTGAACTTGACAAGTACACTGTAGCCAGGATGTCGGCATGGAGGAGGGCGAAGATCCACCTGAGGGCGAGGGCGAGGGCGAGGGGGGCCCCTCCACGGCTTTTGAGTATGCCAGCAACTTCCGTGAGATGATGCAGTACTCAGCCGAGGACAAGAAGGCGCAAGCAAGATCTGCATGTGATATCCGCATTCCGCCCATGGAAATCCTGCATCATCCCAAAAGCATGTTTCTAGTTATGGGGATGGTAAACCATTGACCAGAGTGCTCTTGCAGATCTTCAGAGGCGTGTTTCTTGAATGTCACGTGCTGAGGCGGACACTTACATTCCAATCGCCGGCAACACCTACCGCCGCCAGGAAGCAGAAACCCGACACTTCGGTCCTTAGATCACAGTCCCTCCGTTCCGCTATCCATAATTGGAAAGGTACCGTTAACCCATGACATGCTGTATGTATAGGGCCGCAGGACTTGCAGCAGCCTGCTTGAAAGAAAGGTTATTGGGGCTTTGGTATCCCAGAGCACCGGTTCACGACCCAGAACTTTGGTGTGCCGCCTGGCTGAGAGGGCCCCCTTGCGTTGTCACCACGTATCTCTGGGCCCCCGGAAGTTGCGCGGAACATTCCTTGACCCCTGTGCCACTTTCGATCGGTGAGGTTCTCCATTTTGATCGTGCAGATCCTTTCGCCGCCAGCATGCATCATCTACAACTTATTCAAAATGGACGCCAAACAGCATTGAGTCCCATTTGCTGCCATTGAGCAGGCATGAGCACATCACAGAATTTTCCTGAGGATTGGGAGAACTGGCACTTTGGTCTTTCAGATTGGTACTACATTCCAGGAAGCGGTAACCACGGCGTCTGCACCTTAAGACACTGGATCCTTATCATCAGTCTCTAGACCAATTGAAGGCTGTCATGCCAGAACTCGTGCTGCCAGCTTAACTGATGGCTTGGGGCTTCAGGTGTCGAATCTCTCGAAGCATGTGGTGGCAACGATCTTCCTACTGATGTTTACGCTGAATGGTGCGATAGTCGTGGACAGTGAGCGGATTGCGTCGCTGTCGCTCGCCTGTGCGGATTGTCTGGCTTTACTTCCGGCGTGCAGCACACAAGAACTTGAATTTCCATCACGCAGATGCTGAGGAAAATCTCTGCGATGCTGGATGCCTTGGCCAAAACGAAGCCGGAATTCCTCAAGGATGTGAACCTCTTCTGGCTCCATGTTGGACGCGTGTTGAACTGCATCGTCGTGTTGGATGCTTGGCGGGCAGTTCTTGGAAGACTGCCATTGAGACAGAGTTGGCAGCTCTTTACAGCCTTACGGAGTGGAGTTCGGGTTGAGTTGATGTGTCGGCGAACACTTTCTGAAGTTCAAAGATGGTGCGGCGAGGTGTTCAAGACCTGAGGCTGCAGAGTTTGCTCTGAAGCTGTCGTCAGTTTCCCTGCCCAGGAGTGCTGCTTCATTGTCTACTTTGCCTTCGTATTGTCTGAGAGTCCGATGGACGTCGTTTTCAATGCTTTGGCTGTGACCTTCCTGTACAACCTTGATGACATTGATGGCGAAATGGGCACTTCGACCTATCGGGAGAGCGTGTGATGCAACCTACAACCCTAAACCCTAAACCCATAACCTCGACTTGTCCCTGCGGAACGGGCGCTGGATGTGCGTGCAGTGCGGGTGGCGAAACCCTAAACCCCCATGAGTGGGCATCGGGCAGCTGAGGATTCATCACAGACGACGACTGGGATGGAGAAGAACTGGGCAAAGTATACTACTATGCTGTCAGCCGGCTCGTAATATGTCGAAGTTTGCATGTCATCATCGACATGTTGCTTGTGGGTTGGCATTGTGCGAGGTGGACCCAGTGATGATGGATGAAGAGCTCAATCCAGACAATTACACGCCAGATGAGATCAACAACTGCAATGGCATGCGCAATAAATATGGCTCCCCGCCTGCATTCAGTACAGAGGCACCGGATTGAGACGACTAGCATCGAGCCCGTAAAACTCTCCAAGGTTCCTGGACCTACAGGCCGGTGGGCATCCGGTGGGGCATATCGTGGTTTTGCTCGTCTGCTCGTCTGCTTTGGACACCTGGCTGCAGCCGTCCAAGTTCTTTTGAGCAGCCAACGCGAAGGATTGCGGAGCCACTGGTTTACCTGCTGGTCATCGTCCTTCCATTGGACGCCTGGCTGATTTGACGATGTGCACCCTGCTCCCCTGTCCCGTACTGTATCTCTTACTACCATTTCAAATCTGTGTACAATTGAGAAGAGGGCTAGAAGAGAGAGAGAGAGAGAGAGAGTGAGCCTTAGTCAAGTGCAACAAGTCCATATGAGGGATGATAAAAAAGCCCCTTACTAGGATTTTCGAAGAGACCCCCCCAAAAAAAAAAAAAAACACATGAGCGTTCTGCTCGGGAAATTGTAAGAATGCCAAAAAGAACATAACGATAGTACGGAAACGTCGATGGAGAACTTCAGGGTCCCCAGGGTCAGAACGCATGGTGCTTTAGCGAGCTGCCAAGCAAGCAGGTGAGTCGTCTGGAATGCTAGAAATTGTTGAAATCTAGTTTGACTATATTGCACACTTGCAGCAAAAGGATGCTACAGGATGCAACAGAGCCGGCGCATCTGTTCCCGCTCCCAAAGAAGAACAGTTAGGGATGGCGAGAGGTTGGCAAGCAGGAATAGCCGGCAAAGAGAGAGAGAGAGAGAGAGAGAGGAACAAATCGGGGCAGTGTCACGGTTCACGACAAAGACTGAACCGTGGACTGGGCGCGCCCACGCGCGCGCGGGGGGTCCCCCCGGGCCCCTCATGCCCCCTTAGAAGAAGAAAGAAGAAGAACAGGCAGAGAGCAGTTGACCGAATGGAGATGTCACCAGAATGCAAGTGAACCGCCACAGGCATCACTCGGGGGGAAACCTCCTTGAGCCAGATCCAAATGCCTTGCAAAAAAACCAGGGTGAGGCTACTGAGATGGATTTAGGGTTTAGGGTTTAGGGTTTAGTGGTGCATCTATTCATGTCCCCTGGCTCCCATTCCGGCAACGCTTTCAGTCCGGCTGCAAAAAAGGGTTTAGGGGGTTAATCACTGCATTAAATCGGTGGCACCCAGAAGAAGCTGCAAAGGGGCGTCAAGTACATAAATCCTACGTAGGGAGTTTGAAGGAAGATGGAAGGGGGGGGATATTCAGTCAAATGTGGCTTTGCATCTTCGGGCACTCCGCGGGATTTACCTCTAACAGGGAGGGGCTAGGCGGGCAGAGAGAAGAAGAAGAGATGTGCATATGTAGAAAAGTATACATATATATATATATGTATATATAGAGACACATATACATACGGAAGTCAAGGCTGAGAAGAAGGAATAGAAAGAGCAGGGAGTTTGAGCCATGCACGTTCGCGCCCATTGCCCATGTCAGATGTACATCTTCATCGATGACCTGCACTGCAAGCCTGGCGACTTGAAACAGACGGTTCTGGAGCTCAAGAACGAGGCGCGTGCCCTCAAAGCCCATGTTGCCCGAGTCCTATTTTGGCAAGCTTGTAGCGCCATATCAATCGCAGCACTGAAAAGCAACACTAAGCAAGCCACATAAAACAGTTGGACCGCTTGGAGGTGGATACGCTGAGGGCCAGTCTGGGACCCGGCTTAGTTGCTTGTGCAATTCCCTTATCCAGCCGAGCTCAATGGAGCCATCACCACTTGAGGCCTTGGAAAGTGAAGTGGCGAGGTGCGCATTCCACAATTTAGTCAATGGTCACTGCGAATCATGGCATGTCCCAAACACAGCACGGGCAGATGCTCTGCCAGAAGCCGCTAGCATGGGCTCTGCTGCAGGTCCACCCTGTCGCGCGCGAGAGAAGCAACAGCAGAGCCGCAGGATTCCGTCCAAGTAGCTGTTGTTGGAGCAGTGGCAGGAGAAGGGATGAGTATTACCTTGGTCTGAGGTGAATATGTGCATGAAATGAAACTTTACGCTCCGAGGCTCGCAAATTTCAAATGCTTCCAGGTGCACAGTTGCCTGTAGAAGTACATTCAAGTGCATGAGTTGCTCCCGCTCTCCAGTCACAAAGATGGCTGGAGAACACGAATTCAATAATTCTGGCCTTTTCTGCGACCTTCACGAGAGGATGATTCCTGCTCTTGGAGACAGTAACAATAGTAATACAACGTGAAACGCCACGGTCAATTCAACGACACCCTCTTTGCTCAGCCCAGGCCTCATTCGAGTTCGACATGACAGAAGCAAGAGCTGGAACCATCGGCCCATACCAGCAAAAAGCATTGCTGGGAACTGACCTTGTCGGGCAGGCTTAAACTTGGCCCATTGGCAGCCGTGACCACCTGCGTCACTCAAACTGCGAGAGAACAAAGGTGGTGCTTGAGGTTGCAGGCGGCTAAATATTGCTAGTTTTATGATTACTCTTACTAGTCTTTTTGGTACTGGTATTATGACTGCTATTTTTCTTATTTTCCAGAGAGCATCGTGCGGTTCTACACTGCGCTGTTGAATCTGTGCTGCCCAGCAGAACCAAGGACCCTGCACGAAAAGACCTCGAGCTAATCCCAGGCTGCTTGGATGGATGGCGAGATTTTGCTTGGATGGATGGCGAGATTTGGTTTGCACAGGGCTAACTGGCAGCAACCGCTTGAGTTGTTGGGCTCGTTCTCCTAAAACCGCAAAGTGGCGCGCATGATAAGCTTGCAAGCGGCTTCAACAAGTGCATGCAGTGCATGAGGTGCAGTCCTCCGATTTTGCGGCCTGAGTCTGGCTTCTAGCTCGGCTGGCTGGGCAAAGTCATCGAGACTCAAGTGTAGAGTGAGCTAGGTGAACACCTCCAAGGTCCATACTGGCTGAAAGCACCTTGCCTAAGCTACGGGCAGCAAACTAGCGACATGTCAGGCCCGAGGGCGTAAAGTGTCAGCCCCCTTCAATCATCTCCGCTCGAAACCTTCCGAAGCCAAGCAGAGAGCTTTGACTCTGACCAAAGGGTTGGGAGATGTCGATTAAAGACACTTCGCAAGCATGACTCTGAACAGCCCGAGCTTCACAAGGTTTACCTCGTACAGTAACGTTTGGGCCCTGCTCAGGGGTATCGAACGTTGCGCGCTCATGCCACACCTACGCGCAGGCCCTTCATTTTTGCACACGACACTGCAGACTCCGTAGGCACAGCTTATGGTGATGGCGTGGAGCATGCCAGACCACCAGACCCACCTGAGGTTCATTCTGTACACTGCTATCTGGCGGTTTCCAGGTGCGCGCCATTTAAGCATGTAAGCCTCCTGTGCCGGGGATGGACCAAGTGGAAGTGCAGGGGGTTTCGATTCCATGAAAATTTAGCATGCCATGGCGCCGTGATCGGGAACTTTTGCATTCCAAAGCATCAATCCCCAGCTCCGCTGGCTCCGGGCCAAAAAAAGACACAGCTGATAGAGCCCAGATGTCGGAAAAAAGGGTCCGGAAGCTACTGACAGCTGCCGTTAAGACAAGGACGAGAAGAAAACCGTTGGGGTTCTTCAAGGTGAGGTGTCGGACCGGTGTCGGATGGTTCTGCATGCTGTCAGAGATCAGGATCGACAATCAAGTTCCGTTGCCCTTGCCTGTTTGCTCGAGCATTTCCACAGCTGAAAGACAAGACGGCAAAGATCACAGAATCACAAAGAAGGTCACCTTTGCTCCTTCTCGCAAGCACTTTCCTCATCAAGTAGTTGTGCAAGAGCCAGGCACAAGACTGGGGCACCAGGCGGAGCGCGTTGCTCCCAAGGGTTCCCTCGAAATGGCCCGTGTGCACGAGACATGGCTCGGCTCTCTGATAACCAATCACAGTGCACGTGATGGTCATCTCCTTTTGGCAGCTTGCTAACAGGGGTCCCCCTCATTACGAGGGTGCTGCGAGGACAGAACTTTCATCTGGGCCGGTGCGCGCTCTGCAATGCTTTGCAATCAAAGGCCCGGAAGACCGATTGGCGCCTGCCTGTGGGCTGCGCCCCGCACTTGGATCTAGGTTGCAAAGTGCTAGCGACGGCGGTTCGCATTATGTATGAAGCACCGCCATTCCGAAGACAGATGCAGACATGGGGGTGTCCTCCCATCCCAGGGCCTTACGGGGACAGGGGGCCGAAAGGTGAAAGAAATGCGAAAGCGAACACAACAAAGAAGGTCATGCCGCCAGTGGGCGGAGTGAAGCGTGAACCAAAGCCCGCAATGGGGACCCAAGTTTGCAAACCACCATAAATAACCACCTGAGGGTCAGATGAGTGGCAGTGAATCACACATTGCTGGACCTCGCTGGACGCCACTGGAAAGGACACCGAAGGCATGAAAAAAAGAGGGTAAAAGACCTGCCTCGGTCATTTTCGTGTTTGCTTTGTGTATGCGGGGCCACCCATTTACCGGCCATAATCCAGCGGCCCTTCAAAAGCAGAGACGGCGGACCGGGAAGTTGCAGGGAAATGATGGGAAGAGGGAGCATCTGCCAAGCTTTTTGGTGACGGGGGTGGGGGGGGGGGGGGCAGGGCGGCTTGCGATGGCACGGGAGGGAGAGAGGGAGAGAGCGCAAGAAGAAGACGAAGAAGAAGAAGAAGAAGCCGAAGTGATGGACTATCAGCACACTGCTCCGACATGCCGATACGAGGAAGCATACGCAGCTCCATTGAGCAGAGTGAACCATTGCAATCTGGCGCTGCAACTTCACAAGTTCTGCCCGAAAGGACCAGGTCACACAGGGGCCACCCCCTGTGTGTGATTTGCGCATATTCATATGCGCATTCATGCCCAGGTGAAGTACAACATTGGTTCCTTCCTTGCAGTTTTACTGTTGGGCTTGCTCGGCTTCTGGCGCAATCCTGCCGGAAACCTGGCAATTGTCACTACAATGAATGAGTGCTATGTAGAGAAGTCCAAGCCTTGCACGCGGTGGGCACCTGAGGTTGCGTGGACTGATTGTCCAGGCAGGGCTGGGCTTTTTGGAGGAGTGAGTCGAGCTGGCTATCATGACCTAAACATGCTGGCAACCTTGTTCCACGCTTGTGGGGCCCGCTGCGTGGTAGCGCCTGTGGATCTACAAATGGCTGCCAACTTGCCCCTTCCTTGTTACAAGAACCCCAGTTAGAAGCCCTGCTGCACTTGCTAGGGCTCGACGAGAGATCATCCTTCCGGCTTCGCCGTGGCGTCAACGAAGCCCTGAAGCCACAAGCCTAGTACTCGCGAGCAACGCTGTTCTGTTGGCAATGTTGGCTTGTCGATACCTTGTCCTCCCAGTCTTGATCGTTTCGACCTTTGAGGCTTGAGGCTCGAGGCTCATGTCTCTAGAAGCTCGTGGTCGAGATAAATCTGTCGCGCAGTTTGACCTTCTTGACCGTCTCTTCCTGACCGTTCCGGCTCCTGGGTGGTGACTCAAAGGGTCAAGAATCATCAGGTCAAGAGCGTCGAGAGTCGAGTGGCCAGAGCACGTCCAAAAGTAAATTTGTCGGGAATGGTTGGCGGTGCTTGCTCGCGGCCAAGGCAGTGGAGCTTATCCCAGGCCAGGCAAAGCGAGATTGGAACAGCTACATCAGGGGCGAATCAGCACGTTAGAGTTGGCAGAGTTTCGTGTTTGCGTTGCCCGGCATGCCCACCCCATAAAGCAACAGTCTCCTGTGCGCGACAGGCCAAAGAAGCGGATGCTGGGAAGGGGCCGGGCGAGGATGCTCAGGTCCAGTCCTTAATGCCCAGCCTTGGATGGGAGATCCTCATCCACCTGTGTTCTCAGGGCAGCGAGGAAGACTCAGCAGAGGACATCCCAAAGCAGGACCCTGCCGAGGCGGGGACCTACGCCTAGCAGTCCTAAAGCAGGATCGGCTCAAGTGTTGCCACAGCTTGTGGTTCTGCACTACCAGGCTAGAAGCACTTAGAGCCAAATCAGAATGGCTTGGGAGGACTTGCCAGGGGCTGGCATGCCCGAGAACGCTGCGAAGGGTGCGGGCCAGGATTCTGCAGCACACACTTGCCTGTGCTTGATGCAGAGTTCATAGATGGAATCTGGGAGGAAGAGAGCAATCTCGAAACCCCTCCTGCCCCGCTGGAGGATAGCACCGCACGGGGCCCAGAGACACGCAGCCACACCAAGCCCATGGTTGCCCAACATCGAGCCACCTATCCCAGGCTCCTGCAGGAGCCCCACAGGCCCAAGGTGACTCGGTGCAGAGTGCGATTACTATCATTATCCTTATCATTATCATTATCATTATCATTACTACTATTCTTATTATCCTTCTTCTTATGATTCTTATTATCATTATAAGAAAAAGTCCGACGCGGCATGAGCAGAGCACCCTCGGGAGGCAATTTCAAGTGGGTGTTCTGTGCCGGACAGTGGCAGGCCCGGGGCTGCTTCGACGATGTTCGAAGAGCCGTGTCATGTCAGAGTAATGATAGAAATAATCATCATCAGTGTAGCAATAGTAGTAATAGTAATACAAGGAAGAAAAATAGTAATAATAGTAATCGTAATAGTAATCATAATAGTAATAATAGTAGTAGTGTCAAAGCTTTGAGCAGGATTGCACCTGTGATGGAATCGTGCGGTGGGGAAACGACGACAAGTCGCTCGGCTGTCAAAGCCACATGCGCTGCTAGGAACCCGAAGAAAAGGGCTCTGGGTTTGTCCAGCCTTCGAAGCCATCATCGACAGTTCCTCGGCCTTGGCCTAGACATCAGGTGGCTTCATATCAAGCCGAAAGCTGCCGGACCTTCTGCTGCAACGAGCAACGCATGCTGATCTTGAATGCCATCTGCATTCCAGAATATTCCATCTGTCTCCAGAATACTCCACAATATATTCGGAATATATTTCCATCAATTGTGCATCCAACATGATGCAACACATCCATGGACCGCCGGCCGATCGAAAGGCGAGCTGCTCACCGTAAAGTGCAACATCCAGGCAGCGTGTGCCCATTGTTGTACAGAACATGGCGGTTCGATCGTTAGTGTCATGTGGAGGTGGCTGTTGTTTTGTTTTTATTCTTGACCGATGGCCAGGTGCTGCAGGACATCCTTCCCGGGGACGATGGCAAGCATTGCGAATGCCAGGTCACACCGGGAACGCCCTTCTACCAAGGACTGCAGCAAACTTTAGCCCATGGGGGTATTGGTCTGCAGCAAATCAACGTTGACATCCTGCCGAATTCTCGATTCCATTCCAAACCCTAGACAACATCCCCAGGACCTCAATCAACACGACGAACCATATTTCCACAAAGTTGTCCTGACAGCATTTCCCTTGGCTGATCAGGACTGAATCCCATGTGGTTGCTCCCCGATGAAGCTGATGCTGAGGGCGCTTCGCTGGTGTCTTCTTGCGAGCTTTTCGAAGAATCAAAGGAGCGAGGGTTGCGCAGAAAGAATGAGTCCCCCAGAGATGCCTCAAAGGACGGCATGTTAGTAAGTGGCTACACGAGGACCACAGCGCATGGGGTCGCAACCAATGGCAAGCCGTCGAAGCGCTCCGTGGCATCCAAGATAAAGCCAGGGTGTGCATCGCTTGTGTCAATTTTGTTGTCCCGTTTGTGTCTTTTCATTGATGGGCCTGTTTGTCTGTCTCTCTGTCTGTGTGTCTGTGCCTGTGTGTCTGTGCTTGTGCGTGATTGCCTGTGATTGTGTGTGCTTGTGTGCGCTTGTCTGTGCTTGTGTGTGTTTGTGCGTGCTTGTCTGTGCTTGTCTGTGTTTGTGCGTGCTTGTGTGTGCTTGTGAGCGCTTGTGTGTGCTTGTGTGTGCTTGTGTGCGTGCTTGTCTGTGTTTGTTCGTGTTTGTGTATGCTTGTGAGCGCTTGTGTGTGCTTGTGTGTGCTTGTTGTGTGTGCTTGTGTGTGCTTGTGTGGTGCGTGCGTGTATGTGCGTGTGGGTGCGTGCGTGGGTGCGTGCGTGGGTGCGTGAGGGCTGTGATTGTCTGTGATTGTCTCTGTGTGTGTGTGTGTACGTTGTCGGGCATGGGGTGGGTAATCTGTTGCAATTGACCCTCACATGTCCATGTAGTCTCACTTGGCGTTCTAATTATGTTGCGATCAGTGCCAATGGTAGTTTCTGACCTTGCATGTGCGAGTGCAAGAGTGTAAGCCTTGAAAAGGAGACGTCGAGTAGGGGTGTTGGACAGGAAGCTCCACAGCCTGAAAATTAGCTGTTGTTAACTGTAGATCGGGGGAGAGAAACTGTAGATCGGGAGGTGGCGGAGCCTCTGTTGCTGGAAAGGCCAAAAAAAGGATAGATGTTGGGGGGCAGGGATCCGAAGCAAGAAGCTGATGTGCGTTTCACGCGGTGGGCGTGTCCAACGTCGAGCAATCTGCAGCTCTTCTTTGAAGCCGGGCTCAGGCGAAAAACATAATTTGCAACAATCTCGGGCTCTCTTTGCAACCTGGGACCTTACGTGTGATAAGACCGCTTGCTTGCTGACGAGGAAGCCCTGCGCGAAAATGTGAAGGACGCAAACAAGCAGAATGGAAGGCGCAAGCAAGTATCTGACCCACCTTGCAGCCATGACGCCACTGAGCAGCGAATCAATGCAAGTGAGGAGGGATCATGGACAACGAGACGCAAGAGAGACAAACACAAAGGCGCAAGCAACAAAGGAACAACGACACAAGCGAGAGGGATCCTGAAATACACTCCTGTTAGATAAGGAAGTACCTTCTAGTCTCCTCCCTTGCTAAGGTTCTGTTCGGACGAATGGACAGAGACGGCAGAGTCACGAGCAGGCGGGCTTGCCAATTCAGAAGAAGCTTTGCAGCAACACATGGCTATACATGGCAATACGAGGTGACAGGCAGATGAGCCTGGACGTGATGCGCAAGTTGATGCGGGCCCGAGTTGACCCTCGCTTCAAAGAAGCCACTTGGCTACCAGGCCATACTATGGTAGTATGCTTCCCCACGCGCGCGGAATCGATGCAGAGAGACTCAGGTTTACAAAGCTCATTTTGGCCAGTCTGGTGAAATGCAGGGCTGGATACCACAAGCTTACGTCAACTACTTCGCCAGCACCCCATCTGGGAAGCACGCCAAGATGACGGAGGAGCTTGTGCGATCCGTGCACCGCTTCTCCACGAAGGCTCTTCGTGCTCTGAAGCTGTTTTGCTTTCTCTTGCTGTTCTTGTCTTGGCAGCTGAGCATGAGTTGTCACCCTGAGAACCCATCACAGCGAATAGGATAGGAGGTAATGAGACAACACTGCAGGTCATCGTTGTGGTCAACTTCGGTATGACAACGTCAGCTAAGCTGACTCCGAGCCGCTACCCGCGTCTGGTCTTGCTGCATGCTGATCCGATGGATTCTTCCTTGAGAAGGAGCTTCAACTTCAACAAGCGCTTTGGCCAAGACGCATTGCGCAAAGATGAGTTGTGCACTAGGACGCCTCAGGCTCCATGCGGCAATCGTGCAACTGAGGCTTCGTGCTTTTCTTTTCGCAAGGGCTTTGGCAGGGGTTGGCTTGGATTCCGAGCCATCCTCAGGTGAAGGTCAATATAGACCACTTGGTGCTTCCTGCTCTGCCTTAACCCGTTATGCCGTCGCCCCATGCCTGCTCTGACAAGGACCAGTTTGTCGCACCCGGCGTGGATCGGCTTTTCGAGATGGCTGAGTGACCAGATGAAATGCTGCCCACAGAACTCTTGAACTAAAAGAATTGCCAACGCACACGCACCAAGGCGAGAGATCACAGCTGATTATCCGCTCCCAATCATGCCAGTTCATTTCCTAGATCGAGGTCCGAAGGACAGGGCTGAAGCATGATGTCTGACACAGCTTCCTCGAAAGTTTATCCATTTTGCGGCTGATGGCATGCGTCAAGGACTTAGGCATCTGGTGGAGCCGGTATTGCGCGGATGCTGCTTCTTGGCGGCGGATATCGGCAGATCACAGACTTCTATTGATGCTGATGTGAGATGCTAGCAGCTGAAATGGTGCCTCCGCATGACCTTTAAAAAGCACTAGTAGAATCAGATCACGGCAGGGAGAGCTATTTGGCTCCCGAGGCATGCAGTCGCCAAACGCTGCGCACCATGCTCAGCCAGCATCAATGGTGGCACCGCAGCCCAGCCACTGGCTGATGTGTGCAGGGCAACCAAGCCTGATGGGCCAATGTGTTTGGCAGCATGCGACAGCATACTTTTTGTTATACCATGCAGCCTGAATAGGCTTCAAGCGCCCCACAGAGGTAGGAGCGGCAAGGACGCGGCTTGTTAGGTGCCATGCTGTCTTCCAACGCCGCCTTCACGGTCATCAGCCCGTCCACAATTGCTCCGCAGGTGCATGTGGAGCCACAGGCCACCAAGGCCAACAACGCGGGCACATGGGTCTCCAGCAGCACAGGCACCGCGCTGGCAGCGGCTGGCCTCGTGACGGCGACCGGCCTGCGACGCAAGGCCCGCGGTGCCCGGGCGGCAAAGACCGGTCCCGTTGCTACCGGTCTGTCCAGCTCTGTGGGCAGTGAGACCTACTTCCGAGACCAGCTGGTGGCCTGTCGTGCACAGCTGGATGGAGTGGAGGCCCCGACCCTGGAGGAGACCGACCAGCACATCCAAGACGTGCAGGACTTCGCCAAGCAGGCTCTAGCTGGAGCAGCTGCTGCCATGGTCTTCACATCGTCCATGGAGTCCGCGGTGGCCTACCCCATCTTCGCACAGCAGAACTACGCCAACCCGCGCGAGTACACCGGCAAGATTGTGTGCGCCAACTGTCACCTGGCCTCGAAGCCCATTGAGGTGAGGATTCCGCAAGCCGTCTTGCCGGACACTATCTTCAAAACTGAAGTGGAGATTCCGGCCAAGTATGCGAAGCGCCGCCAGCCCATCGCAGATGGATCCAAGGGGCCGATGAACATCGGAGCCATTGCCGTGATGCCAGAGGGCTGGAAGCTGGCTCCAAAGGATCGTTTGCCGAAGCCATTGAAGAAGGAGATGAAGGGGCTTGCATGGTCTGCCTACAGCAAGGAGTACCCCAACATCGTGGTCGCAGGGCCGGTTCCCGGCGAGACCTACGAGAAGATGGTCCTGCCCGTCCTGGCCCCAGACCCCAACACCGATGACAAGATTCTCTTCGGCAAGGGCATCTTTTACTTCGGTGGCAACCGCGGCCGTGGCCAGGTCTATCCAGAAGGCAACCAGAGCAACAACAACCAGTTCTTCGCCAGTGCGACTGGCACCGTGACCGCTGTCGAAGGCTTGAAGGTGACCATCACCACCCCGGCTGGTGAGGCCAAAACTCAGGAGATGCTGCCTGGTTCGGACATTGTCGTACAGGTGGGCGACGAGGTGGAGAAGGATGAGCCCATCACCACCAACCCCAACGTCGGTGGATTTGGGCAGGAGGAGAAGGAGTGCATCCTTCAGGACACTCGGCTGGCTTTGGGCGAGCTGTTGCGGGTTTTAATGGTTACTACTGTAGCATCTGTAGCTCCTGCAACGCTGAATGCTCTAACAACACTAAAGAAGCAAGCAGCACAGAGGCACAGCGGCACGATGCGTGGAACGAATTCACGCTGTGCACAGTTTGGCAGTCTGCTGACCAAGGACATGAATCGCGTCTATGCCTATTGCGCGTTTGCCTTTTCTTGCTTCATTGCTCAGCTGTCTTTCGTCCTCAAGAAGAAGCAGTTCGAGAAGGTGCAGCTCGCGGAAGGCTTCTGAGAGAAGTGTTGGACTGCAATGGCTTCCGTTCTGCAGGGAGACTCTGTGGGCACTTTTTCATTTTTCACCTACACCGTCCGTGTGAGGCAGAAAGCGGGAACAGAAGCCCTTGAAGGGGTACATGGGTCGTCGGTTATTGAAGGGTTCTGTACATCGGCGGAGGCCGAACAATCTGACCTGTGCTCGTGCAAAGAAACCGTGCGAAGAAGGCTGGGGTCACGCACATCCTTCTTGGACCCATTGGGCGTGGAGCTCAGACATGCGCGTGCTCTAGGTACACTGATGCATTTCTGTTCTCCCGTCAAGGCCCTGCCGTTCATCGGGAAGTGGCTTCGCCTTATCCTCTGCCCATGGCCAGTGCAATGCCAATCAATCACAGCCTGATGAACATAGAATATGAACACCTAAACCTAGACATCTTTTCCATCTGCAGACCTTGGTAGTGTCACACAAGTTCGGCCGCCAGTCAAGCTTCGCTGTTAACGTATCTCCTCGTTCCAGCTCCCCCAGGAAAGAATTTCCGAGATGAGACATTGCCCAAGATAGCCTCGACCTCGGTAGGGCAAGGCAACATTAGTTTCGCGTTTTGAATTGAAGCGGTAGGTTCAAATGCATCATTTTGGCGAAGCCCTGAGCTTTTGTTTGGTTCCTGTCCTGCAGACGGGAAAGCTACAAGCGCCGTCCTTGCGAGCCGTGGCCTTTCCTGGGTTTAGGGGTTAGTGTTTAGGGTTAGGGTTCGTGCAGCAGTCCTAGCCGTAAAAAGGGTTTAGGGTTTATATATGTTTAGGGTTTAGGGTATCAGTTAGACACTCGTTGCTTCTGGCCTTGGGGAACATGGCACGCTGTCAGTGATGACTGCCGGGTTGTGCAAGACAAGAAAGGTTGTCGAGATTCCAGAGGATGAGGACTTGCTCAATGTCGACACCTCGGATCGCGAAGATGATGCTCCGATCCCTAGACTCAAGTCGTTGTTTTCTGTCGCTCGCGCTGTCCTACTTTCTCAGGCCTACTCCTTTTAGAGTTGAATACTGTCCCTCCTCAGCCCTTGCCACCCCTGAACTGAGCATCTAGTGTGGCCGACCTACTTGGAAGTTACCTGCGAATCCCACTTCAAGTTTCGGATGCTTTCGTAGACTGGGAGGTGGCTTTGTGGGAAGAGAAGGCCACCAAGCAGTGGTGCAAGTTTGACATCACGGTAGGATGCTCAGCTCAGCGAACTGCCTCGACCAGCATCTTGCGGGCACACGCAATTCTCTGATTTCGACAGGGTGCTCATGGAATGCTACAGGGGTGGGTTTGAAAGCATCTTGTGCCAGTCGACACATGCTTGAAAGAATTTGCTCAATGCAGTTTACTATAGTACTAGACTGGGCTCATGACGATATTAGCAGAGGCCCACTGACATGCCAAGCGTTGAAGTGTGTGAAAGGCCGCGCTTACAAACTTCCGAGTCAGATTCATCCGAGAACTTTGTTTGGCATCTCCCATGCACGCGTCAACTGCATAACCCCTGCTCCTTTGCAAGTGCTTTCTCCATTCCTGGAACCCGATACCTGCAGTGTGCGCTCCTAGCAATGTGACGTTGATGTGTGTGTGTGTGTTCAAGGCACCCACCGTTGAAGTGCCTCGTAAAAGTGGATCGAAAATGGGTCTAAAAGTGCATCAAAATTGCACTGCACCTAACTGGCCAATGTCAGCATGAAGCCTAGCAGAGAGGACCCAACTGAGTTCCAGCCCCTGTTCGATTGGAAAGCCAAGAATGGCAACAAGCGCGGATCCCGGCTCATTGAACTCCTTTGAAATTCCGAAGATAGCCTGCACCTGCTTGTCCAAGCCATGCTCAGGTGCACGGGCAGGACCCTCAGAAGCCCTGTTTTGCACACATACTGGCAGAAGGCCTGTTGCCATCTCAGGCTGTGCAAACATCATGGCCGACCGGCGCTTCTACAAACATGGCGGTGCCGCCAAACTGCCGCATCCTGAAGGGGAATCTCGAAGAATTGCTCTAAGAATTGCCGCTCGATACCTTGAGTTAGCAAGATCAAGGTTCTACACTGCTCACCATGCCGTTGTCCCATCGGAGCAAGCAGCTCAGTGCATGCCGACTCCATGCCAGTGCTTGGACGCTTTTACTTCGGACTTTGTGCTGCTGGAAGATTGGCAGGACGCGTAAGCAAGTTGATCAAATCGAGGGCAAGCTGAAGGAAGGCAACTGGCCCCTTTCCACGATAGCGCGAGTCTTACGAGATCCATTCTGTGGAGCTTCGTTTGCGTAGGTCGTAGGTGGTGCCCGTCACCCTCATCCTGTTCTCCAAACTCTGCTATCAGAGCATCTTAATGAAATTCCATTTGCCTGTGACTAATTCTTCGCTTCGCACGGGGCAAGTGCAACCCACAATGCCGTGCAACAGCTCCTGACGCAGTGTCCAAGGTTTTCAACCAGCCCGCATCTCAGTGTGATGTCCTTTGCTCACTGCGCGAGCGAAGTTTAGAAGAGCAAGTTCTGGTGTCAGGAGACTTTGGACATCCGATGAGCTGCGCAAAGCACATCCGCAGCTTGAGTGTTGGGGCCTCAAGTACTCAAACAGGCTGATGGATGTCATGCGTCGGGGGCCGCACAGGTGGCACAGAAGCTCCCGTGGCACTGCCAGGTTTGGTTTGAGCCTCGTGGCCGAGCCGAAGTCCACCGACAAGCAAAATTTGCAACCATGCACGTTGTGGTTGTGAAGTGCAGAAGCTTGTAAGGCTTAGTTACTTAGTTACTTATAGCTACTTAGTTACTTAGTTCTTCTGCTGCTGTTGGTGCGCCTATTTGGTCATGTTTGGCCCAAGCTTGTAGGCCTTGGATGGCGTTAGCTTCTTCCTGCCTCGTCGGCTCGTGTCGCGTAGCAAGGGCTGGAGGACCTGGCACAGAGTTGCGATGCGCGTTGCTGGCCGCACGAGTGAGAGAGAGAGAGAGAGCGAGAGAGAGCGAGGAGAAGAAGAAGAAGAGTGAGTGTGTAAGTGCGTGAGTGAGTGAGTGAGTGAGTGACTGAGTGAGTGAGTGTGTATTTGTTTGTTTGTTTATTTGTTTGTTTGTTTGTTCGCCACCCCCGGTGTGGGGTTGTTCTCCTCGCCCGGTCTATTCCTCGCTCATCCCTGGAGTGCCCAACCCCAGCGTGTCCCCGAGTGCCCAGCCCCAGAGTCTCCCTGGAGTGCCCAACCCCAGAGTCTCCCTAGAGTGCCCACCCCATCACCCCAGAATGTCCTCGGAGTGCCCAGCCCCAGAGTCTCCCTAGAGTGCCCAACCCCAGAGTATCTCTACCAAGAGAGGGTGGGGATGTTCGAAGTAAAATAATTTGCTTGTTTGTTTCTTTGGTTGCGTGTTTGCGTGTTTGCGTGTTTGCGCGTTTGCGTGTGTTTGGTTGGTTGTTTGTTTGTTTCGTCATCAGCACTCTGCACCGTGAACGTCGTTGATCTCGACGAGCGGACGCCAAGGCAGACTCTGCTCCGTTCCATGCTTGTTGAGGCAGTCGTGGAGGTGAGACAAACAAGGCCGGCCAGTGAGTCTGGTGAGCTGCATGCAACGCAGAGGACAAGTGAGGCAAGTCCACATTCATTCAGCACCCAGCTCCGGATTGCGTGCAAGCAGTGGCGGGCTTCAAGCGCCCACGAGCTAGGAGCGGCAAGGACACGGCTTGTTAGGTGCCATGCTGTCTTCCAACGCCGCCTTCACGGTCATCAGCCCGTCCACAATTGCTCCACAGGTGCATGTGGAGCCACAGGCCACCAAGGCCAACAACGCGGGCACATGGGTCTCCAGCAGCACAGGCACCGCGCTGGCAGCGGCTGGCCTCGTGACGGCGGCCGGCCTGCGACGCAAGGCCCGCGGTGCTCGGGCGGCAAGGACCGGTCCCGTTGCTACCGGTCTGTCCAGCTCTGTGGGCAGTGAGACCTACTTCCGAGACCAGCTGGTGGCCTGCCGTGCACAGCTGGATGGAGTGGAGGCCCCGACCCTTGAGGAGACCGACCAGCACATCCAAGACGTGCAGGACTTCGCCAAGCAGGCTCTAGCTGGAGCAGCTGCTGCCATGGTCTTCACATCGTCCATGGAGTCCGCGGTGGCCTACCCTATCTTCGCACAGCAGAACTACGCCAACCCGCGCGAGTACACCGGCAAGATTGTGTGCGCCAACTGTCACCTGGCCTCGAAGCCCATTGAGGTGAGGATTCCGCAAGCCGTCTTGCCGGACACTATCTTCAAGACTGAAGTGGAGATTCCGGCCAAGTATGCGAAGCGCCGCCAGCCCATCGCAGATGGATCCAAGGGGCCGATGAACATCGGAGCCATTGCCGTGATGCCAGAGGGCTGGAAGCTGGCTCCAAAGGATCGTTTGCCGAAGCCATTGAAGAAGGAAATGAAGGGGCTTGCTTGGTCTGCCTACAGCAAGGAGTACCCCAACATCGTGGTCGCAGGGCCGGTTCCCGGCGAGACCTACGAGAAGATGGTCCTGCCCGTCCTGGCCCCAGACCCCAACACCGATGACAAGATCCTCTTCGGCAAGGGCATCTTTTACTTCGGTGGCAACCGCGGCCGTGGCCAGGTCTATCCAGAAGGCAACCAGAGCAACAACAACCAGTTCTTCGCCAGTGCGACTGGCACCGTGACCGCTGTCGAAGGCTTGAAGGTGACCATCACCACCCCGTCTGGTGAGGCCAAAACTCAGGAGATGCTGCCTGGTTCGGACATTGTCGTACAGGTGGGCGACGAGGTGGAGAAGGATGAGCCCATCACCACCAACCCCAACGTCGGTGGATTTGGGCAGGAGGAGAAGGAGTGCATCCTTCAGGACACTCGGCTTTGGGCAGGCAACTGCGAGTTTTAATTGTTGCTGCTGTAGCATCTGTAGCTCCTGCAACGCTGAATGCTCTAACAACACTAAAGAAGCAAGCAGCACAGAGGCACAGCGGCACGATGCGTGGAACGAATTCACGCTGTGCACAGTTTGGCAGTGTGCTGACCAAGGACATGAATCGCGTCTATGCCTATTGCGCTTTTGCCTTTTCTTGCTTCATTGCTCAGCTGTCTTTCGTCCTCAAGAAGAAGCAGTTCGAGAAGGTGCAGCTCGCGGAAGGCTTCTGACACCCGCAGAAGTAAGCAAGTCATTTTTTCACGCTGGGGGTGTGCACCCACCAATCTTCGCGGCATGCCTAGATGGGCCTCCGACAAGTGCTCCTAAATAGTTGACGAGGCCATATGAGGCCAAAATTCAGTCCAGCACTCTGCAGCATGAGTTTTTGAGTCCAGCGCTCACCGCACATAGCGTGTGAGCTCGTAGTGCCCGCTGCACGTTGCACGCCCACTGGGGGCTGACATGGTGCAAAAATCCAGGTGTCAGACATAAATCGTCGTCAGAGCCCAGATATACTGTCACCTGCTGCCAACATCGATGCGTTCCTGCATGTTCCTGCAGTCGTGGCGGGCTCCAAGTGCAGAGGTAGAAGCGGCAAGGACACGGCTTGTTAGGCGCCATGCTGTCTTCCAACGCCGCCTTCACGGTCATCAGCCCGTCCACAATTGCTCCACAGGTGCATGTGGAGCCACAGGCCACCAAGGCCAACAACGCGGGCACATGGGTCTCCAGCAGCACAGGCACCGCGCTGGCAGCGGCTGGCCTCGTGACGGCGGCCGGCCTGCGACGCAAGGCCCGCGGTGCCCGGGCGGCAAAGACCGGTCCTGTTGCTACCGGTCTGTCCAGTTCTGTGGGCAGTGAGACCTACTTCCGAGACCAGCTGGTGGCCTGCCGTGCACAGCTGGATGGAGTGGAGGCCCCGACCCTGGAGGAGACCGACCAGCACATCCAAGACGTGCAGGACTTCGCCAAGCAGGCTCTAGCTGGAGCAGCTGCTGCCATGGTCTTCACATCGTCCATGGAGTCCGCGGTGGCCTACCCCATCTTCGCACAGCAGAACTACGCCAACCCGCGCGAGTACACCGGCAAGATTGTGTGCGCCAACTGTCACCTGGCCTCGAAGCCCATTGAGGTGAGGATTCCGCAAGCCGTCTTGCCGGACACTATCTTCAAAACTGAAGTGGAGATCCCGGCCAAGTATGCGAAGCGCCGCCAGCCCATCGCAGATGGATCCAAGGGGCCGATGAACATCGGAGCCATTGCCGTGATGCCAGAGGGCTGGAAGCTGGCTCCAAAGGATCGTTTGCCGAAGCCATTGAAGAAGGAGATGAAGGGGCTTGCATGGTCTGCCTACAGCAAGGAGTACCCCAACATCGTGGTCGCAGGGCCGGTTCCCGGCGAGACCTACGAGAAGATGGTCCTGCCCGTCCTGGCCCCAGACCCCAACACCGATGACAAGATTCTCTTCGGCAAGGGCATCTTTTACTTCGGTGGCAACCGCGGCCGTGGCCAGGTCTATCCAGAAGGCAACCAGAGCAACAACAACCAGTTCTTCGCCAGTGCGACTGGCACCGTGACCGCTGTCGAAGGCTTGAAGGTGACCATCACCACCCCGTCTGGGGAGGCCAAAACTCAGGAGATGCTGCCTGGTTCGGACATTGTCGTACAGGTGGGCGACGAGGTGGAGAAGGATGAGCCGATCACCACCAACCCCAACGTCGGTGGATTTGGGCAGGAGGAGAAGGAGTGCATCCTTCAGGACACTCGGCTTTGGGCAGGCAACTGCGAGTTTTAATGGTTGCTACTGTAGCATCTGTAGCTCCTGCAACGCTGAATGCTCTAACAACACTAAAGAAGCAAGCAGCACAGAGGCACAGCGGCACGATGCGTGGAACGAATTCACGCTGTGCACAGTTTGGCAGTCTGCTGACCAAGGACATGAATCGCGTCTATGCCTATTGCGCGTTTGCCTTTTCTTGCTTCATTGCTCAGCTGTCTTTCGTCCTCAAGAAGAAGCAGTTCGAGAAGGTGCAGCTCGCGGAAGGCTTCTGACACCCGCAGAAGTAAGCAAGTCATTTTTTTCACGCTGGGGGTGTGCACCCACCAATCTTCGCGGCATGCCTAGATGGGCCTCCGACAAGTGCTCCTAAATAGTTGACGAGGCCATATGAGGCCCAAATTCAGTCCAGCACTCTGCAGCATGAGTTTTTGAGTCCAGCGCTCACCGCACATAGCGTGTGAGCTCGTAGTGCCCGCTGCACGTTGCACGCCCACTGGGGGCTGACATGGTGCAAAAATCCAGGTGTCAGACATAAATCGTCGTCAGGGCCCAGATATACTGTCACCTGCTGCCAACATCGATGCGTTCCTGCATGTTCCTGCAGTCGTGGCGGGCTCCAAGTGCAGAGGTAGAAGCGGCAAGGACACGGCTTGTTAGGTGCCATGCTGTCTTCCAACGCCGCCTTCACGGTCATCAGCCCGTCCACAATTGCTCCACAGGTGCATGTGGAGCCACAGGCCACCAAGGCCAACAACGCGGGCACATGGGTCTCCAGCAGCACAGGCACCGCGCTGGCAGCGGCTGGCCTCGTGACGGCGGCCGGCCTGCGACGCAAGGCCCGCGGTGCTCGGGCGGCAAGGACCGGTCCCGTTGCTACCGGTCTGTCCAGCTCTGTGGGCAGTGAGACCTACTTCCGAGACCAGCTGGTGGCCTGCCGTGCACAGCTGGATGGAGTGGAGGCCCCGACCCTGGAGGAGACCGACCAGCACATCCAAGACGTGCAGGACTTCGCCAAGCAGGCTCTAGCTGGAGCAGCTGCTGCCATGGTCTTCACATCGTCCATGGAGTCCGCAGTGGCCTACCCTATCTTCGCACAGCAGAACTACGCCAACCCGCGCGAGTACACCGGCAAGATTGTGTGCGCCAACTGTCACCTGGCCTCGAAGCCCATTGAGGTGAGGATTCCGCAAGCCGTCTTGCCGGACACTATCTTCAAAACTGAAGTGGAGATTCCGGCCAAGTATGCGAAGCGCCGCCAGCCCATCGCAGATGGATCCAAGGGGCCGATGAACATCGGAGCCATTGCCGTGATGCCAGAGGGCTGGAAGCTGGCTCCAAAGGATCGTTTGCCGAAGCCATTGAAGAAGGAGATGAAGGGGCTTGCATGGTCTGCCTACAGCAAGGAGTACCCCAACATCGTGGTCGCAGGGCCGGTTCCCGGCGAGACCTACGAGAAGATGGTCCTGCCCGTCCTGGCCCCAGACCCCAACACCGATGACAAGATTCTCTTCGGCAAGGGCATCTTTTACTTCGGTGGCAACCGCGGCCGTGGCCAGGTCTATCCAGAAGGCAACCAGAGCAACAACAACCAGTTCTTCGCCAGTGCGACTGGCACCGTGACCGCTGTCGAAGGCTTGAAGGTGACCATCACCACCCCGTCTGGGGAGGCCAAAACTCAGGAGATGCTGCCTGGTTCGGACATTGTCGTACAGGTGGGCGACGAGGTGGAGAAGGATGAGCCGATCACCACCAACCCCAACGTCGGTGGATTTGGGCAGGAGGAGAAGGAGTGCATCCTTCAGGACACTCGGCTGGCTTTGGGCGAGCTGTTGCGAGTTTTCATGGTGGCTACTGTAGCTCCTGTAAGGCCGAATGCTCTAGCAACACTAAAGAAGCAAGCGTCAAGCAGCACAGCGGCACAATGCGCGGACGAATTCACGTTGTGCACAGTTTGGCAGTCTGCTGCCCAAGGACATGAATCGCGTCTATGCCTATTGCGCGTTTGCCTTTTCTTGCTTCATTGCTCAGCTGTCTTTCGTCCTCAAGAAGAAGCAGTTCGAGAAGGTGCAGCTTGCGGAAGGCTTCTGATGTGACTGCGGTGTGACATCTGTTAACTTTACTAAAGAAAGCGGCTTAGGCTCCCGCCGAGCCTGGGATCGAACCGCACGCGAGCAGTAGACAGAATTTTTCGATCTCGCAGCACGGCGACGGCGACACGTGGGTAAGCGGAGAAAGCGCACATGCGGGGGTTGGGTCAACGACACCAAATGTAGGGAGCAGACGCCAGCCTCGCACGTAACAATGACTTCGCAATGACCTGAAAGCACTGGTACTTCACCTCTCTGAGCCCTCAGCCTTGAGACCATCCTGAAGAGGCAGCTGCGTACATTGGGGACGAACAAAGAAGGATTCGTCGCGTAATCAGTCATCAGTCGCAAGTTTCAAAGACCACCAGAAATTTGCAGCTGTACCAGGCTCCAAGTGTCAAAAGGCTGCGGCAAGGACGCGGCTTGTTAGGTGCCATGCTGTCTTCCAACGCCGCCTTCACGGTCATCAGCCCGTCCACAATTGCTCCACAGGTGCATGTGGAGCCACAGGCCACCAAGGCCAACAACGCGGGCACATGGGTCTCCAGCAGCACAGGCACCGCGCTGGCAGCGGCTGGCCTCGTGACGGCGACCGGCCTGCGACGCAAGGCCCGCGGTGCCCGGGCGGCAAAGACCGGTCCCGTTGCCACCGGTCTGTCCAGCTCTGTGGGCAGTGAGACCTACTTCCGAGACCAGCTGGTGGCCTGCCGTGCACAGCTGGATGGAGTGGAGGCCCCGACCCTGGAGGAGACCGACCAGCACATCCAAGACGTGCAGGACTTCGCCAAGCAGGCTCTAGCTGGAGCAGCTGCTGCCATGGTCTTCACATCGTCCATGGAGTCCGCGGTGGCCTACCCCATCTTCGCACAGCAGAACTACGCCAACCCGCGCGAGTACACCGGCAAGATTGTGTGCGCCAACTGTCACCTGGCCTCGAAGCCCATTGAGGTGAGGATTCCGCAAGCCGTCTTGCCGGACACTATCTTCAAAACTGAAGTGGAGATCCCGGCCAAGTATGCGAAGCGCCGCCAGCCCATCGCAGATGGATCCAAGGGGCCGATGAACATCGGAGCCATTGCCGTGATGCCAGAGGGCTGGAAGCTGGCTCCAAAGGATCGTTTGCCGAAGCCATTGAAGAAGGAGATGAAGGGGCTTGCATGGTCTGCCTACAGCAAGGAGTACCCCAACATCGTGGTCGCAGGGCCGGTTCCCGGCGAGACCTACGAGAAGATGGTCCTGCCCGTCCTGGCCCCAGACCCCAACACCGATGACAAGATTCTCTTCGGCAAGGGCATCTTTTACTTCGGTGGCAACCGCGGCCGTGGCCAGGTCTATCCAGAAGGCAACCAGAGCAACAACAACCAGTTCTTCGCCAGTGCGACTGGCACCGTGACCGCTGTCGAAGGCTTGAAGGTGACCATCACCACCCCGTCTGGGGAGGCCAAAACTCAGGAGATGCTGCCTGGTTCGGACATTGTCGTACAGGTGGGCGACGAGGTGGAGAAGGATGAGCCGATCACCACCAACCCCAACGTCGGTGGATTTGGGCAGGAGGAGAAGGAGTGCATCCTTCAGGACACTCGGCTGGCTTTGGGCGAGCTGTTGCGAGTTTTCATGGTGGCTACTGTAGCTCCTGTAAGGCTGAATGCTCTAGCAACACTAAAGAAGCAAGCGTCAAGCAGCACAGCGGCACAACGCGCGGACGAATTCACGTTGTGCACAGTTTGGCAGTCTGCTGCCCAAGGACATGAATCGCGTCTATGCCTATTGCGCGTTTGCCTTTTCTTGCTTCATTGCTCAGCTGTCTTTCGTCCTCAAGAAGAAGCAGTTCGAGAAGGTGCAGCTCGCGGAAGGCTTCTGATGTGACTGCGGTGTGACATCTGTTAACTTTACTAAAGAAAGCGGCTTAGGCTCCTGCCGAGCCTGGGATCGAACCGCACGCAAGCAGTAGACAGAATTTTTCGATCTCGCAGAACGGCGACACGTGGGTAAGCGGAGAAAGTCATGCGTCCGCACAGCGCTTCGTGCAGATTCCAGCGATTTTCAGGATGCACCACCTGGTGGAGCCCCCATAGAGCCTAGAGCTTGCAGGTTGCAGCAATGCAGCCATGACCATTGCAGCTGATGGCCGGGAACATCGGATGTTCTTTGCCTCAGAACGCGAGCGAAGGACACTATGGCATGACAGATGCAAGCTTGAGAACGCGATTCCCGCTGAGAGGTTCACTGGGGCTCTCTGCCATGGTCAGCATGCTGTCGCAGCAGCCGGAAACATCGCTTGTAGATGCTTGCAGAAGCTTTCTTGAACATGTGCTCAGCTCGCTCGATGCAAGTTTTGGTGCGCTTTTTCTAGCTCAAGCGCGATGCACAAACTTCAGACATTCATGGCTGGAATGGTGCCACCCCCCACACATCCCCATCCCCTCACATTGTTCAGGAATGCCTGCATTTGCAGATGAGTGATTGGTGGAACTCTTAGCCTAGCGTTAGACTTTGCTAGGGATGTGCCATCTTGCGGCTTTTGTTCATGTCTCGCCGTGGAAGCTGGGGGTTCAGCGTGAGGGGACTCCTGTCCCTCGGCAAGAGCTGACGAAGACGAAATCTTACGAAGTGACCTTCAAGCCCACGGCCACCCTGCACGTGAAGTCAGTGGTGCTTTTTATCTCAGCCCGTTTAAGATGCTGCCGCTGTCCAGCGTACTGCACCTCCAAGGAACCTCGTCCTGAATGCCACGGGAGTGGCAGCAATTCTTTGGTGGAGCGTCGCCAGCTTTCGGCTGCACAGTCTACACGGGCCAAGTGGCGCTCCTGCCATTGTTGCGGTGGTCTTTGATCCGGTACCCTGAGACATTAGGTATACTTAGGTATAATTAGCTCGTGGCCACCTTGCTCCACGGTTGCCCTCAAATACTCGACAACGCACGTTGCAAAGGTCAATTGGTAACTATCTAGCATTGCTCCAGAAAACTAGAAGTGCTAGGGTTACAACGAATTGCCGCATGTAGTCAGTCAGTCCATGTCAAGCCAGTGTGTCAATGACTTATGACAATATGTTGTCAACTTGGAGGTTCCAGCGAGGATGCCGTGGCCGTGGAAGGGCCGCGGGTTGGCAAAGGCGGCAAAGGGAGCTCGTAGCTGCCCAAGTGGTTATTGAATTTCGACCAGAAAAGCGTGAGTGTCCCCATTGTGCTCAGAGCTCGCCAAGTTCTTGGCATCTCCTAAGGAAAGTGCACGAGGCACTCGGCGCGCGCGAGGACGCAATGCAGGGCAGCAAAGAACTGCCAAAAGGCCTGCCTTCCTTAAAGAGTGGCCGAACTGTTAGCAGCTTTTAGCGCTACGCGGTCCGCTTCGGCCTCATTCCTGACCCGGCGTCACACCATGCGGGCGATGGGGCATGGAAGGGGCAAAAATCGTAGAATGGTACAAGCGCCAGATCAAGCATGCTCATGAAGGTCTAGGGAGTCTAGGGTTCAGCTGGTTGCAAAAGCCACTTGATGCACCGCTAACGAGAGATACCGGCTGGAAGAGCCTTGGAAAGCTTTGGGAGGCCAAGAAGGCCTCGTTAGCTATTACAGCCATTAACGACAGCTCTTGTTGACAAAGCAACGTTAGCCACGGTTCGCCAGACCACCTCGGGAAGATCTGGGCCCTGCGTGAAGAAAGCCTCAGATCCTTTATTGGCAGGAAAACCCTGAGTGCCTTATAGAGATTGAGGCCACGGGAGTGTTTGGTCGGGCCTTGCAGGGCCTCAAGGTGTTTGCTGGCTTCCCCGGATTCCCCGGACCAGTCGCGCCTCGAAAGCTTTGGAAAACTGTGCACTACCTTTGCACCCTGCAAGATGTGGGACTTTCAGAGCGTTTCGAGGGTTTCCACCCCGCGTGCCCGCCGTCCGCCCCGGCGCCGCCCGCCCCGGCGCCGCCCGCCGGCGCATGGCCAAGCATCTCTTGAACATACACCGAGGGCCCCTCAAGTGCAGAAGTCATAAAGTCCGGGCTCTTCCGGGTGCCAACGGACGGTTCTGGGCGGTTCCGGAATCGCCCAAAATCACTCGGACATCGTCGGCTGAGGGCGATGATGATGACGGATGAAAGCAGAAGAACCTATAAGAACCTATTCGCGAGTCAGCCTGAGCTGACTGACAACTGCAAACCGCTCAGGTCATGTTCGTGACGAGGCCCCCTGAACATGTAGAACGACAAAACCACCAAGTCCTCACGTAAGCTTGTATGTTAAGCATTCCAAGGGTTTGGCAGCGCATGTCCGAAGTTCCATGCGCAAAATATGACCCGCGGACGACACTTGCATCGGAGTCGCATGCGAGAGCTTTGTGCCTAGCACTGCCAGCTGACGTCAACTCGGCACCCGTCACAACTGCAGCCTCCGCAGGAGCCGTGGGTTATTGTTCAAAAGTTTGCCACATTGGCAGCCAAGGGTCGTCTGAATACCTTGGTGACAGATGGCTACACTCGAGTCACTCGAAAGTGTTCAGCCATCAGCTTTTCGGGTCAGAATCCTGTGGGCCAGGACTGGCGCAGACTGCCCAGATGGTTTCTCAAGAACCGTTCTGGGTGTACTGCGCTGCTCAGTGGTCCGACTGCTGGTGCCCAGGCATGTGTACCTGACTCATGGTAGCTGTTGTGGTGCCCTCTGTGCCGAGCATGCAGGCGACATTCGATGGGGGAATGAGGACACATGGCACCTGATCGCTGCCAAGCCTGACAGTCACACCTGGCTCGCTTCTCGAGGGCATGCCAGGCTTGCACGATTTGTTTATGCTCGGCGGGTCAAGAGTTTCCAGCGCGAGAGCTGAAGCGTAGTGCCGTGGCCGCAAGCCAGGCGACATCAGCATGGTTACGTGCCATGGATGCAACAGATTACTGGGATGGAGCAACGCAGGTGCATGTAGCTGGGGGTGGGGGCGGGTTGGACCAAGAGAAGTTCCAGTCAGGAGCCAATCAAGCTGCTATTCTAGGAATGCCTCTTCCCAGAGCCGTCGGCTTCCGGCTTGGAATTTGAAATGTTGTTGCAGGTGGCTCTGGCCCTCTAGACTCGAAACATCTGGATTCTAGATAACCAGGGATAACCAGGGAACACGATTCGGGGGGGCAGGTCCTGATGTCCTTTTGCACAGACACAGTGAGACGCACGACATCCTCAGCAGATTCTGATATGTCACAGTTCCTAACGCCGCAAGCCCGGTGACCATTGGTATGAAGTGCAGTGTATCTTGATGCAGACGGTCAAGGTGCAGCATCCAGCATCTGCCTGACAATGTTCCGGGAGATGATGGCAAGCACTGTCAGTGCTTGGTAACGCCAGGCACCAGCAGGGGATCGCACAACGAAGCTGCGTTCTGCCATATTCTGCCCTTCTTCTGCCATGGCACTGGATAGCGCATGCTTGCAACTTGCAAATGCTGGCGCCTGCCAGGGACGGAGTTCCATCGGGCCATGAACCCGATGTTGATGGATGAGGCCCGCCTCTATGACTCTGCATGCTGCTTCGGAACAAGCATTGTATTGCATCGTTGCGCAGGCGGATGCAGACGCCATCGGAGCACCAATTGTTGCTTCCTGCCAGCTCTTCTTTGCAGCACGCAAGACAGGGCGGATGGCTCAGCTTTCAGGGAGCCGTCTGGTTCTTGCATGTTCTTGCAGTGTTTACCGGTTCATGTCAAGCATGTCAAGCGGCCTTTTTTCTGTCTTTCTGCTGCTTAAAAAGGCCGGCCGATGCAGCCCAGTGGCTCGCCACGGAAGGCCTTTGCTCTGAGGTGGGGCTCCCGGCTTTCGGGGGTGCTTTCGGGCTATTGAATTAGACACCCTTGACTGCAGAATCCTGATGTACTGCAAGGCTGCATGTGGAGGGGAATCAAGTGAACAATTTCGCTTGCTCGCGGTCTCGCAAGGCATGGGAAGAAAAGGCTCGTTTGAATCGCAGCTACAAGGCACGGATCTTCAGGGATGACGCCTTTCCAGAAAAAATCCAGCCTTGAAGATCATAGATCAGTGCGACAAGCGTGGCAAAGCCACGATTCGGTGTCTTTGTCGCCACGATTTTCTGTCAATGATCAACATGGTGTGGTCGGTCGTGGACTCGTGGACTGTCCCCAGCCGGCCCCAGCCCCGCCCTGCTGTTGTGGTCTCTAAGTGTCGGTCAAACGTAGCCGCGATTTCCTTGCAATATGGTCTTTGGAGTCGCAGACTGTGATGTCAAGAAAATGCGCCGGGACCACACTTCCGCGAATTTGAAATTCACTTCAACAGAGTTTGCAAAAAGGAGGGCACATTTTTGGGGTAGTTACCCTCTGGCCCTCTGGTCCCCTCTCTTTTTTAGCCCTCTGGTCCCATGGCCCATAAGACTCCCTGCCAAAACCATCATACAGCAATAAAGAACCCCGGCGAGGGGAGAGGCCGGGGAAATACAGACAAGTTAGAAGTGTTCCTACTGAATCCAAGGAAAGCGAGCGGTCCCGCCCCCAAACCCCCCCCATCCAAAAGAAGAACGTGCCAACCCTTGTGAAATGTGTAGCAGCGACAAGTTTTGCCATTCAGAGAGCTTTGGGGGAAGGGGTGGGGAGATACACCATTGGGGACTCAGGATCACATATGTGCCTGCAGACAAAACTGCCGCGTTGAAGAGCTCATTGCCAAATATCTGTTATGTCCCACTCCTCATACATCTAGGCGGACAGCAAAAATGTCATTCCCAAATGGCACTCCCGACGATCTCACAACTGCCGCTTGCACAGACAAAGCCGTGCGACATGTGGCAAATGGCCTCGAGTCATTGCGTGTAGTTCACGTGCAGAGGGACTTGACAATTGTGATGTTTTGGGCGACCTGTGAGGCAGGATCGCGGCAGATAAACGTCGAGACGAGGCAGCAACTGATGCGCAGTGAGCTTATTGAGAGCTGGAGGGAAGAAGCTGAAGCTGGAATGCGAGTCGCACGGAGAGGGGGGGGGAGGGCGAACTCTTGCAACTTCGCGCTTAGGCGCTCGAGTCGATCTTCGCTTCAAGACGAACTGGGACCGTCTTCGAACTTCGGATGGCTGGTTCAGGCCACCGTGTTGGTCCACTTTATGTTTGTAAGCCCCCCCGGCTCGGCAGGTCTTTCCCATGTCAGCTGAACCCTGCAGCCCGGAAGCCTGTATGTAGCAAGTCAAAACCTCTAGATCTCAGAGCCCAATGGTTGACACTGGCCACAGGGCCATCTACGGTTTTGTTCAAAAGTATGCTGTGGCAGGAAAGCATGGGTGAGCTACGTTGGTGGACCTCCAACTTCGCAGTTTGTGAAGATGGCAGAGGCCCGTGCACCCCTACGACAACAACCAATATGCTTATTTTGTTATTACTACTCCTGTTACTACTGCTCTTACCACTCTTAATGTGGGTTGCGGTTGAATGGGCGCCGTAAACAAAGTTCTGTTAAGGTGGGGGGCTATTCAGGACCCTGTAACTGTTTGGGGATCCAGGTGCCTTCCCCCTGGATCCTCAATTAAGTCAAATCGTCCGGGTGTCGTAAGGAAGTTTCGGTGGCGCGCCTGTAAAAGCAACTGCCGGGCCTCGCTCGTGGACCGTTGAAAGAAAGCACAAACCAGCTTCGATTGTTCGGGGGGGGGCATACTAACCAGGCAAAACATTAGTACTCTGATTCTTACTATCCTGCATTATTTCTATTGAGTCAGCTTACTCCGCTTCGTGTGGCTCTGGGCAAGCTCAGCGAGCAGTTTTGCGTGGCTTCGTGCAGGTTCGCCTTACTGAGCTGAGCGGAAGAAAAGGGCGGACGGGCGAAGGGGTGCGACGGGCGCATGTGCGGACGGGCGGGTGGTCAGACGGACAGGTGGACGGGCGGAGCGGCCAGCGGGCACGAATAGACGGGCGGACGGGCGGACTGGTCAGGTTAGATAAAATGGTCACGACGACTGGGGGGTTAGGCGGTTAAGGACATATTCGGAAAAGATGATTAGGACCTGGATGGGTAGGACCTGCTAGGATCTACAGGACGTGCAGAAAGGCTCAGACGGACATCGCGGAGAGGACAGGCAAAACAGACGGATAAGATGGACAGGATGGATAGGACACATAAGACGGATAGGACGGCTAGGACAAAAAGGATGGATGGAATGCTTTTTGTTGTTGGGTCGTGTTGTTTTTGCCCGCTGTTGGAAACAGCGAGTCCTAGATATTGCTTATGTTTACTGCCATTCCCCACTCCTGCTATTACTTACTGCTACCTAGTGCTACTTGCTATTACGACTCCAAATACTAGTATTCTTGTGACGACGACGAGAGACGGAGACGGCGGCGACGACGACGACTGGGCATTATTGGGCCAGACCTCGCACAAACCAAAAGCTTAGTACCGAATCAAAACAACTTTTCGCCTCCATGGGCCCTCCGTGAGAACAGGAGCTAATCAAGTCGGTTCACTATTTCTCGCCGTGCGCTTGGAGTGTGTGGATGGCGGTCAAGACTGACAGTTGCTTGTGACTTGCGGTGTCCTCCACTCTGGCATTCCCCACAGGAGGCTTGAAACAGCATCGCGAGGGCAATCACAGCTACAGTTCCGGGCGTTAATGCTGAGCTGAGGGAAGAGCCCATCCTGATGTTCAACTTCGGCCTCTTCACTCCGAAGACCTGGACCGCTGAGCGCTTCCCACGGCTGGCGTGCAGGCTCAGAAAAGGCTTCAATCCGAAGCTGAATACATGTGCCTCATATGCCATGCTGACAAGATGAAAGGAAGGCTTCGGCATGAAGAGTCCTTTGTGCTGGGATCTTGACCGGCTCTTGTAAGGTCATTCTTCACGCAGCCCCGTTGCCAAGTGAGCCACGGATCAGGAGGACCTCACTCATGCCCAGCTCTACAGCTTTGATCTTCACAGCTCGCTTGCACAATTCAGCTCCAGGAGCTTCAACTTCAACAAGCTCAGGGCCATCTTGATGGCAAGGGCAGCTGCCCTCGATTCTGTTTTGCTCAAAGAGTGTCTCTTGCTGGTCGAATTCATCCCGGCTTTCCAAGGTCTTGACCGGTGTTGAAGTTGACGTTGACCAGTTCGTCGCGCCAGGAGACTGGATCATCATGACGCTATATATATATATATACATACATATGTTTTTGTCCAAATGAGTACTCTGCCAATTTCTTGAGCTCGCAAGCACACTTTGCGTTCGGGCACGATTCTGTCGAGGAGCTGACCGATTGTTCAGCTTGACGACAAAGTGGGTCAACAAGGATGCTAAGTCAACCGGCGAAGATGTCTTGGGCGCGACGTCTGTTCACCTTGAACCCCTAGGAGTACGCATTCCCATTGATGCCTGCGCATTTCCTGGACTGGAGCATCAAGGCAGCAAGTGGATGAATCAATGCCGCTGCGATAGCACGCGACTTTGCATGAATTTGGGCAGAGGACCAGCCAGCCGCACCGTGGTGGCCGTCAGAGCCCCCAGATGAGTGGAATTTGCAATCTGAAGTAGTTGTGTGCAAGAGGGCATGGAGGATTCGTATTGAGGGCGACCCAAGCGACCAAGAGAACCGAGGAGGTACTGTCCCGATCCAGACAAGCCTTGCCCGATGCAGCTCGAGCCTCAAAGCTCTCTTCCTGGCCTTCCCAATGCGGGCTGGAACGGTGCAGTCTTTTGCACATGCAAGTTGAGCGGTCACGTTAGGACTATGCGGTGGTGTCATGCGCATCCGACCTGGACGCATTGGGCCACTTGGCCGGCTAGTACGCATAGCCGAGGTCAAGTTGGCACAAGTGAGGTTGCAGCCAGTTGGATTATGCGTGTCTCATGCGCTTTGTTAGCTATAAACCTCGAAGGCTTTGCCTTTCTTCGGCAAATGGGTCCGCCAGCATCTCAGGGAGGAGCTTTTGATTTTTTGGACAGTCGGGCAATGGAGCTCTTAGAATTTGACAATTTGGGCCCATTGCTGCAGACGAAGATGCTAATCCCCCCCGGTTGCGGCATGCTAGGAGTACAGAAATCTGGGCAGCTTTGGGTATAGGCCGAAGTCGTTTGTCAAAACGCTGGAAAGTCGATTCGGGCAGGTGGAAGCAAACAGCGGCTCGTCGAGCAAAACACAAATCCAAGCCCTGCTACTTGTTGGACGAGGCCGTCCTAACCTGCCTGGCGCGGTCTTGTAGGCCAGGCCCCGAAAACTCAGATGATCTTTTTCGGCACAGTTTTTTGCAGTAGGTACTTGGTCGGGCTAGAAAACCTGGCAGAAGGTCGGGAGAAAACAAAAATGCACAATCGAGCATGGTAAACTCGCCCAGGATAGGTAGCCTTGCCATGCCTTGCACAGAGAGCAGCCAACGCTTTTGCTGATCGGTCGAAGGGTGCTGATCTTTTTGGGCCAGAACGACAGCCGCAAGACTTATTTGGCTTGCAAGGCAAAAATGGGAAGTCGATGCTTCGACCGTTCACCACGCCAACATGACATTTAGGGTTTAGGGTTTAGGGTTTAGGGTTTAGGGTTTAGGGTTTAGGGTTTAGGGTTTAGGGTTTGATGATTGGCTTGCTAGAGTATGGGAATCCTGTCAGTAGCACTGGGAGCCTGTGCTTGGGCAGTTTCTGGCAGCACCCATGGGAGCCCGGATGCAAAAAGGGTTTAGGGTTTAGGGTTTAGGATTTAGGGGTTAGGGGTTAGGGGTTAGGGTGACAGGCCGGCACTTTCGTGATGAGCGCTTGCCGAACGTGACCGTCAAGAGCTGAGCAGCCGAGGCAGAGTCTTTGAAGCTACGATGTGTGCGAAAGTTAACCCTAAACCCTAAACCCTAAACCGGTTTTTGCTGTTAAGGTCAAGAACTTTCATGCAGCAGGGCTGAGAGCTGGGGCCACGGATTGCCCAATTTGGGATCCCCCTTAGACTAACAGTCCTTAATAGGTACTTAAGGACTGTTCGTAGAAGGGGGAACATCCCAAGGCCCAATCCAAATTGTGAATTCATGTCAGCCTAGTACTTGGATGTGCTTGCATCTAGAGCTTTTGTCCGCAAAATCCACTGCGCAATACAGGTCGGAGACATCAATGAGGACGAGGACCTGCTGAACGTTGGGCCTCAGGTTCTGAGGAAGATGGCATGTGTGTCGTCGGCCGGAATAGTCTGCTCGCGCCGTGGCATTCGGTCCTAGAAGAATGGGGTTGGCATAGTTGACTCCCTCCAAATGTGTGCAAGCCATATCAACACTGCCGACCACATCGCAATGGAGCCGCTTGCACCAAGATCGAGACAAGCCACGTAAGCTTCTCTCTCGAAGCGACTTGTCAGGTCGGCCTTTGGGAGGAGCGAGCAGCGAAACAATGGTGCAAATTTGACGTACCGGTGCGCCGGCAAGACTTGTTCCCAATTTGAGTCTGACAATGCACGCAAGCACTGCATTCATGCCGAAGCCCGAAGGCCACCGTTGAATTTGACTCCTTACTGTCGTGGATCCCGAGCAAGGGCAATCGCTGTTCGAATGGGATTGGATGCTCAACAGCCGGTTAGAATCCTGCTTCTCGTGCAGCTACCTACATTCCATACCATGTGTTTGCGACCACCTCCCAACCGCATCTTCTCAGGATGCACCAACATTGGAGGGGACAATCGCTGGTACAAGAAGGGAGTGCCGAAAGTGCCCGCGACTGAGATTGGCTCACGCCTGCCGTCTTGCTGCCTCTGGCTTGCGTGCAATTTCTCCATGACCCTCTCGCCCTCTCACCGCTCCCACTCTCAACCCCCACTCTCACTCCTCCCTCCTCCCTCCCTCCCTCCCTCCCTCCTTCTCTCCCTCCCTCCCTTCCTCCCTCCCTCCGTCTCCTCTTCTCTCAGCCCCCCCCCCCCCACTGTATCTCCTTCTTTGTCTTTGACTAGTGAACCTCATGATGTGAGTGCTCGCAGGCTCAGCACAAATATTCTGAGAAGCAATGTGATTCTCAAAGCTTTGCAGCGGAGTCTACTAGTCTACTATTGCAGAGCACAAGGCATTTTCCTAAGCAGGCGTGTTCTCGACCATCCTGGCAAAGCTAAACTACACCCGCTACTTCGAGGGATTTCAATGTCGAGCTGACGCGTGCGCTGACGGCCAAAAAGGGCTCGGATGCCAGCCTCCAATGGCAGGGTCGTCCGGGTCCCACCAACGAAAGGTTGAACTCGCAGCCAGTTTCCTCGCCCACCCGGCAGCTCAAGCAAGCGACTGGGACAAGCAAAAAAGGTTCTTGCTGGAAGCCAAAGGTCTGAGTGAAGAAGAAGTCGATCAGGCACATCTGCTGTATTTGACCGGGAAAGCCCCGTGGCCTTTGAAGCCCCTTCCATCCGATGATGTCCTTTTGGCAGACTTGCACTTGCCAGCACACCCGGGCAGCCCTGGCAAGAACGGCAAGAGCCCGACACGGAACCGAGAGAACCGTCCGGGGCACACAGAGAAGCACACGCAGCTTGAGGATGACATGCCGCTGTGGCCGCCTCCAGCTCCGGCGCGTCTTCCATCTGAAGGTGACGGCGAGGCCGAAAAGGATAGCGACAGCAGCTCTGACAGCGATAGTAGCTCCAGCTCTTCTTCAGACTCTGACGATGCCCCTGTGACAAGATTGGCAGCCAATGTTGCTGTGACACAAAGCCAAGCTGCCCCAGCACCAAAGGCGAAAGCCCAAGCCAGGGCACAGAAAGAGCACCAAGCCAAGCCACCTGAACAAGTGGTATCCTCTTCCTCCTCGTCTTCCTCATCCTCCTCGTCCTCGGCACCGCAGCCGACGAACGCAGAAGCAAGCAGAGCAGAAGGTAAAACAACTGTTCGACAGGTGGCAGTCCGCTATCGAAGCGATGCTGCTCTTTGGCCACGAGAAGCTGCAGCCTCTGCGTTGACTCGCCCACAGCGTGCCCAACTAACAAGCCTGGCCCTTCAGTTCAGCAAGCCCCTGCAGGACTGCATAGAGGATATGAGAGATGTGTCCAAAAAGATGTCGGAATTTCGTCGTGACTGCGCTAGCAAGCAAGAGCTGGCCAGGGCGCACAGGGAGCTGGAAGCAGAAGCAGAGAAGTACAGGAGCAAATGGAGTGATGCAGTCAACAAGATAGTTGCGACATGGCAGCTAAACATGCCAACGGAGATGTCAGCTGTACAAGGCGTTCGGCCGCAGGTTGTACGAGGGAAGCGCTGGTACACGGCTTGTCTTGACACGCCCGGACTGAAGCGTGTTCTCGGGCCATTACGTCCAACGGCTGATGAGGCTTCTCGTGACTTCTGTGCGATGTCCGAGCACCGCAAAGAGAAACAATCAAGCAAGCAAAGTGAGCCTTCCAGTAGACCAATGGCCATGGAAGAGCGAGACGCGTGTAAGGATTCGCGGCCACAGGCTGCGGCGCCAATCAACACAGCCAGTTTAGGTCAAAAGGCCGTAGAGGATAATGACTCTCAGAATCCAGACACAGCTGCCACCCAACCTCCCAAACGAAGGCGGCTTCGGCTGATAAGTGGCGATGGTTGATCAGTGAGGGTTTGACAGTTGGAGCGCTCCGACTGCGACCTTTGGGGCGAGAGTCAAAAGTTGCTCCTGACTTCAAAAAGCTGCAAGGATCATGTTGGATGGAGTTGCTCCACTGCCTGACGGTCAAGGATTCGATTCCCCGTGTAAAGGATGTTTTGCTAGGCGTCTCCTGTTCGATGGAGACAAACTCAATCATCACATCCTTGCCATGCCATTACACACCATGTTGCCCCTCCACACTGGGAGTTCGGATGCTGTTTAACTTTGGCAGGTATTGGACGGCACATCACGCTGTTGACCCCGAGCAGTCTGCAGCCTTGTGTGGGATGCAGATGGAATTCTCCTTGAGTCACGACATAGGAAACTCTCACATGCATGTGTAGAATTGCCATCCAGGACTGCCGTGTATCTGGAGCGCATCCGCAAGCGCCACCAGGATGGGCACTGCAAGGGGCATGACATGCACGACTCCGCGACGTTGGTGCTAGCATCAGCAGTTCAATCCAGCCTGGTCGCTAATTACTCAGCATGTTGCTATGAGGAGGGGCTTTGGCCTGCAGCCATTGCACCTGCCTTGGAAGTCGGCAGACTCTGTACGACAGTGTGTCTGTGTACCGAAAGACCATGACACCTGGAATGCTTGCTCCCAGAATTCGGATCATGTGTCGTCCGAGTTCTGCACAAAGGGCGTTATAGACTTCACGCGAGTCGTGGAGCTCACTCACTCCCGTCTCAGGTAGTTGCATGGCCCGGGTTCAAACAATGAGAAGTTTTGCTCCTTGCGCTGGCAGGGCTTGGCGTTTGTTGAACATGTTTACTTTAACATGTTTAAGGTGACGGCGCCTGTACGCCGCCCTGCGTTTTCAGCCAGTTCCGATAAATGTTGCGAATGGCCACAGCGTCTTGAGAACGTCCGGGTTATCACCTTAAACCCTCTTCCCAAAACATCTAACGCAGCGCACTTAGCACTTGTACCCGAACCTGCCGATTTGCCCGTTTTGCGTTAGGTGAGATTGCCTTGCATGCTTCTGAATTAGGGTTTGGGTAGTATGCGTTTTGTTGAGGAAATTACAGGTTTTAAAGCGTTGCTCAAAAGATTTCTCCAGGCTCTGCTGGAAGTGAGCTTAAGACCTAGACGAACATGCAGTTGGGCCCCAAGTCTACTTCAGCCTTTCGTCTTTCTCTCGGGCACCTTCCCTGTGTGCTGTTTTTCTTCCAAACGCGCTCTCGCTTGGTTTTCGTGCGCATGGACGCATGGACCTGAAAATCTGTATTTTGTCAAGCCATGTCAAGCCTAAAAACGCAAGGCGGGCACATGCAAAGGCTGATCAACCTGACTGTCGAGCTTTTCAAATCCCTGCTTGCCCACGTCACTCCACGATCGCCGAATGGGCCAAGCACTTTCGCCCATGGCGCCCGCTAGGTTTCAGGCTTTTTGCAGGCGACCAGGTATCCCAACTGGCACGTCAAGGCACTTCATTGCCGTCACTCTGCATCACCGCACATGCAGGCAAGCAAGAAAGGAACGTGATGTTTGTCCAGCAGTCAAATATCTCTGTGCTTCAGCCTGTAGCACCCTTGCGATACTATCATCCGTAAAAAATTGGTTCAAGAACGCAGAGAATCGGATCCACAAAAGATTCGTGAATTTAATGCGCCTTTGTTGGGATGTGCCCCGCTGTCCTTGAAAGAGTCTCTTCAGATGTGCTGGAGCCGCCAAATGCACTTGTCCCATTTTTGCTTCGCGAACCGCCTCACGAACCCGCAAACGCTTGGAGGACGAAAGAGCGGAAGTCACCAACCAAGAGCCCAGGATCTGTGAACTAATTGGTTTATAATGTGTAGCTCTTGGCCGACCAGGGGCACAAGAAACCACACCACCAGCAGTCAATTGATTCAGTCGCTAAATTTCTCTATGTCACCTTCATTTCCAAGCCCCTTAATCATCAATGCGGAGCAAATTATTTTTCATTGGTTTGCATGTGGCTGCAACGTAGGTCGCACGAATCACATGCCGAAGAAGTGGCATTGGCAAAGACCTAGCCTTCCGCAGGCATGTAATGTCGCGGTCCTGGAAAGCTGTTGTAGTCACTGAAGCCACCGCACCTATTGGGCGTCCTGCACATAGGTTGCCGCCGCGGAAAGGAACACTCAACCAGATGTTGGCAAGCTGGGGCCGGAAGGTATTACCATCGAAGACATATGTCTCTGCACGACGGAAGCGAGATTGAGTTCCATGGATCCTGAGAACGATAACAGTACCGAACCGCCCAACCGCTGCTTCCAAGAAAGCCTCATGCAAGAAGGTTGCCTGGCCGGCTCGGAAGACAGGGAGGATGAACTGAAAGCCCAAAACTTCAAGTTCACATGACATGAGGGTCCATTTTTTGCCTACAAGCAGATAGGTCCAATCTTTTGAGGGATTGATGTGGCGCACGTCATTCACAGAAATCAGAAATCGACAAGCACCATGTGGCTTTCAAGCTGAAGGCAGCCAGAACCAGCAATTAGCGGATTGGATGCTCAGCGTTGTTTTTTGAGATTTCTGAGCACATTCCAAGGTCTACGAGGAGCAACGGCCTCAGCAAACTGTGCGTAGGATGCAGGGGCAGCGGACAGACTTGCTTGGCCTCAAGCCGAGGGTGTTACCTGGTATTGATGCTCAGGCGCTTCTGGAAGTCTGGAGAGGAGCTGAAGAAGGACACGGTCTGAGATGATCACCACACTGCCAACTGGTGCGTTTTAGGGGCGCGGTTGAGTGAAGCTGCCGAAGCCGTTTTGGGAGAAAGTTGGAAGCCCCACCCAAGCCGAGCCAAGGCGAGCCCAAGAAAAACAAAAATCCCTCCACTCCATACCAGCAGCAGGTTCCATGGGGGGCTCCATGGGGGGGTGGTCGGTGTAGGGTGGATAGAAGGTCAGGAGTTCATGGAAGGTTCCCAATCGAGGCACGTCACGTCTTGATTTATGTGCTGATTCTTGTTGGGATGGGCCCCAAGAGTCTCTTCAGGCGTGCCGGCGCTCCCCGCAGTCCATGCGTCAAAAAGGGGCTGTGGAGATCCACAACTTTCTAGAACATGGCATAGGCGGGGGTCGTTTCTAACAGGGCTAACAGGGCGTCCATTGGAGGCTCCAGACCGGGGCAGAGGGGGGGGGGAGTGAACAATTTATGGGGCTGGAGCTTTCTGGATACCAAACCCAAAGCTCCCGAAACTCACAAACGCCTCTGAGCCGACCCCGGACCGAAGTGGATAAAGGAGGTGGGTTAGATTGGGTTAGGTCGAGTTGGGTGAGCTGTTTGTTCGTTTCCCATGCCTTCGGCAAATTACGTTTGAAGGCAACTTCTCTTCTTTCATACTGCAGCCATGTTGGAGTTTGCTTTTGGGCAAGGCACATGTGCAAGGGAGACGGAGGTGCAGGCCAGGATAGGCGAGGTGCAGGCCAGAAGCTGGATATGATACTAAGAATGGCACATCCAACACCATCCAACTACGGTGTCTGCTTTGAATCATGTAAGAGCGCAACAAAGCCATGGGCTTGTGCGGTGGAAAGTCTGCGCAGAATCGCCAAAGTCGCGACAGTCGGGAGTTGGGAGATGGTTTTCATTACTCTCGCATAAAGCCTGATGATGATGATCACGACGCCAAGTCTGATTCTGACGACCACCCAGACATCATCCAGTTTGCAGCTCCCATCTTTGTTGCCAAGGAGGGTGCGGAGTTCAGTGTTAAGCTGATGCGTCTTGGGTCACTTTCTGGAAAGGCCCGGTGCAGCTACAGGACAGAAGACTGTTCAGGGAAAGCTGGCAGCCGGTACGTTCACACACAAGGCCAAGTTACTTTCGAGCCTGGCCAGTATGAGCAGAGCGTCACGGTCGAGATTCTGGACTCGCCTGGATGGATGGCAACTCTGGAGTTCAAGGTGGTTCTTGAGCATCCGATTGGTTGTCACTTGGGGAAGTATCTAAGCGCCTGCCGCGTCAAAGTGATGGACTCGGACTTCTTTCCTTCCAGCACTTACTCGCAGGTTCTGGAGAAGGGTGAGGAAAGCATCTTGGGGATGAATCCGGTGCTTCTGTTCGCCGAGTTTTTGAAACTCCTGCTATCGGTGCCGGGAATGGCCTGGAGGCTAGCAGTAACGCTGCTCTTTGATCAGCTCAAGAATGTCTATGTCTGGTTCATGCTTGTCTCTTCTGTGTACATGGTGAATGTGATATTCAGCAGCAAGGATGCCGTTGAACAGGAGCTCTTGGTTCCTCACGACCCCGAAATGACGGCTCAGCTTATTGGATTGATGTATGTTTTAGCCCCACTTCTCCTCCACTGCTGGAAGGAAGTGAAGCTCCAGATGGACATTCGAGGCTGCTGCACACTCTTTCTGCAAACTTCCGTCATGAGGAAGTATATGAACTACAGCGATCGCTCACGTGCCGAGGTCTCGCACCATGAGGTTCAGAAGTTTGTCATTGACACATCAGATGAACTGGCACAAAGTATCGACGACATGTCATCGCTTTGCGAGAACTTGGGGAAGCTACTCGTGCTGAACTACTTTGCAGTGTCCAGCGACCCTGGCGTGGTCTGGGCAACCCTGGCCATGCCTGTGATCATGGCTCTGTGGGCACTTCTGAGAGAGGCTGTTTTACGCAAACCAGAAGAGACTGATGAATCTGAGAAACTGGTCAGCGACCTTGTCAGTGAGATAAGTCAAAATTATCGGCTCATCGCCGGCTACTTTCAGCGACCGGCAATGAATGATAAGTTTGCTGCCCGTGCCACGAAGCTCTCCGATGTGCGTCTGCCAAGGGCAGCATATGAACTTCGCAGTGAGTTCTTTTTCGAGTGGCTGGGCCCGCTGTTCGTTGGTGGGTACGTGGCCTTCTACTCCCCCCTCGTGCTTTCTGACAAGCTCTCACTGGGCACATTCCTGGCCACCATCTCCGTGTTTAAGGAAGTGGGCCATAACTTTGCCGATGGTTTTGCAAGAATCCGGAGGGTGGCCGCAAAGTTTGGACCCCTGGTTGATCTCACAGTCTTCTTGAACCGGGCCACAGACGTACAGGATCTTGGGGACTTGATCGAAAGCAGGGTCCACGAGACGTCCATCCTGAGGCAGGACATCCTCTCTCTTCCCGCCTCGCAGGATCCATCCATGGTCCGAACAGACTTGATCCTTAGGGATACTTGGAAATCTTTTTGAGTTTTTGGGCACTTTAATTCCTCAGAAACAGCTAAAAGTACAGTTTTTGCTAGGGAACCAAGTACAGTGTAGGATTCCGGTGCGCCTCCAGAACTTGAGCTTCAGCTTTCCGGGCAAGCAGCTGCTTCAGGGAGTCAACATCTCCGTTCCGCAAGGTGGAGGGGCGTGGGGGCAAGCACGAACATGGCATGGCATAGGGTACAAGGTGACGAGATGTAGCTGGAACACAGGGCGGAGGATGCTAGAAGACATGCATGACCTCCGACCTACCACCTAAGCCCTAAGCATGCGGAATCCGGGGCTTGTCACTGCCCGAGGCAAGCTGGTTGCAGTGGTGGGCCGTGCAGGCTCGGGGAAGACTCGGCTGATCCGGGCACTCGGCAGCGACACGTCTCCCACAACAGGCGGCTTGGTTATGCTTTCTTGTTGTTGAAGCTGTAGCTGAGGCAGGGAGCATTTGTGAGGCTGGCAAGACCTCAGTGCTCCACAGGATGCAGGGAACCGGGATGTGGGGCCTTGGGAATGACGAAGGCTTTTTGTGTTAGGTTGCAGAGTTAGGACGTTACCTCGCGCACTTTTTGAAGCTGAGGTAGAGTTCTCATCCCCTCGCATTTGCGGTGTCTTCTGGTATCCCACCAAGTGTTCTTGATGAACACGTCACCGCTGCAAAATCTGTTTTTCGGAGATCCTCCATCCTTGGCGCTGCTTGAGGCGCGGAAGCGGATGCTCAGAGTCTTGAACAAGCTCGAGATGCGACAAACCCGCAAACTGGCAGAACAGGAGATGCAGCTGCTTCAAGAACCACCTCCTGTTGAAAAGCAGGAGGGCAGTTCTTGCTGCTGGCAGGTTGTGCCAGAGGAGACACAGCCGAGCTGGTCACCTCCAGACGGCTCGGCGCCCGCGTTGCGCATCGCTTCGGCCCTGCATGGCTGGCAGGAGTCGCTGTCTTTCCAGGAAAAAGCCAAACTGCATATTGCTCGTGCCTTGATCATGAATCCGGAGATCTTAATCCTCGAAAAGCCGCTTATGAACTTCGACGACTACGAAGCCGAACTGGTGGTGAGGGTGCTCCGCGAACATATCTCCAACAGAGGCATAGAGCTGCCCCGGGAAACTCGGGACCGGCGCAGGCCCCGGACTTGCTTCTACAGCGTTGAGCGCGTGAGCAAGAACGATCAACCCGATGTCGTCTGGAAATTGCAGAATGGACGGGTTGTGGAAGAACACGAAATTCCCACGGAGCTCCCACCAGCATCGAGACATCTGAGCACAAAGATATCGGCATTACAGTGACATGCCGCAGTCACTAGTCTGATGGCAGTGCCAAGTTCATCAAGTTCGCTCTTTTCACAACTAACTAATTCGATGAAGCCAAGCTTCCACCGCTGGCTGAAGTTGCGACGTGTTAACTTTGCCCCGCGAATCACAGCGGGCCAAGTTCAGCACATTGCTCCGCAAGTCTGCAAGGGTGGCATTTTCCTGAAGGGAGCCATCGTTTGTGGACTACTGATGGCTGCTACTCGTACTGGATGCAGTTGCGAGCAGGGCGCGGAAATATGCTTAGTTTGAGTCCTAGATGGCACTCATGGCCAGGTTTCCACCCAAGACCTACGTAGATCGGTCAGGATTTGTGAGTACCCCCCCCCTCGCCCCTGGAAATGGCAGGAAGGGTTGTTCTTGAGCTGTTCAGAAATGACAGCACCACAGGGCCACCCCAAGCATGCAAACGTGTGCGAAGATGTGCCGAAGTGCACAGGAGCATCCTGGGCTCGGCTGCCCGACACTCGGCGTGGGTTCCTTGAGCCTTGGGGTGGGCTGTCGGTGTCGGGTTTGGTACCGTTGTGTTGGAAAGTGGTTGAGCCATACTTTTGCGGCCCACGTCACAGGCCTGACCTGAGCTGCGCCAGAATCTGGTGAGTGAAGGGGCGTGAGCTGGACTTTCCGCATGCAGCCTCCGTGAAGAACATGAATTTGACAGTTTCACCAAGAACCTCGTGGAGGAATATCTCGCCATGGGAAACTCGTAGCGCGGCAAACTCCGTCACACTACGCTGTGTCTCATGCATTTGCGCAGCACAACCGAGATTCCCGGTGTGGTGGCTTCCAGCCTTGCGTTCGGGCTCCCGCAGTTGAAGTCATTTGAACTCATTGCGGGCCCACGTCAGCCCGAGCAGCTGGCCCGACAGAGGTACTTCCGAGGTGCTTGCTGCTTCCTGTGCTTTATGTCTCGTCTGTTGACGTGCAGGCACTGGCAATGGCCCTGAGGATACCCTGCAGCTTGGCACCCATATGCAGCCTGCGAGTGGGAGCCTGAGCAAAGCAGGGGAAATAGTCATGGTCAACATCTCGCGTCGGTTTAGGTCCCACGGGTGCATGCGCCCCTGGCTGCCCTCGAGCAGGTGAGCAGGCGCGTGATGCACAATGTTGATTCAGGAGCATGGATGTCCTTTTCCCGGCTGTCGCGAACTCTTGCGCATGTCTCCAAACGGAACATGACCTGAGAGTGAATAGCGAAGCCTCGTGCAAAACTTTAGCCGGAATCATGATGCGTTGTGACAGAATGATGGTAGTACTACTCCCACTGTACGGCGCCTTAGAAAGGCCTGCTCATGGTGCAGGCCCGGACACCGGCACCGAGGAACCAAAGAGCCTGGTCGGTGTTTTGCAAAGGTGCCAGAGCATGCATAAGCATGTACCACAAGCAGTTCATGTCATAATTGTTGAGAAGCTCATATAGCTGAAGCTGACAGTTCAGAATCTGCGTCTTGCACGTTGAAAGAATCGGACTATCAACTTTGGTGAAAGTTGTCTTCAAGTCCCCTCCTGTGCTTTGCCTATCAACCTTTAAGCGCACGTGACAACAGCCAAGCACAGTATCTCCCATCTTGATTCCCAAGTTCGACAGCCTCCCCGCAATCCATCGTGCCTTCACCGGCAAAACAAAGTAACAAAACACTAGCCTGATTGCAAAACCACATGCATACCTTAGCTTCGCCTGAGTCCGTCGCCAGAGCAGGGCGTGGCAGCTGGTGTAGCTGCTTTGGCCCTTCGCGGACGTGCAGCTCGTGCTGCAGAAGGCTGCCAGCTCCGGTAGCACGGGAGTGGAAAGACAAAGCGGTGTTCAATAGTGCGTAAATGATTTGAAGTCGATGCAGTCGTAGTGAAAAAGTGTGGAAGCAGTGATCACGCAGTATGTGAACACAAGAAGAAGTTGAGAGGCCGTTGCCGGGTTGAATGTTGCTCAAATTCGGGGAAGTGTAAACAGGAAGGAAGGCCTGGACTGTTTTGAACATTGCCCAGCTCAACTTCAGACGTCCAGGTGATGAAATTCCGGAACCGCCCAGCGCCCAGACTTGACCACCATCTTGGTCATTGACATCTTTCGAAGTTCATGAGGGACTCAAGTGCCACAGTGACCAAGTTGCATGGCTCACTAACCCTGGGTCAAGGGACCCTTGTGCAGTTGACGGATTCGGTTCTTCAGGCTGACTCTGAGCCGCCTCTAGAATGGGCGATCAAGGATTAGTTGCAGAAGCTTCTTGCACAAGAAGCGTGCACTTTCTGGAAGCTAAAGCGGCAGCTAGAAACTTTGTACAGCACCGTGCGCACCAGTTTCCGTCTTCCACCCACAAGATTCACACCCCACTACCCCCAAAACCTCGCAAGCACACCCTTTGTTGCCGAACCGCCCCCCCTGGCAAGAGGACCTTGCAAGGGTACAAGCCAAAAAGTGCCTCAATCTGACAGAGTCTTGAGACCCTTGCAGCTCGCGGGGGGAGGTTTGGGAAAAGCGTTTTCTCTCAGAAAATGGCGGCCTTCCGGTCATGTCCAATCTGCCCCCCAGGAAAGCGCTTCCGGAAGAGTTTCCACCGGTCGGAGCCACAGGATCAGTTTGAGGCTGCAAACATTTTACGTTCATGTTAGGGGCTTAAGACTCTTCTGCTCTTGATTCTTTCTTTGTTGCCGCTGAGGCGGTTATTATCGGAGGAGGTCGACTAGGTGCTCGGAGCCCAGCGGAATTCAGCCAGAAACATGTGACATTGGCTTGCTGAGTGCGGTTGAAATGCCGTACAAAGAAAGAACTGCATATTAGCCCAGACACCGCTGCAAGAAGTAAAGCCTCCAAAACTGAAGCCGTCACTGACAGGAAGCCTTTGCCAAGATGGGCCTAGGCCTGTGTGGCAACAGCAAGGGGTGTTTGCCTGTTTGAGCAAGAAGTTGTGGAAGCGGTGGCTTTCACCACAAATGGCAACTGCTCTCGGCATCTAAACGCGCGCATGCCGCATGCTTGGCAGGCAGCGACGTCATCGTGCGGCGTGGGGATCCATTCCCAGCAGATGCCCCCAAGGCCTCCGCATGTTAGTGCTGAAGGAACTAAGTAGTGCTATGTAAGGATTTCCCAGCATTTCATGCGACCGCCTTGGCTGTGCGGCTCGAGGTTCGCTTGCCACCTCTTTCGGTGGCAAGCGTATCGTGCGAAACTACTTCAGAGTATGCGAGAAGAGTTGGCCTAATGCTTGGGCTGGAGACATTACGGTGAGGTATTGGTATCTGATGGTATCCGGTACAGAATAGCACAGTGAACTGCCTTGCGAGAGGACCAGTACCAAGCAAGTTAGAAGAGGTCAAGTACTGTACTGACAATGGTGATAAAAAGCAATAAGAATAAAATCGTAATAATAAGAATATAGCAATGATGAGAATATGGCAAAATACAATAGTGATTATATAAACACACTAGCCATACACTCACAACTGTCCTGTTGGGTTGCGCTGGTGGCTTTCGCTTGTGGCAGCTCTGGTCTCCGTCGGCGTCTCCTCGTGATTTGTAAGCCCATTTCAGCCCTCTGTCCAGGGGTGATAGACATAGGCTAGCCGCTAGCCAACTATAGGGACCTTTTAGCGCGCGGGTGCCCGACTGCCGGATGTTCCTCCGATGCCCTGCGGTGTCATACCGGTAACAACCTGCAGACTGCTTCTTGCCATGTGCCGTTTCATCACTGCAAAGTGCGGGCTTTCAGAAGCAAAAAGCCAGTCGTCACATGTCCCCAAATCAGATTGTTGGTGTCTCCTTTCATCTTTCTGGAAATCTTTGTCTCCCATGCTCACCTGTCATATTGGAGGGGTCCGCCTTCCGCTTGTCAGAAGTGTTTGCCTCAGCCCATTTGAGCAGAAATCGCGAAGATCAGCAGTGTGAACTAGTGTGAACACGAATTTTCTCTAGTATAAAAGCCAGTGATAGCGCTGTTGTTGCATCGCCGCCACCTCGCACATGGGCTCTTTTGATTTTGATCTCAACGCAGCGGTCGGGAAGGTCGGCCCAAGCGGATTTTGGCAGTAGGCGTGAGAGCTGGATGACAACGCAGTGCAGCAGAGTGCAAACAGGCGTTGTAAATTCTCCCACTCAGTCTCACTCAGTCTGTTCTCTTTTGATACATGCGCGAGCCGAGGGCCCCATCTACGTGTGTACCAGGAATGATGCCCTGAAGGCCGCGGATGTCTGCGCTGTGCCATGTACCGTCGGCCGTGATGTAAGGTGTGATGTGCTTTCTGCCACCATGTGCCACTTGACCGCCCTCAGCAAGTCCGGCAAATTTTACTCCGAAACGCCAGAGGACATCATCGCGTCTGTCCCCGCAGACCGGCATGAGGATTTGGTTTTTGTTCAGAACGGCGCCCTTGTGTCCAGACCTTGTTCGTCCGCAGCATGAGCCTAGCTGTGTGGGCTGCAATCTTTTCATTCAGGCCGTTTTTGGACCAGAACCTGAAGCCAGGCTTGCCTGCCAGTGCCTTTGCGCAGCAGAGTTGGTTTTGACACAGAGCATCGTGCGAGAGCAGCACGTTGTAGCAGTGCCAAGATAGTTGCCAAGATCACAATTCTGCTGGTGTACTTCGCCGTGGCCAAAAAGGGTGAACCTCCGCTGGATGGAAAGCCCCAGCCCAAGCCCGCGTTGCCCTTCGGCCCTACCCCTTCCTTTGCTCCACCAGTGATGTCTCACAACTAAGGACAGACACAGATCCAGAAGGTTTGACAGCCGTGAACAGTGGGTCGGAATCCTGGTACAAGCTGCTTACACATCCATTGGGAATGCCTAGTGTGCACGCAATTTGCAATCACAGGCTTTTTGATTTGGTTATTGAGCCTCGAAGGAAATGGGCACAAGAAGTCCGCTGGAGGCTGACAACCAGCGATCTAGCTTGCAGCCAAGCGGCTGCGCTTCCCAAGAAACCTGGGTTGCGTCGTCACCCAGCCGCCCGCAGCCTGGAGACCTTGAATGATGCCGAGGCATGTCAAATCTTGCGCGACCCAGAGTTCTTCCAGGCCGGGTGTGCTTATGGAATTGTGCGAGACGGCAAGCTAGTTCATCACGCACCATGTGCCCGAGTAGTTCATGCTTAGCCGACTGGCTTCGTACAGGCAAACTCTTTGTGAATGCTGCTGTTTCAGAGCAGAGACAAACAAGAGAGCGTGTGTGAGGGTCAGATTCCACGAGTTCGAGGCTCCTGAAGTTGTCTTTGTGCACTTCGCATGTCAGGCTTACTGGGAAAAGAACCTCTGGATTGCTGCTTACATGCTTGTCGGTGCACTCCACGATGGCTGCACTGTGGGCGATGTGGAATCCAAGCATCGCAAAGAGGTGCCAGCATCACCGTAGCTTTAACACTGTGGTTGCTTGGCTATCCGATGACTTAGTAGTGGCATCCTGGGAAAGGTGGACGAGCTCATAACTCAGCTGGCGACCGTCCAGACCCCAAATTGTACACAACATCGGATCTTTGAAAGCTGATGGACAGTGAGGCTGTGGCCGCCGCTAATGCAGATGTTCGATGGGCAGCTGCCTGAGCATGGAGTTCGCACGAAAAAAAAAAAAACAAGCATCGATCTGGAAATGTTTCTCGGGACGGCATGATGTCTGGACAGAGGAAAAGCTGCTGCTGTGTGACCGACTGGCCGCTTATGCACGCAGCGCGCCAGCCTCGATTTGCGTGCCAACTTCCACAAATGCCTCTGCTTGACCGGAGTTCATTCGGACTTCCGTAAGATGCGTCACTCTGTGGAGTTGCGTCACGCCTCCACCTCGGCTTAGGTGGCACACTTTCCCACTGCCGTGAAGGAGTTTGAGTGGCGAAATGGGCCTTTTTACGTCACTGCCTTAGCAACTCCAGCACGAAGTGACAGCCGTCTTTCTGGTACCGTAGCTGTAGGTTAGAAGACTAGATGTTGCAGGGCATCTGTGCTTGGCGCTAGAACGTCGCGACGCTTCATGATCAGGACATTTCCGTGAAGGCCAAGGCAGACAAGCGCATGGTGCTTGTGATGCGTGTGATGGGGATGGCGACTTCTTAAACTCTCCTGCGCCTTCTCCAACAGGATCTCTCCGCGCATGTCCTGTCTCGTGCCCTCAATTGCAGGCGGCGGGCCGGCCAGATCCTTGCCCTCAGCACACCGCGGGCCTTGAAAAGCTAGGCGTCTTTTCCTCGGAAGCTGTGTGATATGCCTGGTCAGTCGTCCACAGTATGCCATGGCATACCGAGGTCGTTGGCAAAGAGGCGTGAGAGCGGATCGGGTCTGCCTTAAGTATCGCTAGACTCCATTCACCATGTCGTGTTGCTTGCATACCATGTAGAGATACAGTGTTAGCTGATGTTCCTTGTATTCCTGACTGTCAGTTAAACTCGTGGGTTTCTCGATTTTCCGACTGATACACATAAACGGCTTTGCCCAGTGCAAAAGTGGACCGCATCCGCGTGCTGCACACCATGGCGGCATGCCGTGATTGCAAACGCTCATCTTGGAGACGTTTTCTGCCAGTGCATGTGCAGCTTGTACAGTCAAACTAAAAGCTCCTTCGGCGCTAGTTGCAAGAAGATGCCCAAAGCAGCAAGAAAGCCAGATTATTTGTCAGCATTCTGCAGGTTCTCGCGAACCAACTATTGGCATGTTGGACTCGGTATCCAGCGCCATCCAATCAATGAACGGGTCATAAACCATGGGAACGAGAGAACCTACCAAAATGGCCGAGACACCAGTGCGACGATGCACTACAGAAGCAGGTGCGGTATGTTGTGAGCGTGCACACAGCGTGCAGCCCTGACCAGTCGAGTTTCAGGCTTTGCTTCTCCGGCCCTGCCCCTTCCAATCGCCGGCTGTAGGCCCGCATCCCTTGTGTGTGGAAGTTTTGCGAAGTGCGTCTGTCAGAAATACATAGACTTCCTTTTGGCCGGAAATTAAAGCACGGCTAGCCGCCCCACAGGCAATGATGGAGACACCACCTCCAACTTTCGAGGAGGACCCTGCAGGCTGGATCCCTACATCATCCATCGTGCGAGAATGCCCGAGAAAGCTTGGAGTGATTGGCGTGGCCTTTCCAGGCGCAACACCATTGGAAAGCTCATTGGGCAAGTCGGGCGTTGAAGAAGGCCGCAACACCGGAAAGCACACGCAAGACACAATGATTCACTTTGTCATTCAAGGCTTGCATGTGGCCTAATTGGCCTATCACCAGGGACTCCGGGAGCTACTTGTTGTTTTAACATGACCTCTGCCTACCGGTCAAACCAAACCGCGGGGAGAGGACAACCCAAGACGATGTTGCGCCAGGCCCACAGGAAGCTGACAAGGAGTCGCAGCCATTGGCTGGGGAGTGGGGCCCGACAACTTTGGCCGCGAGATATGAGCAAAGGCTCAAGGATGACGCTAGGCAAGTGACAGCATTACCTTTGTCACTACTTGCCATGGATCTGAAGCTGCATAGGCCGTGCATTGACAGAGATGACAGTGCGGCCGATGATTTGGCAGCAGGTTGCAGGTTCTGTTAGTTGCAGTCAGTGTTTTTTGTGTGTGTGTGTATAATACATATGTATATATCTGTATATACATATATATATATATACATATATATATATATATAGATGCATATGCGCCTTTTGCGTGCATTGTTTGCGGGTTCTGATCTCAGGAAGAGGCTGAGTCACTTCGCCGCGGTGCTCAGTGCTTCGGGGGTGAGCGTGCACGTTGGTGATCCTTGGTGGGCTACCACAAGAACTAAACGTTACAATGAAAGTGGCCTTTGAGGGCTGAAGGAGGCCTGTCAAAAGTCCCAGCGCGTAATCCAGCAACGGTGAGGGGTTCTGGCCCTCGCCGATGCAAGACTTCATGGAGAGACCAACAGGCTAAGAGAAGTTGGTAGCTGCATCAGAAGATTCAGAAGCCGTAGAGTCGTAGAGGCCGGAAGGAGCTGGAGGAGTTAGCCAATGAGCGGCAGAAGGCACCCACGTCAATAAGATCAAAAAGAATAAACATGTCAAGGGCGATAAACGGAAAGTAACTAAGCTCCAGCACCATGCCCAAAATCCTGGGTGCAGGTGCGCCTTTCGCAGGGAGGCGTGGTGGATGGGTCTGCCTGGCAAAACGAAGGGTTGCAGCCGGCTTGAGAACACCATTGCGTGGAAGCCTTCTCGCATGGATAGCATGCCAACGCATGCCAGGATTCCTGACTGGCTACTTGACGCTTCGTCTCTATTGGATGAGCTCTACGAGGCAACCGTACCCTGATGCACAAGTGCACGCAGCCCAGACGCGCTCTGTAAGCCATGGGCTCTTTGATGAAAGATTTCTCAATTTCTTAGAAATTCATGACAAATCCTTTCTGTGGAAGGCCTTGGGCCAGCACTCTGGAGGTCTGCAGCGACTGCGCGCGGTGATTGCAGAGGCAGTGCTTACGGAACTCGAAAGCAGAGGCTGTAAGAGGCTGTAGGGCAAGGGAGTTGTGCAGACGTGCAGCCATGCGGAAGTTGCTCCACCCAACCAGGCTGCCAAGTGGCTTGACGACGAGGAATGGGAGCAGTTCAGAAGGTGGGGATGTAGCTGCTGTGTTCAACAACGGTGTGTGGTAAGACGTCACTAGTCAGCCTGGCTTCCAGGTCGCCTTTCGATGAAATCCATCGCCAGGCGCCTTTCCTTCTTGGATTGCGACTGCGCCTGTGAGAGAAGAGGGAGTGCGCGGCGACAGAAGCCAGATCAGATGGTGAGGGCGTGCTCGCCCCTGTGTTGGGGTGGCGAGGGGGGGAGGGGGGGGCGAGGAGGGGGGGGGGGGGAGGGGGGGGGGGGGGGGAGAGGCGGGGGAGAGGGGGGAGGGGGGGGGGAGGGGGGGGGGGGGAGGGGGAGGGGGGGGGGGGAGGTGGGGGAGGGGGGGGGGGGGGGGGAGGAACTCCCGGCATGAAGCCGTGAAGAAGAAGAAGAAGAAGGAGCACAAGAGGGGCGCCATGTGAGCAGCGCTTCGGCGCTCGTAGTATGCAATGGTCTGCCAGCATGTGGGCTGCTTCAGATATGTATGTATATATATATATATGTATATATGTATATGCCTTTATGCCAGCCACTCGCTTCAGTGGTGGCATCTCCGCATGCAGATGTTGGAGAATGTTTAGCCAGCTGCCATGCCAGCCAGGACTACCACGTGTTTGCGCGTTTGCTGGCAGATGCTGAGCGCCGGCCTCAGCCAGCGGCAGTTGGAATTGGGAGAGGGCAGAGACCCCAATGTATCAATCTGTGCTTGCTTCTTTGACTTCTCACTTTTCGATATTGCAGCCGCTGGGACTGAAACCCACAACTCTCCTTCCAAAAAGCTTGTCATGACGCCGAACCCGCCTTTGAGGCCCCATTGGAGACGGCTGATGGAGGACCCACCTGGCGCGTCCAGACCTGAAAATTCATCGTTGCCTCGTGCGCTCGAGAAGAGGATTGCGCTCTTGGGAAAAGGGCATCCCGCACAGCAGAAAAGCCATCAGAACTGGCATTTGCAATGCAGCGTAGCCTTCCTGTAGCTCCTGCAGAGTTCCACAGTCCAAGTCTTCTCTTGAGGGTAGAAGCGGGCACAGTCGTTAAGCCCAAAATGTGTCTGTAATGCGTGACAGACACGACTGGGGCTTGTGCGACCTCGCTTAAACATGCTTTGTGTCCGCTGGATTAGGCGTGGCTTCAGCAATATCTCGCGGCAGGCTAGCTTGCACAGCAGGGTATGGGCATCTTGTGTAGCATTCGACATCCGCGTGGCTGCAGACCGTTGTCCGCGAATATTTGTACATCGGTCACAGCCTAAGCTTGTTCGCTTGACCGTGTGCCAGTTCCCAACATCTCCGAACCTGTGTGACCGTGGCCGCGGCGGCGGTTCGAACTTCAGAGAGAAAGCGCCCCAACCAGCACAACGTCTCTGCAGAGCACACTGGTGTTGCAGGACTTCACCACTTACTGTATGACTATGACTGTGTGTCTTGCGATGGCCTCCCCTGTTGCATGTTTAAGTGAGAACAACGGATGGCGTGCCAAGTGTCAGCACAGCACAGCACAGCAGCACCGACGAGTCCTAGCAGATACCAAGATATCATAAGATATCAAAGAACTTCACGAGTCCGTGGCGCCCTGCGCTGCTCAGAGCGCCGCTGCACATTTGTGCAGGCCCCGGTACCCCTCGGTTGAGAGAGAGATTAGAGAGAAAAGATGAGAGAAGGTTCAGCTCTCTCTCAAGCTCTGAAGCATCCTGAAACCTCGACCACCTCAGGCCTCCGGCAACATGGAGTCGCCGCCCACGGAGCCTGTACAAAACATTTTCTATGTCTCCCAGAAAGCTTTGCTTGTGAGATCCTCAGGTTTGCAGGTGTGCTCACAGCAAACTGTCACACAGTCGCGTCCTGTCGAAGTTCGTCGCATGAGACAGTGCCAAGGCAAGTGTGTGTGTGTGTATATATATATATATGTAGTTGTGTATATATATATACCAACCTGAACATGGTGGTTGCCGAATGACACAGCCGGGGGGGGGGGGGGGGGGGGGGCACTCATTTTCCCTGGGTTGAGTGCCTAACGAAGAGGGCCAAGAGAAATGCTGGAAACGCACCCGCTAGAGGACCGAAACCGCATCCCCCCTTGGTACAACGACATACCTTCGCGAAGCTTTCATGGCACACCTGCGTCAACCGCGATTCCGACATTGAGACAGGCGCTGTACCAGCTCGCTCGCCGACTCGCAGGCGGCTGCTACGAGTGGCCAAGCATCTCGACACTCGCCACACAGACGCAGATCGCAGCCGAGAGCGCACTGGCGAGACCAACAACGCCCAGGGCACTGGAAGCCGGAATGGTGGTGGAGAGATACACCTGATTTCCATTGCGTGCAGGAAGTCAGCGACACCCTCTACACCCTGATCTACACAAGCAGAATTTGCTGATAATACTTTTCCGTGTGTAGGGTCGGTAGCTGGGTGGCTGGGTGGCTGTGTGGCTGTGGGTGTGTGCGTGCCTGCGCGTGTCTGCATGTATGTGTGCATGTGATTGATTGTGCGTGCATGTTCACATGGGTGGGTGAGCGCGTGTTACGCGTGCGTGCGAGTTGTGTGGGTGCCTTGGAAACGAACCAAAGAGCAAACAATTCTTGAGGTCGTCAAGATGAAGCTGAAGAACGAAGAGGAGGTTCCGCCGGAAGTGCTTCATTCCTTCGCCTTCGCCGGCGACCATGAGGACTCGCACAAGCACTCGTTAGCCGTAGTTTAGCGCTAAGGGATGTTGGGAGCCGTAGTTCGGAAATTCTTGGAACGTTGTCGCTTTGCTGCCTGCCAAGTCCACTGTGCAGGTGATGGCGGGTAAGGTGGAATCTTCTCTGCTTGGTGGAATGTTCTTTGTCTGCTCAGAGGTCGAAAGCGAAAACAGCTAGCAAAAAGTGAACTGTTGAAATCGAAAGGCTTCCTTCTCCCCTCAGATATGGGCGGGGGGGGGGGGGGGGAAGCTGGTAGGACAACAAAAAATCCTCTACCGCCCTGCTGGCTGCTGGATACTGTTCTTGTGCGGGATGTTGCGCAGCCACCCTGCAAGGAAGACGAAATGCTGGTTCCAGTCGATCTAAGATACTTGGTCCAACAAGTCGTTCTGGCATGTCTGGCGTACCTCAAGCTTAGTCAGCTTTGTCTTTCGAATATCTGCGCTCGAGCTGGTGTCGTTGCTGCTGCTGTTGGAAGTATCTGCGGCTTGCTCCTTGTCGAGCTGAGGTGTGCTTGACAAGCATCTCCCCACAGAGGAAGAGGACGAGTCCTGGAAACTCTTGTGCTCCTCAATGTCGCGCTTTGTTTTCTGTGCTGTGGGTTGCAGGAGCTTTTCGACCAGTTCGACAGGTTGGACGTTGACCTCCTCGTCGAGAAGTTAGGCTCAAAGAAAGCCGGCGAGGCTGAACGCGGCACAACAGTACCTGCACAACTGCTGTTGTTTTACCGGCATTTGTCCAATCCATCGCAGTAGGTCCAGTGCTCTGCAGCCTTCTCTAACAAGCACCTGTTGACAGGTTTTCATCGAGGCTCAGCAGGCATTCCTTGCCAACCGCCACAACGAGGATCCGGACACGAGGGCACAGCCGATGTCAGTTGCCGAGTGCCATTGGCTGCACCCAGACGACTGAAGTGCCTGCAGCATGCGCCTGCATCCCGATACCTCGATTGCCGAGTGCACCGTATAGCCCTATATCAACCTCGGTTGGTTCCTGCTCTATCTTCTGCTGCTTCGACATCATGTCAGGAAAGGGCACCTCATGCATCTGCATTGGCCCGTATGGCAAGCAGATGCGAAACCGAGGTGGAGACGAATTTGGACAGGCTGCGAAGAGGGCTTCGAGGAAGAGATCCTGGAGGAGGATCAGGAAGTAACAGCCTCAGAGTTGGAGCTTACAATCCGTGTCGTCCGTCTTTTGAGAACGCCCGAGCAGGAGTTGCCAAGAGGGTTGCGCGAAATCCTGCCAGGTAAACGAGGAAGCAGAGGAGGAAGGCGATGGCGACGACGGCGAGGAAGGTCCGGAGCCAGCTGCAAAAAAGGCAAAGACTTAGAGCCAGGCTTAGTCCAATTTTTGTAACATTATTGCACGCTCTACAGCCGCAGCGTGCTTGATCGGAAATGGAAAGAGGACCAAATGACCAAAGGGCATCTGGCCCATCTCTTCCTGGTGTAGCTGGCCCAATCTTTATTGTATATGCAAGCTACAAGCCCCAAGGATGTCGGGCTTGGGCATGGAGGCAACGAGATGCAAACTCAGTGATGAGCCCCATGGAATTTTGAGAGCCAGGCCGGAAGTATGAGTACTCGTTAATGACCTGGGTTGTACTCGAGTCTGCGAGAGCTCTGGAGAAAAAGTCACATGATGGATCTTTATTTGCTTGTGAGAAGACTGCCACATGCCTTTGTATGAAAAGACGTGCAACCACGCAAAGAAGGCCTGACGGAACCCAGCGAGAAGATGATGGACTTCTTCAAAAGTCGAGGCCGATAGATAGTTGCGGAGGGGTGCATGACTGTGATGGCCCGCGATGCAAATCTAAGCTGTATGGAAATTCACGACAGTTGTTGAGACTCAGCTGCTGAATTCTTGGACACCATGGCACCACCTTCGTTAGCTTGTCTTTGCAAAGGCTGGAGCATGGACCGTGCTCCTCCAGTCTTGCCAAAGCCTTTGGACAAGCAAGGTGCGAGATACTGTGAGAGTTGCTTCAAGCAGCAAGCTGAAGAGAATTGAAGCAGGGCTGGCATGTTCGTGTCTCTGCTAGCAGGGTTCTGGTCCGTTGCCATTGCTTTGTTGTGTTAAGCTGGCGAGGGCTGGGGACCACCCTTTACCCGGCAATCCTGCAAAGGAACCGTTGTGGAACCACCAGTTCGCCGGCAGTCCTCTTTCGAGCGAAGTTTAGTAGTCCATGACCCGCACATCATGAAGATATGCCTCCGAGAAAGAACCGCCACGGCAAGCGAAAGGAAGTCGCATTTTCCGCGAAAGTTCTTACATAACCTAGGTTCCGTCCTACGATGCCACCAGCTTCCAGGCACTCAGGTTCCTGCTAGACTGCACATCGGAATTTCGCGGCTTAAAGCAACTTGGAACCCAAACTCGGGCTGTATTCATCCTTCTCGCCTCGCCAGAAAATGATGCGAAGTCGTCAGGGCAGGGTTATTTTTGCAAAAGACTCGCGCAAGTTCGGCATAAGTCCCGGGTAAGTCAAGTAGACTTTCCCGACCTACGGACGTGAGGGTCGTAGAAAGCGTCAGGCGTTGAGGCTGTAGCCTAGCATCTGGGGCCTTGTTCTTTGCCCGGACACGTATCTCTTGAAGCCAGTCCACTATCACATTCCAGGAATTACTAGGTATCTCTCATCACCCTGTACGTTCTGGGTTTAAGCCTTAAGCCCTTCAGGGTCTAATGTTGTACTAGTTTAGTATATGCAGGGTCTATAGCCACAAGTTTCGAAAAATCATTCTGCGACATCAGTTTGTTGGGGTGACCCGTTATTATCACAAGCTTTTGTTTCCGGATGGTTGTTTTTTTGAGGGTTTGTGTTTAGGGTTAAGGGCTGACGCAGTTAGGCTTGAAGCCCTGAGGGCCTTGGGCTCCAGGAATCTTAAAGAGCCAGAGCCCAAGTTTGGCCAGTTCCATGTAAAGCCTTGTTGAATCCGAGGCCCTGAACAAATCCGGGCCAGCCCGACGCACTTTAGAAAATTTGTTGCGTCACTCTCAATAATACACAGGCCGGTCGTAGAGGGGGGGGGGGGGGGGGGGGGTCCTCAGCGAGGTAGGAAAGCTTCAGGCCTCAAGGTCCTCAAGGCTTGAGGCCCTGAGGGCGGTTCCCCCGCCCCAATTTTTTGCGGGGGCCCCGCGCCAGGTTCTTATAGAGGGTCCAATTTTATGTTTTTTTTTTTTTTTTTGGGGGGGGGGGGGGGCTCCTATTAAGGCCAGTGCAACATTAGGGTTTTGGATTGGCTTGGTTAGCCTCGAAAGTTCAGTGTTCAAGGCTTAAGTTGGGCTGAAAACAGAAACCCACGCCGCGGGTTCGGGAAAAAAATCCGCGTCCGCCAAGGAACTCTGCAATGAAGAAATCTAGATTGATCAACGATCAGTTCGCATCCTTGCAGTGCGACGTACGCGTTGCTGGGGTGTTGGGGTAACGGAATCCTGACAGAATACCGATCTAGCAGAATGCCCCCCTCATCGACTTCAACCTGCTGAACCTCCACAATTAGCCATGGTTTGATGCAGGGTGGTGGATCAAAAATGCAGTTCTGCTGCGATGCTACTTTAAAGAGTCCCGTCTTGCCTGGTTGCACTGGTCAGCTGGAGAAGAAGATGGCCCGAATGGGTATCAGCACGATCCTTAATGAGTCGTGAAGCTGACCCAGATTCACGTTGCGTGACTTGTTCTCATTCTGGGCTGAGGCTTGTGATCGTGGATCTCACCTTCCCTTGTGACACCACGCAGGGGGAATCAACAGCGGAAACCGAGGACGGCACCGCGCATACGCATGTCACAGGTTTGGTTCCAGATGAAGAGAACTTTGGCAATCTCGAAGGAGAAAAAAGAAGAGTCCAATTGTGATGACGCTGTGGAAATTATTGAAGGGCAAGGTTTGGGAAGGTGCAGAGAAGCTTGTCTCAAATGGCTTTCCCACTTTGACTTCTTCCAAGAGTGGTGCTGTGTTTCGGTGTGCTTCGACAAATGCCATTGAAGTTGTTTCTGTGCGTCGATGCGTGCTTGCGACACAAACCCCAGTGCTGTGCTGGGCTCTTGCATAAGGACCCTGAGCGCTCCAGCGATGATCTTGTGTGCGACGCGCTGCTTGGCTCTGCCTACGATAACCTGCAGCCACCAGTTGCGCACCGTCTCGAGTAACTGTAGCTTATTCACAGTCGCTAAACGCTACGGAAAACTGCGAAGGTATCAGGTTGCAACGAACTGAGGCTACAGGACTTTCCAGAGCACACCTCTGGAGCTCAATCCCCCCAAGCCTGGGGAGCCCCTCGCCTGGCCGGGCTTCCGCTCAAAGCCAGCGGCTACGGGAAGATCGGCGTGTCGCGCAGCAACGGGGTGCGGAGGACTGGCCCTTCATGGCCTTTAACTTTACCCTGTGCATCGTCGCTGCATCGTTTGAGCAACATTGCTGCTACGAGTTTGTGCTCTCTCTGCAGGCGGCTCCGCATCATCCAGGGAGCCTTGGCCGAGGGGCTCCGCAACCTCCAGAAGGGTGGCGTCTTGGTTTCTCAGCTGACTTCTGCTGCATCATGCTGCATGTGCAAGTCAGCTCCGCTCGTGGAATCACTTTGTGAAAGGGAAGAAGTTCCAGCACCTCTCTGCGGTGTGCACAGACATACGCAGCTTCAAGGCCGTCAGCTGTCCAGATCCTTTTCCCACCTCCTTTCCTTCATTTTGCTGCCATGGCGCGCTCCACGCTTGCCTTGCTGGTCTCCCTCGCAAGCTGCACCCTTCTGGTCAGACAAATGGGCCTGGGCTTCGTTGGCTACCGACCTTCTACAGCTTCCTCGCCCGTGGCCATGCGGGCGGAGGCTGACACGGAGGTCGTTGAGGAGAAAGTGGTCGCTGAGGGTGACCGCCTCAGGCTCAAGGTCCAGTCAGCTGAGGGCGACGCCGTAATGGAGGCCTGCTCCGAGGTGATCCTGCCCAGTGCCAGCGGCCAGCTGGGCATTCTGGCTAACCATGCTCCAATGATGTCTGCCCTGGATGTCGGCGTGCTGCGCTACAAGCAGGATGGCAAGTGGACACCCATCGTGGTCATGGGTGGCTTCGCCAGTGTGGACTCCAACTCCCTGTCTGTTTTGTGCAACGACTTCGAGGAGGCTGGCAACATCGACGTGAACGAGGCCAGGTCAGAGATGGAAAGCGCCACGGAGCTGCTCGAGAAGGCTGAGGCCAAGACACAGAAGCTCGAGGCAACCCAGAAGGTGAAGAAGGCAGCAGCCAGATTGCAGGCGGCTATGTTCATGGCCAAGAAGTAGACGCAACAGTGAATGCATTGTGAAGGTCAGGCAGGGCCGGATTCTTTTTGAGAGATTCTCCAGGTCGCTGCGCGAGGCAGCAAGGGAATGTATATCGCTCATGTAGTTCAGATGGGCAGAAAGGCTGGCCGTACAGACGAAAGCCTGAACTGTGCGCCGTAGTCCTTGTGTCTGCCAACCCGAGGGCAAGTGAGCAAGTGAGTCGTTTTCTCAATGCGCACTAGGTGTAGTTGGGTGCCCGTTCTGATTTGCAGCGTGTTCACCGGCATATCTAGTCGACACACCGTGGATTTGCCCAAGGGTAGCATGAGACAGTTTCCCACATGAAAGCGGACGGCCAGAGCACCAAAACTGCCACGACGAGTTTGGAAGCAGGCTCCCAGAGCACGCGCATTCCGATTGCAGCGGCAATTTGGGGTTACCCTTCCCAGGTTGCAAGCTGGTGCGGCCTTCCCACGCATCCGGTGCTACCGTTTCTGACAAAGCAGCTCCGTCCTGGATTTCGTCGTGCCTGGGCTCATGCAACTCAGAAAGCACGGCCCAAGCCACAGAACCTGCTGCTCTCAGGTGTGCATGTTCTGACACCGCCGGACTGCCAGACCTTTGAAACGTATATCGTTGCAGCAGCCACTTGCCTGCGACGGCTTGGCTTAGTCGGTGCCACAAGGCCTTGTCATGATGGAAATCAGGTCGGGTGCGGTTCCATTCCAAACATATGACTTGGCTGCCGCATTCTGTTAAGCCGAAAAAAGCCAGTGGCAGCCTCTCCTTGAGTCTATTCACGTACAGATCTACTAAACCGCCACAGCCTTGAGGAGTTCGACAGAGATGGGCACGTGAGCCGGCCAGATCCCATCCCGCTCAGACCGCGCGAAAGCCGAAACACCCTTCTGGAGCTGGAGCCTGCGCAGATGTGTTCCCTGGTTGGAGAACCCAGATCTTCCAAAACCCCTTAAGGAATATAGCCCTAATTTATCCTAAGGATCCTTATTATGAAATTGGGTATACACCTTAATTAAGGGGTTTTTGAAGATCTGGGAAGCTACATTGCAACTTGTGTGGGCACAATAACATGCTTGCTATACCCGGGGCGCAAAAACTAGTTCTAACCTGGTTGTTGAAATTCGGCGTGCAGCCTACCAAGACACAGGCTTCCAGCTCATCTCATGTATAGGCATTGGTAAAAGGTGGGAGGTCGCGCTGCAACTTAGCCGCACCATAGTCTGACAGGCAAGTTCAACTTTCCGAATTGGCTGCGAAGCCCATTGCGAAGCTACTTGCCATGCATTTGCCGAGTTTGGCCTCTTCCCAGCTGAGTCTCTATCAGTGCGTGCTTCACAATGTGACGTTGGTAGCCATTGCGGAAGGTAATAGCACATTCCTCCGGACATGTGTCCAGAAACAGCACTTCACGCGTCCAAGGCTGGTCAACCGGCTACGACGACGTGCTTGCGTGGACTTTGAATTTCAAGCGTGAGATCTTCCAGGAAGCTTGGTTGTGGGGCAATGGCCAGAAGTCTGAATTACAGAAGAAGCGCCGCTCGATCTCCGAGCCAAGGAGTGCCTGCCGAAGTACCAGGAGACAGTTGTGAACGACGCGCGCAGCGGTGCAGCTTACGATCGCCCTTGGCTGACGCACATGCCAAAGTCTCATGTGGCTACTCGGACTGCCATTCCAAGAGGTTTTCGGTAGTACGGCTGAACGGGCTTAACGTTCAGAAGGCTTCTTAACTGGACGGAACAGTGGCCCTTTTCCCGCAATCAAGCCAATTTTATCGCTTCAGCTCTGCCAGGACATCTTTTGCTCCAAGTAACCACATGTCCCAATATGTCCTAGTATGTCCCCACATGTCCCAACTGTCCCTTCTCATCTAGTCTCTAACAGTTGCGAGGCACTGCTTCCGCGAGGTTTTGAGAGTTCTTCAGTTGCTCATTTAGTCCTCCTTCGTCGCTACTTGAGTCGTTTTTCTTTTCACATCCTCCCTTCAGAGTCCGAAAGAAGCGATCCTTGCACTGGCTTTGGGATCATGGCTAGTAAGAAGTATGCGGACACATGTTTTTCAGCTTGGTGTCCAAGGCCCGGTCCGCGCCGCTAGACATGGAGGCGCGCTTCGATGAGATGTGGCTGCTCTCCCTCAATTGATTTCATTGGGCGGCAGTCCCTACTACACACTGGTTCCTATCTTGCTGCTGCATGACTACTGCATACTAGTGCACGCTGGGGCGGCTGCTGCTTTGAGCTCTCGAGGTGAATGCTTCCAGTAATCGGCTAGCACAGTCCTGAACTCATTGGTGTGCGACTGCGCGGGGTCTAGGCCCGTGAATCGGAAGAAAGGAACAAGAGAAGGAATGAAGAAGAATCGAGAGAGAAAGAAGGGCTGTTGCCCATGTTTCTGACGTATGTTGATGCATAAGGGTCCCCCATGTTCACCAACTGCGGCGAAGCAAGTTCCAGATTCCCATTCTCTATCAACGGCAGACGTGCGACCCTTGCAAGGCGAGGTACGGCCTGACTGCCAATCACGTGTGATGCAAGCTCGGCTGCTACAGATCTCTGCGATCTCGCCACAATCCACCTGCCCTTGCAGACTCGCCCGGCCCCATAGCCATCATATCCTGTAAGAGTCAAGCCACCTCCAGTTGCATCATGGGCACCCTGCCACGATCTCGTTGCTTGAACCATGAACGGTTCTTCGGTGGGGGGCAAACATCGCGGTCTCCTCCACCGAAACACTCTTGGGCGTACCAGCCATTTCACAGGCCCTCCCCCCACTTTCGCCTCGGAGGTCGGAGGTCAGAAGAGATCCGTTGCATGCCGTCAACATTCCGCAGTCATTAAAAAAGTCTTGTAAGAAACTTTGAGGCGAGGGGCGGGAGTCCTCCAGTCGGCCGGGAACACCTATTTGCGCAGGGGCCGGGGCTTTCGGATGCCCAAGCACAGCCCACTGCCAGGCACCTGTTGCATGTGAAATATATTCGTAGTAGCTAATGCCCAAGGATCAAGGATAACAAGGAAACTAATGATACTTCGCCGCCGGCTTATGTCGCGGGATTCTGAATTCTCTAGGCACATCTGCTCAAATCATCAAAGCCGTAATTGTGATCAAACGAGGTATTTGTGTGCTTGCGCTTGAAGTCGCACCTTTCTGATGCAAGTCTGTTTTTGTTCCATCCGAAGAATTCTCAAAATCCGAGGTCGATCTATGCGACCAAGCTGGGGCTACTGATGAACAGGCTTGAAGAAAACTCGCTTGATCCAGACATTCTGCCAGAGAAACCACCATACCGCTTTAACGTTTCTTGGCCGGCTCTTGCGCACGACTTTTGCACAGCTGCTGTCGCCATTAGCTGTATCTATCCTTTCGATGTCTTTCATTATAACTCAGGCGACCACCAGCTGGACTGTGCCAAGACCCGCCCTTCCACCGGCAGAGCACGTCATACTGCCACAGAGGATATGAAGTGGTGCAGGCATCGCGAGCAACAGAGTGCCACTCACCAACCCATCAGGAAGCAGATCGGTGAGGTGCTGGACACTTTCAGATCCAAGGCGTGTCAAAGTCATGGAATCCGTGCTGAGTGCGTATGCAGTATGATGGGATGCATGCACTCATCGCAGGGCTCGAAGTCAAAGCCGTCCAAGTCACGGAGCCGTTCCAAAGGAGAGAGCTCAAAGGAAAGGCGTGCAAACAGCAAGGACTTGCTTGTGCTCTGTGTTCACCCAGCCGAACAACATTGACAGTGTTGTTGCCTTGGACCTGAGGAATCTCGCAACAAGAGCAAAGCAAGTGCAACCTTGCCAGCGAATCCATCCACCAGGCAGTTGATCAGGGTCGATTGATTGCACACTCTCTGCTTCCTAGCGTAACAATGTTGTCGAGTTTGGGTGCCTGCTGGCAGTTCCCAAAGTATGCCAAGCATAAGCATCTCTGCTTCGGGTGCGACACTCTCGGCTACGTCTCCGACCGCTAGCACGAGCCTTGTGCCACACGGCACGCAGTGGGCATGCACATAGCGGTGGAGGGCGCGAGAAATGTCTCCTGCCTGTGTTCCTTGGAGCCGGATGGCTTCGTGGCTTCCACCGAAAACATCCGAATCCAAACAGAGGGAAGTCAGCCAGCCAGCCGAGGTTAGATCAAGGAAGCGCTGCTGAGCCTCGGAAGGACAACGATGGTGGCTTGGCCGAAGCAGGCTGGCAAAGACAGGAACGGACACACTGTGACTTCCCTTCGACAACAGCTCGGAGAAGCTCGCCGCCACCTGCAACTCAGGCAAGCCGGTACCTGCAGCTGGCCTGCACGAGCCTGACTCTGCTGCATCCCCCGAGCACGGAGAGGAATGGCATCAAGTTGCACTCAGGGAACCGGAGAGTAGGTAGAAGGATGACAAGTAGCAATGCAGAATACTGAGCTCGGCTAGATCGAGTTTGCAAGCTGTTCACCAGGCGGGCATGGAAGGGTTTACAGGCGAGCTGAGCTTTGTGACAACAGGAGCCGAGCCCTTCCCAAGGGAGTGATGTTCAGGGACTCCTTGAAGAGCTGCCACAGCAGCAGCCTCAACAACCTCAGCATGAACAGTCTTGCGGGTGGGGGAAAGAAGTTGCATGGCACAAGCCGACTCGGGCAGACTTTCGGCTCAAATGTACACCCGCCGTGGCGGGAGATAGCTTTAGGTTGTGTCTCTTGCAGCTCTGACCCACAGCAGCACTTGGGACATGATCGAACTCGGAACTAGTCCTGTATCTGAGGGCGGGGAGGGGAAGAGAGGAGAAGTGTGGTGAAGGAGATATGTTGAAAAAGAAACCGGCTGCCCTGTCAAAATATGGTTTGGATTTGGACTGGTTTTGTCCTCCGGGGGGGGGTGGCGCAGCCGCACCCATTTGCCATCACCTTACTAGATGCGCGTTGGCTTCAAACACGTTTGTGAAGCTAAGAGGACAAAACATGGTTGGTTGTGGGCGGGGGAGGCCGCCTCCCCCTTTGCAACCACCTTGCCCAGCGCTTTGTTGGTGGTTGAGTTGAAAAAGTCTTGCTTGCGAAGGAAGGAGATATGTCACTCTAGTTGGGGAAGCAAGAAGCGGCACAATCACGCTGTGTGGGACAGGTACAAGAGGAGAATGACGAGAGGACTGGAGGAGCATACGAAGAAGTCAGGTCAGCGTACGTAATTAAAGGCACCTTGAGAATCACTACAGAAACGGCAGCAAATCTGAGGGACCCTGGACACGTGCCCCCCGCCCTCCCCCCCTAGCAGCAGAGTTTGCACGTCGGCAACGCAGCTAGGGCAAACCAACGCGAGCTTGCAACTGGCAACGCAACCAAGCAAGCAGCCAAAAGAGAAAACAGGGCCTCAGGGAATTTCAAGTCCATTTGCGGGGCTTAACGCAAGGTGCGAGCTTTTGAATGTCTCCGAACGACCTACGTCCGATTGAATGGAAGTTGGGAAATGCCACTACATGACATCGCATAGCCCAAAAGGTGCAGCCCCCTTCACCCCGCTTCCCCTCCCCTTGCCCCCCTTCCTGGAGCCTCTTCCTTCCTTGTGCTTCAGTTTCTTTATCCTTCGCACGCAAGACTTTTTCACCCACAACCAACAAAGCATTTGATAAGCCAAATTGGGGGCAAGGACTACAGGCAATGGCACTGAAGGTTTCTCAACTGTCGCAAAAAACTGTAGAAGGCTTGCACATTGAATTTCCCTTCTCCAGCTCCTTGTCGGGGCCAGCATCTGGTTCGTCCTGAGGATGGCACCGCCAGCGGACAACAACGGTGGATGCCCCGAGCAAGTGGACACTATTCTCTTTGTGGACGTGGATACTGGTCTTGATGGACATTGCACTGGCGCGCATGCATAGCCTGCAGCACAAAACGTCTATCTAAGGATGGTGTTTTGAACGTTGGCATCCAGGATAGTGGCATCTTGGCTTTCTTCGAAGATGTTGACATGTCTTGTTGCGCTGTGAAGCCCAGAGCACCCGAAGCTTGTATCACATGGTTGCGGCCGACTGCACGTGCAGTCCTTGCCACGTCTCTCTTGCTGCACTACAGGAAACGCACCAATTTTGCTCAAGACGGACGAGCTTAACCTGGCGCGAGATCTTTGCGCAGCTGGCTACGCAGGTCGTGTGCACAGACGTAGGCCATTCGAGCTTGAATCTCCTGAAAATGATGGTAGCGATTGTAGCGGAAATAAACGTTGAACCATGTTGAATCTCGATAGCTTGTCGGCACATATTGTTTTCAACCACGGTCTAGTCTCGCCAATTCGGAATAAAGGCATAAGTTTGGTGCAAGCAGCGAAGGTAGCAAACGAGTTTGCAGACCGTAAACTTGAAAGTTGACATCTTCTGCTTCGATTCTCGGAATCCAGGCGTTTACAGGTTTCGATACGTTTGGCAAAACAAGGAATGTGGAAAACGATCCCCAAGTTTCGTCAAACGGAAATAAAGGCCTTATCTCAGCCATCGACAAAACCAAGAGCTCACCCGTGGTTAAATTCACGGGACTGAGCTCGAAGCCTCAGCTTTCAGAATCCAATTTTGGCAGCCTGAACTCTGTGCAAAGCTTTCGCGTCCGAATAAGAGTCTTTACATTGCGTTGTTTGAAGCTGAATTAAAGCTTTTCTGACAGCGTCGCTGCCTCCTTCAGGACTGTACAACAGTCGGACTTGTGTCAGAAGATGCTTCGGGGCCGTCAGTCATACTGGATGTATTGGACATGTTTTTACACACCTTCTAGCATGGGGAGGATAGCTTCTTCAGTGCAAATTGTACATGGCTCTATGTGCAGAGTTCTCTACATGTTGGAACGGATGCGAGATTTGCTCACCCCAGAGGTCACCATCTTAGACAAAGCAAGGCGAATCCAGCTGCTTGTCTCTAAAGCCAATGCCTGAGGTCGAGATGCTGAAACCGCACGGCGAATCTGTGCCCTAGCTTCCCACTCGGCGGATCACGCCGGGGGCATCACGTACGAAGCGTTGGCGATTGGCTGAGAAAAACAGGGTATTCACAGGAGGTGGTGGATGTTGTATGCTCTGTACAGCGTAGAAGCCTCCAGTTTGCTTTGTGAGGCGAGCCAGGATCACCTCTCCAAGGCGCGACCATCGGAAGAAGTCGCACGAAACGAATTACGAATTAGGCTCATGCTTTCGAGACCTTGTGCTCCCCAAACTACCACTGCGAGTATGCAACTGCCACTCGGCACTGCCCGCGATGCCACTAGACATCTGTCCTGCGCGCAGGTATTGCTCGGACGCCTTGCGCTCCTCATCCAGGATCTCACCTCGCCTGCAGCTTGAAAGCGGGCTTGCAAGACGTGGGTGCATCGGGTCATCGGGTCCTGACTCAACCTCATGGCCGACTGCTAGCACTTCTGCCAAACCTTCCTCGCACCTGCAGGAGGCCGGCAGCCAGTGCCACGTGGTACTTTCATCCAGCTGGCGGAAGAAGCAACATGCAGGGAAACGCAAGGTGCTTCCTGCCAATCTGAAGTTGACCAATCTGGCAGATTGCCTGACCAACTAAGCACGCTGGAGCTCCTCCCTGCAGGTGCTCGAGGAAGAGCTGGCCCAGTCCCTGGGCAGGCTCGGGTCGTGGTTTGAGACGTGCCAAAGAGCAAGCAAAGGCCACAGGCCATTGCGAACTAGGCTGTTTTGCACGTGCTGCCTGCGCAGTCACACGTGTGGCAAGCTACCCTTAGCTTCGAGATATGTGAAGCAGCCCTGTGGCGGCATTATTGCTGGTAAAACATGTGGTGGGCTCGGCCCCACCCAAAATCCCCGCCAAGGAGTCCCTCCCACGTCTCTGGCTTTGATCCTCCATCCTGAGAAGGATAAACGATAGCAAAATGCATTCTGCATGCAAGTGCTAGCATAGAATCGGGCCAGGCCTTTTGCCTTTGACGGCGTCACCGGTCTATTGCTCCCAGAGCGGCACGCTGTGCACAGACTAGCAGCCATACGCAGAGAGCTCAGTGCTCAATGCAGAATCTGAGCAATGTTTCAAGAGTCCTTATGCGTTCTTTGCCATGTCTGCACGACTTACTGGGTGAAGAATGAATGGTCCAGTGCATCCGCGAGAGATGCACCGAGGAATGTACCTGTCGGAGTTTGCAGAGAAGGACTTTGCACCACAGCACATAAAGAAACTCGAAGGCTTGTATTCTTCGTAGGTGCTTACATCTTCAAGCTTCGAAACAAGGACCGACTTGCTGCCAACGTCAAAGTGGTGGTGCTTGACGACTTCTTTCTGAGTCCTATTTCTGGTTGGGAATGTGGTGACACGAGCGCCTCGGTTCGTTCTTGCTGACAAGATCTGCACTACTTGTAGCAGGCTTGTACCTGGGCTCAGCCACTAGCACCCGATTGCAAGGGCAAGGGCAAGAGGGCATCGGTAGTTGCTTAAATTTCCCACATATGCTCATCTCCCAGCAGAACAGCACGTTGGGGAGTAGCATGGTTGTTATACCATTGACACTACAGCTGCCATCAAGCTATCACCTATCAAAGCACTCAGACACCCTTAGATCTAGCCTTTCTGCAAGACAGGAGAAAGAAGAGCGAGTGAGAACTCAGATGGATGTCGACTGTCTTCCTCCATGTGGGGCAAGCCGGTTGCCAGATTGGAGAAGCCCTGTGGCCTGCGCTAGCGCAGGAGCGCCCTGGCTCGCCGGAGTTTTTCAGAACTCGAAGCGAGGTTTGCCCTCGGGCAATCCTGGTGGATGCAGAGCCAAAGGTTGTGGAAAGCGTACTGTCTCAGGTGAACGGCACATACTCTTTTGATCCTGCGAGTGCGGTCATGACCCAAAGCGGTCGGGGGGGGAATTTCGCCTTGGGGTACTCTGGAGATTCCCTGGGACATGCCTCCTCTTTGGATGGAGACGTGGAGCCTCTTTGGGCCAAGGCAGTTGATCGATTTCGACAGCAGGTGGAAGCATGCCACGGCCGACATATGGGGACATACTTGGCACATTCCTTGGGAGGAGGCACCGGGAGCGGTCTCGGAGCGCGGCTAGCAGAGGAACTGCGTGACGCATACCCCAAGGCATCGCTGCTCGCAACCTCCATCTTGCCAATCTCCAGTGGGGAGAACCCAATGCAGAGCTACAATGCGATTTTGTCGCTCTCCTGCATGCAAGAAGTGGCCGATGGAGTGGTTCTGTATGAGAATGATGTGCTGCTTGCTTCTGCCTCATCTACTGATGACAGCAAAGCTGCAGATCACACTTCTGGGGCTTCATTAGCTTCCATGAACTCTATTCTGGTGCGTGATATTGTCCCTCATTTGTGCCCATTTTCGCAGGTGGCCGACCTCAGCGAAGTGCTGTCTGCAATCGTCCCCTTGCCAAGTCATAAGATTGTGCAGGCATTCAGCGGCGAAGTGCTCCCATCACTCGGTCCGCCCACGAGCCCGAAGCCCACAATCGATGCTTTGCGTCTTCCGCGAAGTGCCCGCAACTCTGGTAACGTGATTGCTGCGCGAGCAGTGGTCCGCGGCGCGCCGAAGCAGCTGCTTGGCGCAAGCTCGGTCTTGAAAGACGAGCTGCTTGATCGATTGGGTGGCGCAGCGCCTTGGCAGCCTTTTGCACTTGATGTGCTCTGCGGCACGCAGTCTCTACGCTCAGCACCGGCGGCGCGAGCGAGCATGCTGACAAACTGGAGGAGAGTCACGCAGGTGTTGCGGGGCCTACATGCTCGAGCTTGCAAGAAGTATGCCTCTCGCATGTTCCTGCATTGGTACGAAACCTACGGCTTCGGCCCAGATGCATTCGCACAGGCTTTTGAGCAAGTGGAGCGCACGATCTGGAACTATGAGGGTTCGCAGTGAACGCCTTACGATAACACAGGCAACAACATCTTCTGCACTTTTGCAGTGAGCGAGGGACAAAGAGCCCTGCCCCGTTCCATACGTGGCAGTCTGACACTGCTTGCTGCTAGTTTCCGATTTAACGTCTGTCAGGTGCACATGTCAATGTGTTGGACACTTCTGAGGCGTTGCATTCACTTCTGCATGCTGCGATATGGCTGCTTTCGCAATGGGAGGCCCCAGCCACAGTCGTCTGATGCCGCGATGCATCGCTCCAAGGTATTGAATCGACTGTGGATGCTGAAGCTTATCTCATGGAGGGCATCCAAGACCCCTCTGCCAAAGTCAAAGTCGTACACTGCTATGAGGAGCTGAAAGCAGATACTTGACTCAGCAAAGGTGCCGCATGCTGAACCTCAGATCTTCTCATCACACCGCACTGTCGATTTGCCATGGCACCATCCACCATTTGTGTTTTCATGAGGGTCGCAGTTGCGTTGTGCACACCAGCTCAGGGTGGCTACAGACTTCAAGTGGGCACTGGCTTGTCAGGCAAACTACTGGCAGAGGCACGTGAGCTTCTTGGCTGCAAGCCGCCTCGCGGGGATAGCCATCAGAGTACTTCTGTGGAGATTCTGCATTCTGTCGGTCGCCCGCAGGTTCCTGAATCCTGCGATATCCAGACCACTACAGCTTGAAGATCCTCTGAAGCCAGGCGAAGCAGACATCATCAAAGAAGGCCGATTTTGTGAAGACATGGGCGGATGGGCTGCAGAATCAATGTAGAAACAATGTCTTTCGCTACGCCAGATGCGTCATAGCTGTGCAAGGAGTTGTGTGTTTTTGCACACAAGGCCGACTGCATGCGAATTTTGCTCACGCTAGGACAGGGTCTACGAAGCTAGGAAAGGTGATGGAGAGTCACTCCCTATTGCTTAAGTGCGGCGAAACCTGCCTTGCTACAGGCACGGTGAAGAGCAGCTTCTTCCAGGTGTTGGCCACTGCCTTTGCGCCACCACCTACTCCCGTGCTCTGGGTTATCTAGCAACCCAGTACAGCCCCAATGTTTCTGGATTGTTCGGCGAATGCCGTGTCCAAAGATGCGGTATGCCCACTTAACACATTTGAAGTTGTCGGGAGCAACCGAGACTGAGTTCAGCAGGCATTCGGCCTTCTGCGGCCTGCGAATTTGGCTTTGAACGCGCTTGGCATCTCATGCCAACTGGACTCTCTATGGTTGACAGACTGTAATTAGTCAAAATGCTTCTCGGCTTGCCCGCAGCCAATTCTTGCAGAGTCATTTCCCACTGGTCACACACACACACACACACAACGGGGTTCTTGCATTGGGGTAACGAGAGAGAGACCCGGTAAGCTCTCGCCGCAGTCCCGTGTGACTCGCACGTTTTGGGCATCCACCAGATCGTAGTCGAACTGTCCCAACTGTCGTCGCTTTTGGGTCCGGAGTATGGTTCCGAGCTCCTGGTGGCTGGAAGTCGACTCAAGGAGTAGCCTAAGGACGGCCCGGAGCTTCTCACAATGTCTCCTAGGGTGCTCTTGGGTGCTCTTGAGTTGATTTTGGCAGTGGTCTTCCACCACTGCCGCAAAAGCCAGCTCCTTGGAGCTTGCGGGAGTTTTGTTTACAACCTTTTGGGGTTTGGCCTGATATCTCAGGGATTTAAGGTACCACAGGGGCTGTGGGGGGGCCCCTGACCTTAAAGTGTAAGCCCAAACATAGATAATTTCTGCCAGGCTATCTAAGCTTGCAGCGCAACTCCCCCAAAGTTCGAATCCTTTGCTGCGGCAGCTGCAAGTCAATCTGGAGCAATCACCTGTCATGACGAAGCAACCATTTGACTGCCACTTGAGGGACCTAGCCGTCGTTCGCCCTGCACTCAAGTTTGGGGTTGCTGTCATATGGCATGAAATCATGCGCATGTGTATAAGTATTAAAAACGATGTCACTCTAGTGCTCGAAGCACGCCTTGCATGGAGACGCTTCAGAGAGTAATGTCAACTGTGGAGAGTCAGGCCTGAACGTCTATTATCACATGTGGTTGCAAGACCACACCAGATGCGTGGCAAGGATGCATTCACACCGGCTGGTATTCTCCATATCAAAATCTACCATCCTGCATTTGCATCCTTGCCAAACGTTGGAAGTCATGCTTGTCTATGACATATTGGTGGTGAGGCTGCTGCGCAGCAGTGCCAGCATTCACACCCAGCCCAGGTGGGTATCCGGTAGTTAGAAGACAAAAGCTATGGACCCGCCAACGAATGCTTGACTAGATTCTGTTGGCTGCCCACACTTGAGGCCTCGCAGACTGTCGCTGACACGCGTGGTAGCGCTCGTTGCCAGTGCAATGAACACATTCTTGTTCGCTGTGGTGGTGTCCTGTTCCAGGGTATGCGTCGTCGTTGTTCAGATGGCAGAGACCTGCACATTTTCACCGTGACTGCGCACAGCCAGGATTCACTGATTCACTCTTCTGCCTCGGGACTTTCCTAGCCGGAGTGCCCGTTCCTAACCAAGGCAGTCAGGCATGAAAACCAAATAGGGGCTGAGAGGGTTTGGATTGCCATTCAATATGCCGAAGACAGGCAGACAGAGTTGATGTCCATTCAATGGCGAGATGCAGCCACTAAGTTACGGCTGCTTATGAAGGTTGTGTAGCTCAGGAGGCAGCCAAGGAAAGCTGAGCGCTTGAATCGCTACGAGATGTCAAGCCCATTCGGTCGGCTTCATGCCACTGCCAATGACCACACACACGTCTGCGGCTGGATCGGTTTCTTGGCGATCGGAGGATTCAGGTCTCAGATCAGACTATCTCCCCCCTTCCCAGCTGCGGATGCCCCAACCTCCGCCCCAACCCCCGTTTCGGGCTCTGTGTTCGGCAGTCCTTTGTTAAAACGGGTTAGACTTTAGGGCTCACAGGGTTTGGGAGATTTCGGGGCTCTCGGAGTTGTCGTTTCCCGCCCAGAAACGCACACAAGAGTGTACCAGTGTTGGGTCCTGGCCTTGCATTTGGTAAAGTTTGAAACCGGAGTGAGATGAGGAGCATGCATGCACTTATAACATGACACGGGCTCTGCGCAAGCCTGATCCGATCCGATTCATGTTCGGGCTGATCCAGTTTGTCGCTTCGGGATGCAACTCCTTTGATCCTGTTCGTAGGGACGCTTGATCCTATTACATCGGCGAGCTGCGAGCATCCCAAGAAAGCAGACGCCCATCTGGCAGCGGCCATACACATTGACTCTGCCACAATTCGGCAACCGCCACACGGCTGTGTCAAGGTTTGCAATTGACCATAGTGGGTAGAAGTCGCATTTCGGACCTTTCATAGCTATGCAGACGGCTGGCAAGCACATCGCTTGCGGGGGCTGCAAGGCTAGCAGCCCATTACCAAAGCATGTCGCCCTCCTGCCACTGAGCCAGCAGTTTGCACACCTACTGCTGTGCGCTACAAAAGCGCCCGGCCCCCGAGTGTGAACATCGCCATGGCTGAATTCACAGTTCGTTGAGTCTGGGTCGATGTGTGCTTTAGCTTTCAAAAGAACAATTCCGGACAGCAGCAAAGCGCATACTCTTACGTGTTGGTCTGCAAAGCAGTTCTTCCCGGATGAGGACTACACCAATTTTCCCATGCAAGAACTCATAGCTACTTTCTTAAGGTCGGCTTGCACGCACCTTTTTTTTAAAGTGTTGCCTGCTCCAGGGCCTGTGGGTACTGCGAATCGTTTAGCTACAAATTGACATAGCTGACACGTTACCCGTGTCCAGTGAGACCAAAGACGTGCAGACAACGGGGCACGGCACGGTGTTCCGTTTGCCTTACCAGGGCTCCAGTGCTTAGTATGCTTGCCGAAGCCGGTTTCAAGGTTGGCTTGCAGGTCAAGAGACTTGCAGATCCGACCATCGCACAGGATAGGTTTCCGTGTTGAAGGCTACGCACCAGTTTCGCGACCAGGAGTTCAATCAATATTCTGTCTTCAGAATCGAAGCAGCAAGCTGACAAGTAAGCGCTGAGTTCCTACAAGATAGGGTCGGAGCCATTTTCTGTGCAGAGGCCGGTGAAACGTATTCCTCGGCCACAAGTTGCCGGAGCCTCGGCTTGGAGTTGCAGGGTTTATCGAAGCCGAAGTGTGAGCTGCAGGCAGGGCGCCCGCAGTGCACGCACGGCGCTGAGAGTTGTGGTTGGGTAGGTTCTAGCTCGCACGCAAAAGAGGTCGGAGCCAGAGGTCCCTGAAGTAGGAGCTGAGCCAGAATCAGGATGTGGATGAGCTCCACTCTGGGAGCTGCGCCAGGCATTGAATGTGATGGCCTAGCCCGGCACATCTTGTAGCACATATCCTGGCCCAGGCATCGGCCCAGATCCTGTGGCACTCACAAATAGCAGGCAGCACACACGATGTTCGATCTGAACGTGCGAATATTCGGGGACGTTGTGGGAATTGAAGCCTTAAACCGCCTACTTCGTGCACGTCCTGCTTCAGTTCGTGGCTGAGCGCTGCCCTGGAGAAGATACCGACCTTCTACGCTTGCAGCTGAGCAGCTGAGATCCCCAACTAGTAGCAGGTCCCAGCAGAGGAGCTGCGTGAGCTCTGTGAGGCGCATGAGGCTTTGCCCACTCTGTACAGAAGACCCTGGCCTAAAGCGTCACAGCGGTCCCCCTACGAGGCACTGGAATTAGACTTCCGGAAGTCAATTCAGAGGACAATCTTACCATGCCAGGCTGCCTCATCCGCAACTGCATCCAGGCCTTGCAGCGCCAGGCCCTCAACATCCTCCACGTCTCGCGTCTTCTGACATCTCAGATGCGAGGCATGAGCTGCTAGATGCTGCAAGCTCTTGCAATCCTTGATCTCTTGACTACTGAAGGCTGTGACGGGCCTTGGAAGTCGAGTCGGTGCCAGAAGGCACATCTCGGGCTTGAAGCCGCTGTAACCGCTTCTGCAATGACAGCATAGGTCCCCGGACTGCAGGAGTAGAGTGCAGAGTTTGGCCTCACACAGTGCCATTGCCAGGATACCGGTGGAACGCAGTCGGGTGCCCAGCATCTGTAAAGTCTCAACATGTGGATTCGCACACATGTGCTTTGTTACCTTGTGGAGCGCTGGATGCTTTCTGGATGAGCTCCTGTTGCCTGCAGGCAGCCGACCAAGCTTTTGCCTTAAACAGACTTGGCATGCCCATGTTTACCAAAGACCGGCTTCCCCTCTCAGATCGCTCGCACTGCACATGCTTCTGATGCGAAAGAGCATAGCAGCGCATCTCAAATGGCTCGTAAAAGAAATCGAGGCACCACTTCTGGACGGAGGAGAGCCGAGGCTTCAGCGGCTTCAGCAGTAGGCAACTCAGGCCGAAAACTGACCCCAGGCGTGTGTCGAGAGAGCGAGATGTCAAAAGTCGCCTAAGCCCAGTGCACAAAATGACAAAGTATGACTAAAATGACAGTGCACAAGATCAAGTATTGAAAGATATCAAGGCGAAGGTCTCGCCAAAGCGCCGGACTGGGGAGTGGAAAGAGCCAGCGCCTCAGCGCCTCACGGGCTTCAGGCAGAGCCCGTCGAGGTGCGGATAACTGGTTCGACGGGGTGCAAAAATCGTCTCTTCGTAAGACATATGCAAAGAGGAGTCTTCTGGACTCCACTGTCAACTGCAAGGACTTCACTTAAATTCACTTACACTCGCTTGCTCGCTAAGTCCTGCTCGTCCCCACTCGGCTGCCTCCCACCTTGGGCGCTCTGCGACGCTGCCTACAGTTGCACGGCGGCCAGCGAGTTGCCAAAAGAGCCTCTGCCATGCCTCGCACGTTCCGGAAGTGCTTCGCATCATCATCGTGCATCGAATCTCTGGCGGCCGTGGCCCTCCATTTCGGCTCACATCAGTGACTTTGGAAGCGGGTTGGGAGGGAGATGTGGTGTCCAAAGGAGAAGCCCCCCTCCATGCTGAACTCTCCCAAGCCTTTGCTGAGCTCTGCCAGAGAAAGAACCACCTTCGGCACACGATCCGTGGTTGGGTAAGCATGGCGGTGGCAAGGAAGCACTCGTGAAGATGGCCACTAAGATACTGAGCACAGCTGCAGCCGAAAAGCGCAACATCAAAAAGGCAGGTCTTGTTTCCTTTTCCTACACCCTAAGTCCCGCAGGCGCCTTGCCACGGTGAGCAGTTGGGATCTAGTCGACGACCTTGCTTCCGACTGCAACTTGAGAGAGAAACCAAGACTGCAGGGACAAAGTCGGTGCCACATGCTTTGCTCTTCTTGTTTCTGACGTGTGTTTCGATGTGCCTCTCTTTCGTCATAGCCTCACACGTGCCTCGACAATCTGTGACTGGCCAATATATGGGCGCTTGGAGCACGGGCCTGGAGTAGGACAACAGAGTATCAGAAGTTACGGCAGCTGCACGCACCCGGAGCTGTACCTGGTTCACTATGTGGGTACCTGTGGATGGTCTCAGCAATAAAGGGGGGGGGAGGTGGTGGTGGCCAACCACAATTCCCAAACAAGGATAGAACGTCATGTAAGGCCCGTCTCCGCCCCGTTTTTAAGGGGATGTGGGCACGCAGATGCAGAACTTGGCAGCTGGCGGCCTCGCTCTGCATCTCCGTAATGTCTCTCGCCACTATGGCATTCTTCAGTCTTGACAGGTTGTTGCTCAGTCAGCATCATTCAGAGGTGACATGAAATGAGCCCTGATTCGAGAGTTTTACCGTCCTGTGACGACCTATGTCTCGCGGTGTGCGGAAGCATGGACAAACCAGTTACAATACGTTGAAGGAAGGGCAGTGGCGCAGCAGGAAGCTCAATGAAGAGACCATCAGGAAGCATCAAGGGGCCTGTCAACCCCTTCATGGCGTCGAACACCGAAGCTGCGCAACAAAAGAAGGCGAAGCCTCGACTATTCATCGGCATAAATTCATGCACGAGAAAGGACGCCACAGAGCCGAGAGTGCAGGTGGCGATGCAAAAAGGTGTGTTTGACTTTTTGGCTGTCCAGTTGATTTCTTGTGTTGTCGCAACAGTCATGGGGCGAACGTGCACCGATGACGGGAAGATCTTTGCCTCGTGTGAAAGATCGGGCTCACCTAGATGTGCTGGAGGGGCCGCACTCTGCTCATGGAGGGTGCATTCCAGGCCGCGCGCATGGCACAGGATGCTTTGCTGCAGTGACAGCCCGATCTTGATCTTGATGTGTAGGAATGATTGCAGATCACTCTGTGATAGAAGGGTGTCAGACCGTCAGAAAGCAACATATGCAACGAAAGCCTTTGGAGCCGCTGTTGAAGCCATATCGTGGTGTCTTGTCAGGGCAGAGCCGAGTTGCCTCACAGTGCATGGGTGGACGCCTTGGTGCCGCGAATTGAGTTTTTTCCGAGCGTGGCCAACTTCTTCTACGTAAGTTCATCTAGGATGCCGTAAAGAAGTCCATGTGTGCTATTGCATGCTTCAGCGCTGAACATGAGGCTCGACACCTTGAAGGGTTGAGAGCCATGGCGACCCAGTCCTTCGTGAAGGGCGAAGTCGTTGAAGTGTGGAGCAACTCGCAAAAGTCGTGGATCTCGGGTGCCGTGGTATTGGAGGCTCCAGACCGTGACTGCGTCATAGATGGCTATGCAATACCAGCAGGTGCAGTGAAGGTGACGTCTTCTGCCGGGACTAAGTGGATACTGCCGGATCAGGTGCCCTCCGCCCTTCGTAAGGTTCAGGGCGGTGATATCCCAGCCTCTGAGCCGGCCTTACCACCTCTGCCGGGTGCCAAGGCAGAGGCCCGACCCTCGGCAAAGCCTGGCATGTGCAAGATGGGTTGTAATCGCCCAGTGCAGCCGGGTCTCACCCGAGGAATGAAGGCTTTTGACACCTGCTGCAAGAAATGTGCACAGGGAAAGGGGGGTCATGATGCCAATTGCGGAGGCAGTTCTGCAAAGCCGCTTGCCAGGTCTGTCACCACTGAGGTCGAAGATCCTCAACATTGGTTGCTAGATCTCCTGTCGTCTGCAGACGGTTTCAACAAGTATGCCGGCAAGATTGTTGCAACTGTCTCTGGAGACGCAGGGACACTCAACGCATCTCAAGCGCAAGAGGCAGTGTCGAAGTACCTGCTGCAACCAATTGGTACCAGCCTTCCTGTGGACATGCGTGCTGCAGAGGATTGGATCAGCAAATTCGGTACAGATGGGGTCATGGACACCCCAGCTTTCACGAAACTGGTGCATCAGATCCTGCAGGACCGAGTGCGAACCTGGTTCCCTGAAAAGCTGATTGCCAAGACCCACAGCTTCGTTCGCCAGAATCCTGCCCGTGTTGAGACCGTTTACGAGGTCGGAAAGCTCCTGGGCGAAGGGAGCTTTGGAAAGGTTTACAATGTACAGCACCGCATCTCCGGCGAGTCAAGGGTCTGCAAAAAGATTGCAAAGCTCAAGGGCAAGGAAGGCATGAAGGTGGAAGAGATCCTGCAGGAGATTGAGAGCATGGCTACTCTGGACCACCCAAACGTCATCAAAGTCTATGAGTATTTCCAAGATAGGGACAGCGTGTCTCAGATAATGGAGCCTTGCTATGGTGGAGAGCTTCAAGATCGGATTAACGACGTGTACCAGAAAGGCAAGCCTTCCTACTCGGAGGACTTCGTGTGTGACGTGATGAAGCAAACCTTGCGAGCGCTGGCCTTCATGCACAGCCATAACTTCATGCACAAAGACCTCAAGCCGCAGAACATCATGCTCGTAAGCAAGGAGTCAGCATCCATCAAAGTCATCGATTTCGGTCTGGCCGAGCTCTTCGAGCCAGACCAGAAGCATTCAGACGCTTTTGGCGGCACCCTTCTCTACATGGCTCCTGAGGTTTTCAAGCTCAAGCTGGAGTTCAAGTCAGACATTTGGAGTGCCGGAGTCATTCACTACAACCTGATGACCGGAGACTACCCGTTTATGGCAACATGGCCCTTGCCGAAAGGTAAGACCATGGAATGGTGGCAGACCGAGCTTGCTCGGTCGATTTGCGAGGACAACTTCAGGGATAACAAGCGCCTGAAGAATTGGAGCACGGAGTGCAATGACCTCCTCCGCCAGATGCTGGAGAAGAGCGTAGCTTGTCAAAGCATTCAATCAGCCTCTTTTAAACCCCCTTGCCCTCGCATTTGTAGGGAGAGAGAGAGGGAAGCCTGAAGTGCAAACGTGACTGAGGTGAGCAAGAGACCTGATGCAGCCGCGTGCTTGGAGCATTCATGGTTCAAAAAGTACGAGGCAACTCCACCACCTCTCTCCATTGGCATCACTCAATGCTTAGAGGCATATGCGGGACAGCCTGAGTTGAAAAAGTCAATCTTCCTCCTCATAGCGCACATGTGCACTGCGCCTGCATTGAGCGAACTTCGCGCCATTTTCACCCACTTCGACACCTTGAACCAGGGGTGTTTGGTCGCCGCTGACTTCCGGGACGTGCTATACAAATCTGGGATGTCCTCGCTGCAAGTGGAGCGTATTGTACACGCTCTGGATCAGGAGCGTGCTGTTCAAAAACCATTCTTTTTAGAGCGGGGATTTACGGCATAGAAGAGTGATCAACAACCAAGAGCAACACAGAAACCCCAAACTTGATAAACTTGTTCTGTTTGGCCCGACTCTTGTCATCACTTGTCTTGAAGAGGATCGCAGTGGCGCGGTGACCTGGACCGAGTTTGTCGCCGGGGCTCTTTGCGTGAGCGTGTGTGGAAACAAGCGGCTGGTAGAAGCTGCTTTTGCTGTCTTCGACAAGGACAACGATGGCAAGGTGAGCCAGGCTGATTTTGAAGACATGTTTGCTAAAGGCGACGTGGAATCATTGTGGAGGAAAAATCTGCCGCGGGAGCTTCAGCTTATCGGCGAAGCGGGTGCCGATGGGAAGTACCTGAAAGAGCAGTTTGTACAGTACATGGGCAGGAGGATGCAGGTCACTTCCGGTGATGCCTTAGCAGCTGTAAAGTGAGCTGCGCGCTTTGATGGCAAAATCAGTCGCGTCCGAGTGTTTTGAAGCATAAGTCGAGCAAGGGAGATCGAAGCATTGGGTAGCATGACCGTGTTCTTCAACTCCTTGTCTCCTCTTCTTCACTGCTGCACAACGGAAGCAATTGCGCAGGAGCAACTTCCACGTAACAAGCAGATTTGGAAGCGAACATCTCATGCGTCCCTTCTGACTATGATCCCCATTTGCCAAAGAGCAAGTGTTTATGAACGACTCCAAGTCTGTTGAGCAGCTTTAAGACAGCACAGCTGACAAAGACTGACCATGTCATGCGGACCAAAACATAAAGCGGAACCAACGACAAGTTGTTTGGCATCAACTTTTATGAAGCAGCGAGGCGTGGGGAGGCCAGATCCGCCATCCCGGAGCAGTGAGAACAGTACCAGCAGGATCAACGCAGCAAGCCTCGAGAATCCTTGAAGATCGCCGAGTGCTGAATGAAAGCTGGAAGAGTCAGGGGTGAAACGCTACAAGACAGGCATGCACCTTTCAAGGCGTCATTGCGCTCGAGGTTTTCCCCCTCGAGCCCGACAAGAAGAAGAAGAAGCCAGTCAGAGACAGGGAAGCACAGGGGCGGCAGATTTTTTGAGTGAAACACAAGGCTCCCGCCTGTCCACGCGATCTCCCTTCCTGAAACAGGGGGCGACCCCTTAGCCATGAATGACAGAATCAACTAAAGAAAGAGACGGAAAGGAAGAAGGACGGAGCTACAGAACAAACCTGCCACGAAAGGAAGTGTTCTCGGCTTATTCGAACCTATTTGAGGGTTCTGCCCTTTCCACTCTTAGCCTTGAGCTTGAAAAGCATCACTAGAGGACGCACACGTTCTCACATCAGCTGCTGCCGGTGCGCCCAGGCGAGCCTGCGCTGCGAGAGCGCATAGCCGCGTTTTGAAGCTCAGTGCTGTTTTGCTGAATGCCGACTCTCTTTGCATACACCTAGCATTGATATCAAAGGGGGCTTTTGCTGCTACAGCTGCTGATGCGAACTCTGTGTTTTCAGAATCAGCCACCCATCATGAACAACGTTGCGTCGAAGCTTCAAGTAGCTAGATAGCTATCGTTCCGAGATTCATACACATATAATACACAGATATATACACACTTCAAAATGCATGAAACCACAAAGAATTACACATGATTCTGTATTGGTATATGAGATGTTGTGTTCGTTCGTGCCGGTGAAAGGTCAGGTGGCTGGCAAGTCACAAAGCAGCTAGGGAGAGGCCCCGTGGTGCTTCATGCGCGCACGGTCGTGCCTAGGGTTTAGGGTTTAGGGTTTAGGGTTTAGGGTCTAGGGTTTAGGGTTTAGGGTTTAGGGCTGCAAAACAGCACAATTGTGCTGCAAAGGGTCCATCGCCAATCAATACGGTTAAGATCGTATGGTTGGTGGTAGTCGCGCTGCCAGGCCAGTATGGAACTGCCTATCTTGTGGCTTGGGATGAGGAGAAATGTGGAGAAGAGAGCCCGGCCCTGAAAGACGCGATGTCAAACATCAGCGCTGAATCCAGAATCGTAATGACTTGTGTTGGCTCGACAACCGACCTCGCACACACTAAGGAAAGGGTCAGTATAAACATGGAGACCAGGCGAGCGTGTGTGCCTATGGAGACGGTAGAGTCAGCATACCTGCTTCTCCGAAGACCTCTCGAAGGCTGTCGCCAAAGTGGTGGGATTGGAGTTCCTTCCAGAGAAGGCCCCTGAAGCCGTAAACCACTCAGACAATCACCCATCCCCTTGCAAAGCTCACACGAGGAGCACAATTTCGCCTTCCAGGAGGTAGAGCTCATGAGGGCTTTGCTCGGAGCTCATGGCAAGTATGACTACTGCTTGGGCTTCGTTGTCCTCGGCCCTGTGGCAAAGCATGCTTTTGTGCATGTGTGCACACGTTCCGCGTCTGTCTCGCTCACTCTCCCTGTCTGTGTCTGTGTGGGCGTGTGTATGTGTATGTGTACATGTATGTGTACGTGTATGTAAGAGTGTGTGTGTGTGTGTGTGTGTGTGTGTGTGTGTGCGTGTGTGCGTGTGTGTGCGTGTGTGTGCGTGTGTGTGCGTGTGTGTGCGTGTGTGTGCGTGTGTGTGCGTGTGTGTGCGTGTGTGTGCGTGTGTGTGCGTGTGTGTGCGTGTGTGTGCGTGTGTGTG